TTTAATGCTGCCACTTCACTTACTGGAATGTCTTTATTGACACAAGTATACAAACACCAGGTTTGTTTTTTTCACCCTTGTCACAATGTGCGTCAAGAAAACACTTCCTGAAGTGGGTTAATCCATATGTATACACTGCCCACATTTTCATATTGATTACAGTAAGAGTAATTAATTATGTATTTAATTGCGTACATGGTTGTTCTTCATGGTTATTTTACAATGCAGTATCCATGGTCAAACTTCCAACACTAGACAACATAGCAGATGTATTAAGTTGTGTAGTGTCTTACAGAGGCGTCTATGTAACTGAATATAACGATGTTTGTTTGTTTACAGCGATAACACCTAGCATCAAGTACGGCCAAAATGTAGGCTCCTTCCTTTGTATTCTGATTAGACACTATTGGCTGTCGAATGTGTAATTAAATTCGAAAACAGAATAATTTGATAACATCGGTTAATGCGGCTTATCCATCAAATCTAACAGCGATATAGACCTTAGGGCTAGTAAGCGCGCGCTTCACTTAGGCTACTGTACTCCCTGGATTACTTACACAAGACCGTTGTCACTAGGTCTAGTGAGGCCCAAACTCAGACCGTGAAATCCACCATACAGTCACAGTACTTAGCAGTACGTCATCACAGATGTGAAAGAGAACGTTCTAATTGTTTATATTTCAATTCCCAAGCATCTATCAAGAATTAAAAGTCTTCTTTTGTGTCCACCACATGACAACTCTGAATAAGGTCACCCCTTTCATGATTTCCGATAACATGTTGGTGGCATTAAAACTAAGTATCCGCCTTGTAATTTGATTTCTAATTGTCGCATATAGTCTTATGACAGTAACAACACGGTTCCTGGTGATAAATCTTGGTGTTAAACAAAAATCAACATCTCCTGGCCACAGTTATGGACTCTTGGTCTGGTCGATCATCTTACTCTATCTACTTTCCTCTACGGAATGGAAATCTTTATGATTATAGGGCTCCCATACTATTTTCCGATACACTTTATACAATTTGTTTTACGTTGATGATGTAACATGACTCGGATTTCATCTAGACAGACATATGTTAGGTGTCATTAGTCGATATAGCTTGCCTTGTACGGACGGAATCCGTACCAACATAACTGGTTGTCATTTTTACCTGTATTTTACAGCCATTTATTCCATAGCAACTGTTTATTGTGTTGTGTTACAACGTCAATATGCTAACCAAATCAAGACTGTTCCGGGTTATGAGACAACCTGCCAGACCAAGCGTGCTCGCGTATTCTTATTTGCTTAAATCTGAAGTATTTTTGTAATTACTCCGTGGCGTCAATATGACAAAACAAAATTCATTCTCTGAATTTTGCTATAACTTTCAAAACACGAAGACGCTCATTTCACCCAATTCCCCGAATCCAATATTGTTTATTTTAAGACAACGAATGAGGTCTGTGACTTATTTCAAGACAACGAACGAGGTCTATGACTTATTTCAAGACAACGAACGAGGTATATGACTTATTTCAAGACCACGAACAAAATATGGTACAGCGAAATACGTGTACCCTATTAGAATCAGAGCTTTTGCGTGTGACCAAGGGGAGGTAACTTCTACAAATCACCACTGTAGAATCAGGAAATGTTGCCTAACTGCCCGTTGGTTTGTTTATAAAAGAATTATCACTAACAGTATGTTAAAGGAGATTGCGATACATTTATTAATTAATCACTTTATCTAGTTTTCTTTGCTCGTTTGTTGACCTGTATAAATTTCCTACAATCGTTCAAAATGATGTTCCTTTACAGCGCCAACATGCTGTTCTTAATGAGTGGATTGATAATTCAATAACTGGAAGCAAACCTCTTTCCGACAGTCTCTCTATGATTTTTGTCCGTGATAAGGACACTTCTTCTCTTTAATCAACCTGAGTCGACATCGCAAGTCCAGAATACATGTACCACAACAACGAATGACAAACAACGCTAAATAATCTTTGTTAAGAAATCAAAGTTTTATTGAGAATTTTTGAGTTTGAACACTAAAATGATTGAAATGTCACAGATACAGAAAATATTCAGCTCCGCCATCTCGTGGACATTTTTCTGTCTACTTATGTAAAATGCTAATATTTCAAATAACTGCTGAAAGGAAAGATGTGGAAATTTCCATTTTAGTCTATTCAATTTGTGTCATCCAACTCTTCGTTTCCTTGAGCCTGTTTCTAATATAGATATAAGGAACATTAAAAGTTCGTCTTTCAGCGACTGGAAAGATGACGTCATACGAATACTTAGTATTTTTGTAATCATTTTTATGATAAACGTGATGATTTCAATTCCCTTATTGTTAATTTTCCCATTTCTGGATAGCAATATCCTGCATCTCCAACCTATAGTACTTACATGTCAGTTGATTCGATATCCAAGGGCCTGTTCCCTTCATCATGATTTTCGTGCAAGAAGTCGTCAACTGACTGACAAACTCGTAAAACAAGGATTCGAGAGATGCAGGTTGATGAAAATTATGGGGAAATTTTATGGCCGCCATATCGATCTCATTGAGAAAATATATTTCTTTGTGTGACAAGAAGCTGGACGTATTTGATGCTCATTACTTTGCCTGTTGGTTCTGCTGTTGTATACCTTGCTCTCATTTGAGGGCGTGACATACATGTGAAATACTTGGATTTACCAAGGTTAACATGGCGGATGTCGTCCATGTAGCAGAGGACGCTTACTCTTCCGGAACGTCTTGTCTTATTCTCATGGTACTTTCGAAGGAGTCTCCGTGGAAATCTTTTTTTGTTTGTTCATTTTTTGCCCAAGTTTTATAAAATTTGAGTTTGAATTATGATTAAGTTGCCCTGTTGGTATTTTCTTGATGGATTTGTATACTATTTGTACAGACACCTGTCACATTGTACAACTAAAAATTCCCTGTACATACACCTGTAACATTGTACAACTAAAAAAAGCCATGTACAGACAACTGTTACATTGTACAATTTAAAAAAAGGCCCTGTACAGACACGTTACATTGTACAATTAAAATTCCATGCACAGACACCTTTTACATTGTACAACTAAAACTGCCCTGTACAGACAACTGTCAAATTGTACAACTAAAAATGCCCTGTACAGACAACTGTTACATTGTACAACTGAAACTGCCTTGTGCAGACACATGTTACATTGTACAACTTAAAATGCCCTGTATAGACACCTGTTACATTGTACAACTAAAAATGCCCTGTACTTTTGTCTGATGCTAAAAAGCATAGTCACGTGTATCAGCCAAGAACGAAGATTCACGTGTAATCTGTAAAGGGATCGTCTTTCCCAAGATGACTGGTGCTCATTTTACGTTACCTGGTCACTGGTTTATGAATACAATCTAACCGGAACCATTACCACGCGAGACTCTGAAATACTCGAGATTTGTATTACAATAGTTGTATTGTGCTGTAAAAGTCATAAATAAATGTAACCCCTTCGAATTTTTTATTGGACATCGAGACAGGATTTGCTGCGAGATTAATTGTGATTACTCACCACAGCGCACACCTGAACCAACTGGTAAGGAGCTGAGCCTAATTCAGTGCGATCAGATTGCGATCGCATGCTTTCTGTCTTGAATTTACCATTAATATATCTATAATTTCGATGTCAGTGGTTATAGCACAGAAGGGAAGACGTTACTAGTAGTATGGGGTCGCACATGCGATCTCGGACACGGACTATAACTCGACCTATTAACTTAGGTGTTAGCTATGACGCCGATGAGTTACATAATAACGCTTGTGAAATGACCCGTACCTGATAGTGTAGGCATGGTGAAATGTCATCTCCATATTTTTCTTTTCTTGTCTATTTCCCAGCTTTGTTTAAAAAAATTCGCCAGCGACATACGCTAAACAACACTATTTCCAGTACGTTACCATGTATATGGTCTATATTTAGACATGATGACACCGAATGTATCTTTTTAGACGGACCAAGGCGATGATCTGAAAAAGGTGATCCGGGAAGCTAATGCACCATTCCTCTTTATGATATTTGAGATTGTGTTGTTACATCCATGTACTAGACAGAAGGAGTAGAAGTAAATTATTCGTGGGTAAAAAAAGTAAATTTCCCAAAATACAAGTATTTTGAAGATATGTATATTGATAATGATTCATACGAATGCTAAAATTTTGGATAAAGAACTGTGACATCTCTGATCTAGTACTGAATGATAAAAAAAGAACTTGCCAAAAATTTAAACATGAATTTGCTCCTAAAAGTTACTTACTGAAATCGGCATGTCATAGTCTCTAAATACGTTATTCAAATCAATTCTTTAATGAGAAAAATGACGGTCTCTCAAATAATTTCTTAAAAAATCGAGAAAAAAAGAGAATGAAACTGAAAAAAGAAGGCAAAAATGTTTTGTACATGGTGTTACTCAGGCGTCCCATTTAGGAATTCCTCTGTTTTTTTCCATTGTCGGTTATTACAAATAATCAAAATATATATACATTGCATGTACATTTGAATTATTTTGACTGGTGTACAATAAACGATGTTAGCATATCAGAATATATATCTGATATCTATTGTACCTGTCTCATAATGTAGCTTATAAGTCTTTATACAGAAAATCTTTCCCTATTAATGAAGCTCGAGAGGGACATCACAGAAAACAAAATCGAAAATAAAAGTACACAAATTGAAGTAGAACATTTAATGCTTTTGTAAAAACAAGTGGTGTTAATCCATTTACCTACCTAATCCACTAACGCATTTAAAAGGTTGGAGTTTTTTATGGGTTTTTTACGTTTACCCTTTGAGACAAAAAATACCAGTAAAAAGGGAAGGAAAATAAAAGAAGAATGTAATAGAAATGGTAAAACTTAATCTTTCTGAACCTAAGGCTTAAAAATGTGCGATGATGAATGAATTATAATTTCTGATGGAGTTTGTGAACAATGACTTCAATTGGAATGTTGACGCAACATCTTATCTCCGACTGTCCCGACTGTAGCTTTGACTACGGGGGCGTGACTTCCGGGACAGACTTCCGGTCCGCCGACTCCGGCTATCGACTAAATCCTCGTCGCTGTAATATTTGTCCCGATGATCTGTTCGATGATTGCGATGACGATGACTTGATCGATAGCTATTGTCGTCACTATCATAGTCCCTATAATTTCTGTCAGTTTGCGAACGTCGACGCCGAGAAGATTCGCGTCTCCTTCCGTGATCACTCTCATAGTCACTGTAATTTCTATCACTCTGATCATATCGGTGCCGACTGCGATCACGGCCGCCACGCTCACTGTCGTAGTCTTGGTGACGCCTTCGAGTGTCACTATCGTAACCACGGTTCCGATCGTGTTTTTCCCGTCGCCGGTTCCTATGGTCGCTGTCATAATTATCGTAATACTGATCCTGATGTCCACGCGTTTCTCTGTAACCTTGTCCCGATCGATATCTCTGCGTCGCGGTATCGTTCTCGTCTTTGTAGCTGGGTCGAGTAGTGCGTGAAGTTGAGTTATTTCTGCTTTTTACGCTGCTGCCCCGGTCTCGATGATCATGTGACCGAGATTCGCGGTAACTCGATCGTCGTGTAGCACTGTCCTTGATTCTGTCGCCGGACCTATCATCACGTGACCGGTGGTGGTCACTCTGCGACCTGTCGCGGTGACGGTCAGTCTGAAATTTGTCGCGTTGTTCGTCATCACGTCTGGATTTTCGGTCGGAAATAGATGACATTGTGTCAGAGGATGTGTCAATTCGACTTCCCGCTGTGTTTCTGGATTTGGTATTGCGTTTTTCTGAAGTAGGTCTGACAGGTGAATGACTGTCATCTCTTGGTTTTGATTTTTGAATAAGTCCTACCTTTGCACCATCAATTTCATCTTTAGGTCTTTCCTTTCTCGCGTTTTGCTTGATATCCGTGTCATTTTCCTTCTGTCGTTTGATAGATCCATCTCGTTTATTAAAGCGATGGGTCGTTACTTCCATTTCTGTTTCGAATTTTGCACCATCTCCCGCTTTGATTGGAATAGGATTTAGTGAGACTTTTTTTACCGTTACTGAGGAATCATTACTTGATACGTAGCCATTGTTGTCGTGGTGCTGAGAAGATCGTCCGCGTTGGGATCCGGAAGTGGAACGGTATCCGTTTGTGGTCAAACTGCGTTCACTGGGTGTCCTGATATCACGACTCCGACTTCCTCCAAGCGTGTTTTCAAAGTGTACAGAATCCCCTCTTCTGGTAGAAGCTGGAAACAAAAGGACTGCTTTAGATCGCCTGCATCGAAAAACAATAACAATGCATTCCACATTCCAGGTGCTCTGCAATAAAGCGAGTGTTAATGGTGGAACTGATGAAACATGAGATATGTTAGCTTGTGTAATTAATAAAACACAAGATTCTCTTACACATAGTATAGAGATTCTGGTCTTAACATCGACAGTCATCAAAAATGCACATTAACATTCACTACAAAAGCCATAAATTTCTCATTCAGTGAATCAACTTGATTTCAAATTGATCTATTCAATAAACCTATTTGATCTCAAATGGGGTTTTCAATTAATCGCTTTCATTTCAAATCGGTTTTTTCAAAGAATTAATTTTACTTCTATCTATAGTTCTGTTTATAACCTTTTCACATCAAATACTACCATTAATTAGTTTTCTATTTATTTGAACAATTAAATCTAAAGAAATTATTAAATATATATTTTTGTCTTGTTTAACATCGCATAACATTTTCTAAGACACATACCTCGAGTGGTTATCCGTGTTTTTTATATGTTAATAATGCAATAATAAAACACTTGCATTATCACATACAATATGATACACAGAACACAGAAAAAACACCGACACAGGAAATCTATCATGGAGTCGTATGGCATATGTTTATTGTTCAAGAACAAATCCAAAGAAATAGTATACAGTAACAAAGATGCACTCTCTTCTACACTCCTCTCATCCAACTACCGAATAAACGTCACTTCCGCATTTCATAAAAAACCGATACGTCACTTCTGTATCTAAATTCCAATGTTGTCTGACTGGGTTATTGAACTCCGTTATATCAATATTATTCACCAGTAGCTGAAGCACTTTGAAAGGTACAAATAAAAAAGTGGAAAAATAATAACACTTTATACACAAATTCCTTTGTAAACATAAAATGTGTTAAAAACATAACAGATAACAAGAGATGTTGGTACTGATCGTCTCCTTCCGTATGATCATTGTAATATTAGAACCTTTCATTAATAGTTTTATTCTGGCAGGCTTTAGTCACGTGGTCAGATGGTGTTATAAGTAGAGTGGTTATATCTTGATAAAATATAGAATGCAATAAACAAAGCTACAATATATATAGATATACAGCGAACCGATGACAATCAAAAATAAAACTTTTTCACAAGACACCATTTGTGCAAAAATACATAAATTATTTATCAAACGATGTTTTGAAATACACCGACATAACGATATTTTAACATTTGATTTTACAGGTTAACCTGAAACTAATATATACGTCTTTTGATAAATTACCTCTGTGATATATTATTTCTTTTACCGGTTTGAGGGTAACATAAACACCGAACAAGATTATATAAAAGTTACACATGTAATTACAGCGATTTTTAAACGATGGAATGTTCCGTTTAGATTTTTTCAAACTTTATTATATCTTAGGTAACAACTTTGGTTTAAAATATCTAATTGCTTAATTAACAATTCCATGTGAATATTATCTGTCAACTATAATGGGACTGTAATGTTCGAGAATATACGATACTTTCTATGATATCTTCAACATAACATATTGAATACGTTTATGATTATGTTCAGCTTCCATGAAGTTTTATCATTCTGCGATAAATATTTATTAGATATGTTCCTGGAGGCATGAGGTACTTCAGACACATTTGTACTGCGAAATGCCATTCCCCTTTCTAATAAAAATAAAGATTATTAAAGAAGTATAAAATCTTAATTAATGACGCAGATCTACAAAGTTTGAATTCTACTTGATATTACAAAGTAACTATTGGAATAAAAATTATCATTTAAGAAAATCTTGTATATTGTACAATGATATGAATGATTTTTTCCTGAGAATTAAATTTTAGCTAGCTACCTATATAATTGTCTTTGTGATCCCGCATATACAAAGTTTATTAATGTTAACAGCTAGAAACGTTAATTTTCGTAATAAAAATTTTCGCCATTATTCTAATAAAATAATCATTCAATTCCGGAGTGTGTCATTTGCTGTCCCTTTCAATTTTCCTGTTAACAACATCAAAAATTAGATTGTTCGCAGATTAAACCGCGAAATACTTCACTCTATAGTGTTTACGTTATGGGTTATTATCTAAGACTTAACCTCAATAGAAATGACGTAAGATTTTGTTTAATCCACTCACCTCTTCCTTGAGATATTATTACGCAAAAAGCAACGCAATTAAAAAAAATAACGTCACTTCCTGTATTAAGAGTTGGTAACGCGTGTCACTGGATGATGACACGTTCAGCCAATAAACATGCTTCTTTTCAGTATTTATACAAAATAATTATATTACTGAAGTCAAATATCGAAATATGCAGCAACGATTCGAGTGCGCATTCGCTTACATAATAACGCTTTATGACAATTATTTTATACAAAAACATACAACAACGATGAAGTAGATAATACACATATGACACGTGCTACAGTAAATAGTTCTATACTTATATTAGTAACAGATTCATAACCGAGCACTTGTATGCCTTACGTTTGTCTAAAGGCGTATTTTTTCATGACAAGGTAGATTTAATACACCAAAACAATTTCTGTCGATATGAGGTAATATATCTGGCATAATATGCTATTTACACGCAAACTTACAAACTGGCATAGAGCATGTTACTGCATGTATAACGGCTAAAGTGAAGTTATCTTACAGAAAACATATTTTCTCGTTGGTTCTCCATGAACACGATTCACTTTAACTGTCTACCTACAGAAGTTTCCGTCACCCAATTGCCAGAACGTGTGACGTCATTACATGATAAGTGTTATACTGTTGCTAATGACGTCCAATGAAAAAAAAAACGGAAGAAAATTCCCTTTGCGTACTGGGTTATACATCAAAAGTGTACAACCATCGTGTAACGAAATTTTAAAGTATTTCACAGTCGTTACACACGGCACCATTCAATACTGCACACGACACTATTCCAAGATTATCTTGGCACAAGTTGAATGTCCCATACACTTGTATATTACGAAGTTTCAATGTCTAGTATCTCGAGAGCTGACACTTGTATATAACAAAGTTTCAATGTCTAGTATCTCGTGAGCTGACACTTGTATATTACGAAGTTTCAATGTCTAGTATCTCGTGAGCTGACACTTGTATATAACAAAGTTTCAATGTATAGTATCTCGTGAGCTGACACTTGTATATAACAAAGTTTCAATGTCTAGTATCTCGAGAGCTGACACTTGTATATAACAAAGTTTCAATGTCTAGTATCTCGCGAGCTGTCACTTGTATATAGCAAAGTTTCAATGTCTAGTATCTCGTGAGCTGACACTTGTATATAACAAAGTTTCAATGTCTAGTATCTCGAGAGCTGTCACTTGTATATAACAAAGTTTCAATGTCTAGTATCTCGTGAGCTGACACTTGTATATAACAAAGTTTCAATGTCTAGTATCTCGCGAGCTGTCACTTGTATATAACAAAGTTTCAATGTCTAGTATCTCGTGAGCTGACACTTGTATATAACAAAGTTTCAATGTCTAGTATCTCGTGAGCTGACACTTGTATATAACAAAGTTTCAATGTCTAGTATCTCGTGAGCTGACACTTGTATATAACAAAGTTTCAATGTCTAGTATCTCGTGAGCTGACACTTGTATATAACAAAGTTTCAATGTCTAGTATCTCGCGAGCTGTCACTTGTATATAACAAAGTTTCAATGTCTAGTATCTCGTGAGCTGACACTTGTATATAACAAAGTTTCAATGTCTAGTATCTCGAGAGCTGACACTTGTATATAACAAAGTTTCAATGTCTAGTATCTCGTGAGCTGACACTTGTATATAACAAAGTTTCAATGTCTAGTATCTCGTGAGCTGACACTTGTATATAACAAAGTTTCAATGTCTAGTATCTCGTGAGCTGACACTTGTATATAACAAAGTTTCAATGTCTAGTATCTCGTGAGCTGACACTTGTATATAACAAAGTTTCAATGTCTAGTATCTCGTGAGCTGACACTTGTATATAACAAAGTTTCAATGTCTAGTATCTCGTGAGCTGACACTTGTATATAACAAAGTTTCAATGTCTAGTATCTCGCGAACAGAGGTATGATATAAACGTGCTTACTGCCCTCGATGTCCATCCTTCGTGTGCTAAAATATGACAGTATTTAATGATATAAATATTTACATAATTCACCGTGAACCATATCATAGTCTATAAATATGTTTTCATTATCTGTCCTATCACTTTAATGGTGACGGCGTGACGTCCATTCCTCTCACTGGTGTCTTATACTAATACAGCAGCAGATCTTTACACAATTGTAGCTTGAAGTCAATCAATAAGTATTCATATATAGCTTTCTTTCCACAATGAATCACACCAGTTATAATCACAAACGTTGAGTGTCATGGATACAAGTATTCCTCTCTTCCACGAGGGTAATGTCTTTCAGTGTCACGGTAGCTTCGAGCTTCAGCAGGAGATGTAGTTCTCGAGAATTAGCAGCACGCCAGCAACAAATACAAAGTAGTATGTTGACCACTTCAGTGGTTCACAAAAAAAACCCAACACTTTTGTTGTGTCGCTATACTGAACAAAACAACTTGACCAAACTCAACTGGTGCTTACGTTTGTTATCGTGTTGTCACAAACTTCTTTGAATAGTCTCATTATGTCAGAAGTAATGATCAGAAAACGTCGGGCACTTCCCACTGCACCTTATCAACCACACACGAATTTGATTTGTTGTTCGTTGTTGTGTATCAAATACATGATGTATTTGCTTGACAAAGTTAAAAACACATACGATTTGGCTATGGCGTAGTCTTGTAAAATCACAAATTGTAAAAATATATATCTTAAAGGAAGATAAATCTTAGATTATTTCCTGCGTTTCTTTTTCTTAGCTTCATCAAACACTCCGATGTACGGAGACGGTTTCTTTTCTCTCTCCCGTGATCTGGACCTGCGCCGATGTGAGCTTCCACTACTAGGGCGGTGACCAGATCTGTGTGAGCTGCTCCCGTCGCTCTGGTCGCCTGTGCTGTGAGAAACACGTGGCCTCCGACGCTGGCCTGATTGTGTGGACGATCTACTGTGGCTACGGCTGCGCCCACTTCTTCGTGCGTTATCTCCCTTGATGAAATGACCATCGTGTGTTCCGTCTGTGGTCGAGGATAGACTGCCCCGATCGTCCGTACTCCGAGAGGGAGAGCCTGTTCGGGTACGATTTGTTGTGTCTGTAATGTAACTAACAGCACCACGTGAGCTACTCACGTAAGAGTCACTGCTGTCGTCTCGATCACGGTACCGCCTGTCGGGACGCGCGCGTAAACTTCTTTCACTTCTCTCATCGTCAACGAATGCTTTGTTGGTATGGAACACACTATCGGTGGCCGTGTCGTCCGATGTCGAATCGTCGTTACGTCGGCGATTTGACCGATGAGGATAAGAACTACCATTTTTCCGGGCTATTTCTTCCTCGTATCGTAAGTCTATCCCCCCACGGGTCGACTCCGTACTGGGGGCGCCATTTACGCTACTATAGTCGTCTCCGTCGACAGAGCCTCTGTACGCTTTGTTGTCATGACCTTCATGAGCAGGCCGGTTATTACGACGTTTGCTCCCACGTCCCTTACTTTCTGTTCGTTTTAAGATTCCATTGACTGGTGGGTCATTCGAAGCAGCTGTAATCGAAATACGTCCAAGTCAAAACATATGTTTGTGCTATTTTCTATCCCAGTAAAATAGCATTTCTCGAAAAAGACAATATCTGATCCGATAAAAATGCTGAAGACCACATTTCAATCCATCAGATAAAATCTTTCGGGCATTAGAAATATACAAGATGGCCATTGCGTGTGGCATACAACAAGCGGGTGCTATTATTTCACTACTCTAGTACAACACACATGTACTCACCCTTCTTAATGTAGGTAGTCATGTTTACATCCCTTCACTCGGTAAACGTCATAAAACGAACACAAATATTGGGAAAGGGAGAAGGTATGGGTCACACTAGACCGAGGTACGGAAAGGAAAGGGAATAGAAAGAATAACGCGAAATAGCAGGATTCACACTGATGAGAAACAGATTGCCCAATGTTAATTTCCTGTAACAGTTTCAGACATATGTAGAACATAGGTCTTACCTTTTTTTGTTCTCAAGGAAAAAATCGTTTTTATTAATTATGTATGGATGAACTAATTTCCTCAAAGAAAGTACAATCAAACTAAATCGATCCATTGGGTTTCTTTCAGGAGAGAATTTTAATTGACACGACACATGCGTGCAGAACCCGAATATTGTCTAAGTTCTCTCGTGCCTGGTCCATCACTATTCCACTAGAACTATGTCCGCTAATCGGACGTCCATAGCATGAGACATGGTGTCTTTGGAAATATTTCTGCTCCTAACAGAAAAAGGAAATTCCTAATTCCTATACTAGTACACTTGCATTAACTAAACTATTGATGACACGAGAATCGACTTATTTCTAGGTCATCACAATTACTGTTCTATACTAATTTGCATTTACTGATACAAAAACAGAAGTGTGGGGATTTCTGTCAAACCAGAGTGGATTCTTTCACAAAAGCAAAACGTGACAAGAAATGACGAGGGGAAGAGGGGAGAGAGAGAAAGAAAAGGAAGGAAAGAAAATGAAAATATTCATTGAATATCATTATTTAAACTTACAAGTAGTAAATACGGCCGGGCTCTTATTGCCGTATTTCTCTTTCTTTGACATCATTCGCCAGCAGACGATCGCTACAACGATAACGATGACGACGACGACAAGACCGACGCCAATGCCGATCCCGACAATGACGCCGCTGGACGGGCCGCCGTCAGACATGGCGCCAGCCGGTTCAGAGAGGTCAACTTCCGGTCCTAAAATAAACAGATAAACTTCCGGTCCTAAAATCGTATATTACAAAAAAAAAAAAAAAAAAACAGTATTACTTTACCGTTATACATAATTTACGAATATGTTTGCTTGAATATTGTTTGCATTAATTCTAAGAAATGATTAAAATTAAGAACAGTAGCAACTCACAATCTACTCATTTTTCCTACCAGCAGTACTCATACAAGTAAACAGAGGAGCTAAATCTAATATATGTGGCTTTAACTGACATGTACATTTAAGTCTGCTTTTTTAATGTATCAACCCCTGTGAAAGGTGCATCTAATCAAATTTCAAGACTGACTTGATCTATGTTGACGTCAAGTTTAATCTGAGACCAATAAGAGATAGAAAATAGTGGACAGCGCTGTGTGTAAACAGACTCCACAATTATTGTAGAGAGGTGTCTTTAAAGGTAGTAAATGGTTAGATTTCGTTATTCTTCTCAAGCGTTTGAGTTCGGGCAAGCACTGTAATACTTTAAATTAGACTCTTCACAAAATTATAATACTCTCTGAGAGAAATTGATCAAGATCATCAGCTTCAAACTAACGTTAGTCGACACTTGCTTTGATCGAGATAGCCGAGTTCATCACGTGACTATTCGGAGCCTCGTTTAAACCTGTCGTTTTGATATGATTTCTTACTATGCATAATTACGTAATAAGCCAAACTTAATTTGCCAGCCATGTTTCAATTCTAACGTAAAATGACCTCTTGATTCACGTTATACGCATGACCGAGCGAAATAAATGAATTTGAATTAATCTGAATCTAAAATTGGACAGATAAAGACATTGTTTGCACTCCCCGGACGATAATGATATGAATAAGTGTTCGGTTGCTCTTACTTTATCTTGATTTCTTCACGTTGTTAATAAAATGGTTATGCAAGCTTTAAAATATCACATAATTAACAGAAAGTACACAGTTTGGAAAAGATATCTAAATGTTATAATGCTTTTTGTCAGTTAAAAAATGAATATCTAACTATAAAGTCCCATATCAACTTAATATGTGTCCGATCGTCAGGGAGAAGAGACACGAATTCACATTAGAAATGTTTATATAGATTATAATAAAATTAACGATATTACTTTACCAGGATCTTTCATGTTATTCAAGAATTCATTAAAAACTTCCAAGTTAAGAAATGTTTAAAGCAATTGCAATATTTTGAGAACTGTTACATTGGCTATGATTAAAAACCATACAGAAATCGGAATGTGTCGACTACTGGCGGCAACGTTTGTCAGTTATGTCAGAATGTGTCGACTCCTGGCGGCAACGTTTGTCAATAATGTCAGAAGGTGTCGACTCCTGGCGGCAACGTTTGTCAATAATGTCAGAATGTGTCGACTCCTGGCGGCAACGTTTGTCAATAATGTCAGAATGTGTCGACTCCTGGCGGCAACGTTTGTCAATCCCAGTATAGCCTGTGCTTACCGTCCTCGTTGGTAATATAAATCCGGAAGCTGTAGAGTGTAGTTGAGTCCGGCACCGGTTTGTCGAGTCGGACGATCACCTCACTGTTCAGGGATGTGTACACTACTTTCTCAGCACCACGACATCCTAGGCTCCACTAAAATACAAGTCAATATCACTAGAATAGAAAGATCATGTACCTACTAGACCGAACACGTCCGATAGGTCTCGAACGGTAAGATAACGTTAAAAAGTCACGACTGATATTATAAAGAATAAGTCTGATAGAATAAAATGGTGTGGAATTCGTTGACAACTACAGTGAAATTCTAGACCATCGTGTAAACATCAAAGCTGCCAACCAACGAGACCGCTTACCTGCTTATATATTCCTTCAGATGTTTACACTTACCCTGGGATCATTTCGCATCTGTTCGTCCCCATCAAAGATGTTGAGGAAGATACCACAACTACCAAATTTGACTTCGTAGACATGAATCTTGAGCTTTTTATTGTTGAAACCGACAAATTGGTTGTAGCACTTGTCTCTGCCGGTGTTGATACCTTGCCGGGGGTAGGACTGTAGTCGGAACACGTCTATATCGTTCACTTGAAACGATTTCAAGCAATCATTCTTTTCGTAATCCACTGAAAATACAAAATTAAAAAAGATAATATAGTAATAAAAACAAACGTGTGGAAACTCTGAGCTTATGTACAGTATCCGAAAATCCCTAATGAGATAAATGCTTATTAGCAACTGTTGATCTAACTGGTAAACTTAGCCACTGCTGATATAACTGGTAAACTGAGCCACTGTTGATCTAACTGGTAAACTGAGCCACTGTTGATATAACTGGTAAACTAAGCCACTGTTGATATAACTGGTAAACTGAGCCACTGTTGATCTAACTAGTAAACTGAGCCACTGCTGATATAACTGGTAAACTGAGCCACTGTTGATCTAACTGGTAAACTGAGCCACTGTTGATATAATTAGTTAACTGAGCCACTGTTGATCTAACTGGTAAACTGAGCCACTGTTGATATAACTGGTAAACTGAGCCACTGTTGATATAACTAGTAAACTGAGCCACTGTTGATCTAACTGGTAAAAATGAGCCACCGTTAGCTTCAGTAGTAAACTGGTAAGCTTGGTAACTGTTGATTAAGTTAAAAGCTCAGCAACTGTTTATCAACTGGTAAACTATCGATAAATCTTTTTGTGGACTATATCAGAGAATTTCCTTTTATTTTAACAGTATTTCAGTCTGAATGACAAGTCGGTAAATTGTTGTTTTTATTGTAACGTAATATGTAGCCTGGCGATTCTACCAGAAAGATATCCTCATTATTGATTGATAACAACTTTTATATATAAATGAGAAGTAAATTTGCCTTGGTTTTTGGTGTAGATTTCGCAGGGTTTATCATCCTCAAAACACGTAGGATCATAGGAGAACGATCCCCCTTTCTTTAGCTTTAAGCCACAGTGTTTGCCCACAACTAATCCAAGTCTGTTTGGTGGTGATGTGGGAAGGCAGGGTAAGCAGTAAGTATTCCGGGTGATCCAAGGTTTCTGTATAGGGGTTAATTTCTCTATCTATTTACAGGTATTTGCTTAATACGAGTTAAAAGACTGATACATATGTATTACACAGGTTAACGGCACATATCTTGTGAGAGACGATAGGGTCAATGACCCCGAGAACAACATTGCGGTCTTAAAACGCCTGTGGTTATATAGTGGCGAGTCAATATATACTGTGGTTAGGGTGATAACCCACAGCACCTTAAAACCTATGTCAAAGATTAAAGTCTGGCTTGTCAGTATAACTGAGAACTTCTGAACGTCTGGCTCGTCAGTATAACTGAGGAGAAGTTCTGAACGTCCGGCTCGTCAGCATAACTCCTGAGGACTTCTGAACGTCTGGCTCGTCAGTATAACTCCTGAGGACTTCTGAACGTCTGGCTCGTCAGTATATCTCCTGAGGACTTCTGAACGTCTGGCTCGTCAGTATATCTCCTGAGGACTTCTGAACGTCCGGCTCGTCAGTATAACTCCTGAGGACTTCTGAACGTCTGGACGTCTGACTCGTCAGTATAACTCCTGAGGACTTCTGAACGTCTGGACGTCTGACTCGTCAGTATAACTCATGAGGACTTCTGAACGTCTGACTCGTCAGTATATCTCCTGATGACTTCTGAACGTCCGGCTCGTCAGTATAACTCCTGAGGACTTCTGAACGTCTGACTCATCAGTATATCTCCTGAGGACTTCTGAACGTCTGACTCATCAGTATATCTCCTGAGGATTTCTGAACGTCCGGCTCGTCAGTATAACTCCTGAGGACTTCTGAACGTCTGACTCATCAGTATATCTCCTGAGGATGAGTATAACTCCTGAGGACTTTGAACGTCTGGAACGTCGTCAGTATAACTCATGAGGACTTCTGAACGTCTGACTCGTCAGTATATCTCCTGAGGACTTCTGAACGTCCGGCTCGTCAGTATAACTCCTGAGGACTTCTGAACGTCTGACTCATCAGTATATCTCCTGAGGACTTCTGAACGTCCGGCTCGTCAGTATAACTCCTGAGGACTTCTGAACCTCTGGACGTCTGACTCGTCAGTATAACTCATGAGGACTTCTGAACGTCTGACTCGTCAGTATATCTCCTGAGGACTTCTGAACGTCCGGCTCGTCAGTATAACTCCTGAGGACTTCTGAATGTCTGACTCGTCAGTTTACCTGATGGGGACTTCTGAACGTCTGACTCGTCTGTCTGACTCGTCAGTTTACCTGATGGGGAGGCTGGGTTTAATTTCGTATGCTAGTGTACAGTTTATACAGCTGGTATATCGCCGATAAACACGGTAACAATGAATATGGTATCCCTTCGTAAGCCGTGATCACGCTGAAGTAAACTTATGAATATTCATGCCACAGCAAGTCGCTGAGGTATATATTTAGAGACGTAAACATGTGTGTATGTGAATACGTGTACCACACGTAGGTATACGGGTGTATGGCACGATCACGTGTTTTGTGAATGGACTCACTAATGTGACCTTGTTGTGTGACACCGGTTAACTGATGTGACGTCATATATACAAGCTTGAGGTTTTCTAAATATAGCAGACGGAAACAATGGAAGACAGAAAAGCAATGTAACCGAGCCGACAAAGAACCAGGGACACGATGATCTAAATGTATCCGACGCTTAGTAGAAAAATAAATAAGCTTTAGGTTTAGTATTGAATCTCTCTGGTTGATATTTTCTGGGTAAGATAATGTGTAACCCTGTACATAGCTCATTTAACATTTTTCATCACGGACTTAGATCAAGATATATAATTCCGTGATTACATTAATATTAAAAGTTTTCCCCTGACGATAACTCATTAGAGTGTAATACATTTGTCTCTGGTCAGTATAACTGTAGTGCCAGATTTACATGCGTGACAGGTAAAATCTCCCAAACCAGACTTGTGACAGGTAAAATCTACGATACAATGTACCTGTTTGTACGGACCTCATCAATAACAAATCTGAGCTAATATGACACATGTTGACCACACGACAAACACCACCATGACGTAATCTACCAGATAACAGTCGGCGACACAGTTAATCATTATGTAATGTGAGGTAAGCGTATATAGTCTATTGATAACATTTATTTATGTCTCCAATCATTTGCCATATAAAACAAACATAAATGTAGGCCATTTGTAAACTGTAAAACAACCCAAACCTTCATCAAACATTTCGATTTTTAGATCACGTCCTAATGTGTTGACATACATGCGTGATACTGGTTTCGAGAGGGGGGGGGGCAATTCTATGAAATATCATTCTAATCCCAACAAAATCTATTCTTTTAGCGGTTGCGCGTTTCTGGAGCAGGTAAAACCCCTTCCTCAGACCTACGTCTCAATGTTTGATATCCTCAACTAAATGACAGACCCGCGAGTGAAACCTCTCACTCAGATTAGATATCTGTCACTTTTACTTGCAATCTTGATACTATTTATTTTTCCCGTCTTGATAAAAGAAAAGTCTGCTCGTCCACTTTCTCCAAAATTCTTAAATTCTTTTATGACATAATAACTAGAATTTTCCTTGAATTCAGCATGTATTGTGCTGTTGTGATAAGTTATGAAACTCTGCAATAAACAACAAGATGTAACCTTAAACTCTAAAGGCGTGCATGGTCTATTGAGAATCCTATGGTTGGTTGGTAAACCTAACTTTGGCATGATAGTAGACCTTGAAGCCTACAGTTGGTATGGTATGAGACCTTGAAGCCTACAGTTGGTATGATACGAGACCTTGAAGCCTACAGTTGGTATGGTACGAGACCTTGAAGCCTACAGTTGGTATGGTATGAGACCTTGAAGCCTACAGTTGGTATGATACGAGACCTTGAAGCCTACAGTTGGTATGGTACGAGACCTTGAAGCCTACAGTTGGTATGGTACGAGACCTTGAAGCCTACAGTTGGTATGGTACGAGACCTTGAAGCCTACAGTTGGTATGGTACGAGACCTTGAAGCCTACAGTTGGTATGATACGAGACTTTGAAGTCTACATATTGTATGGTACGAGACCTTGAAGCCTACATTTGGTATGGTATGAGACCTTGAAGCCTACAGTTGGTATGGTACGAGACCTTGAAGCCTACATTTGGTATGGTACGAGACCTTGAAGCCTACAGTTGGTATGATACGAGACCTTGAAGCCTACAGTTGGTATGATACGAGACCTTGAAGCCTACATATGGTATGGTACGAGACCTTGAAGCCTACATTTGGTATGGTACGAAACCTTGAAGCCTACAGTTGGTATAATACATTATATGATGCCTTCAGCATGGTTGGTACATGGGAAATTAAATTCTACAGTTGGTACATGGGACATTAAAACCTACAATTGGTACATGAGACCTTAAAACCTACAGTTGGTACATGGGACATTAAAACCTACAGTTGGTACATGATACATTAAAACCTACAGTTGGTACATGGGACATTAAAACCTACAGTTGGTACAGGGGACATTAAAACCTATAGTTGGTACATGGGACATTAAAACCTACAGTTGGTACATGGGACCTTAAAACCTACAGTTGGTACATGAGACCTTAAAACCTACAGTTGGTACATGGGACCTTAAAACCTACAATTGGTACATGGGACCTTAAAACCTACAGTTGGTACATGGGACCTTAAAACCTACAGTTGGTACATGGGACCTTAAAGCCTACAATTGGTACATGGGACCTTAAAACCTACAATTGGTACATGAGACATTAAAACCTACAGTTGGTACATGGACATTAAAACCTACAGTTGGTACATGGGACATTAAAAACTACAGTTGGTACATGGGACATTAAAACCTACAGTTGGTACATGAGACATTAAAACCTATAGTTGGTACATGGGACATTAAAACCTACAGTTGGTACATGGGACATTAAAACCTACAGTTGGTACATGATACATTAAAACCTACAGTTGGTACAGGGGACACTAAATTCTACAATTGGTACATGGGACCTTAAAACCTACAGTTGGTACATGGGACATTAAAACCTACAGTTGGTACAGGGGACATTAAAACCTATAGTTGGTACATGAGACATTAAAACCTACAGTTGGTACATGGGACCTTAAAACCTACAATTGGTACATGGGACCTTAAAACCTACAGTTGGTACATGGGACCTTAAAACCTACAGTTGGTACATGGGACCTTAAAGCCTACAATTGGTACATGGGACCTTAAAACCTACAATTGGTACATGAGACATTAAAACCTACAGTTGGTACATAGGACCTTAAAACCTACAGTTGGTACATGGGACCTTAAAACCTACAGTTCGTACATGGGACCTTAAAGCCTACAATTGGTACATGGGACCTTAAAACCTACAGTTGGTACGTGGGACCTTAAAACCTTCAGTTGGTACATGAGACATTAAATTCTACAGTTGGTACATGGGACATTAAAAACTACAGTTGGTACAAGGGACATTAAAACCTACAGTTGGTACATGGGACATTAAAAACTACAGTTGGTACAAGGGACATTAAAAACTACAGTTGGTACATGGGACATTAAAACCTACAGTTGGTACATGGGACCTTAAAACCTTCAGTTGGTACATGAGACATTAAATTCTACAGTTGGTACATGGGACATTAAAACCTACAGTTGGTACATGGGACATTAAAACCTACAATTGGTACATGGGACATTAAAAACTACAGTTGGTACATGAGACATTAAAACCTATAGTTGGTACATGGGACATTAAAACCTACAGTTGGTACATGGGACATTAAAACCTACAGTTGGTACATGGGACATTAAATTCTACAGTTGGTACATGGGACCTTAAAATCTACAGTTATTATGATATGGGACCGGGACTTCGAATCCAACAGACGGCACTATATGACACCTTATATATCGCAGTTGGTATGACGTTGGACCTTTGAACCTCTATTTTCGGATATCGATATGACAGTACGATTGTTACTATATTGGACCTACAAGCTACTCTGTGGGTGGGAGAGAGGAGGGTGGGAACGCTAAGGACACAGATGGTGGGTGTTCAGATGAAAAATGCGACTGGTTTCGGTATTTGTACGTTACAGCTGATGTGTGGGGACGTTAGAGTCGCAGATTCGAGTGTGATGTAAGAATGGGGAAATGTAGCAATGTTTGTGAATTAGGTCGCTAGTCTGTCAAATTGTCTAGTGGCTCTATCTATATAATCAAAAACAAGTGACACTTTACCGCGCCAGAGGTAGCCGTGTTACATAATGTGATGTGACCAGCCTACAGGTATGTATGTAGCTACACGTAAAATCTTTGTATATACCACGCAGTGTTAAGCCTTTACACATGTCTGGACTGATAGCATACATGTCCAGGGAAATCACTTATAACGTTTTTATGGACAGGTGTAAACTTTGGGCAGATAAAAAGCGTGCTAAGGTGCTGATATTTATGTAAGCGGGTGTAACATTACAGGACACGAACGGTTCACGCGCTTCATAGTAATGTGCGTACTGACAAACTGCGAGTACATGAATCTGTTTTTTTTTTTTCTTTAAGTGTTCTACTCAATCTTTTGTGTATTTTTTTCAATTTCAAGTATAACACTCAAGTCACGTGTGTGTTTTTATATTATTTTTCAATTTCAAGTGTTTCACTTAAACTTGTATTTAAGTATTACCGAGAATGCACACCTGAGATTGATGGGGCTAGTATATGCCAACACACGGTTTCCTGATGGTTACGTTACAGCGAATATTAATCACTTCCAACAGAGAACTGTTCTGTAGAACATTATATAAACTCTTTCAAAAATCCGAGAGGTAATGAAACACTGTGTGCATCCCTAAATGTGGTTATTATGAGGACTTTTTTGTCATTCTGTGCTAGACTTTCATCTACAGACTCTCTCCAATTCCCGTCCTGTAAGATCAGACTTAAGTCTAGAATATGGCATAGGACCTACAGTATTTCCAGACGTCTCTGGTATAGTGTACGGTATGGGACTTGTGTCCTGACGTCCCTGGTCTAGTGTACGGTATGGGACTTGTGTCCTGACGTCTCTGGTCTAGTGTACGGTATGGGACTTGTGTCCTGACGTCCCTGGTCTAGTGTACGGTATGGGACTTGTGTCCTGACGTCTCTGGTCTAGTGTACGGTATGGGACTTGTGTCCTGACGTCCCTGGTCTAGTGTACGGTATGGGACTTGTGTCCTGACGTCTCTGGTCTAGTGTACGGTATGGGACTTGTGTCCTGACGTCCCTGGTCTAGTGTACGGTATGGGACTTGTGTCCTGACGTCTCTGGTCTAGTGATCCATTACGATACGACCAGAACGGTTCAGCGAGTCACAAATTTATCTATGTCACTAGACGTCAGGTAGTTATATGAGTAAACCAGAAAGTATGACACAAATGTCATTAATAAATCGTCCCCGAATGCACTTGACCTCAATACGGGTGTAGGGGTATGCTTAGGTCATCTTGGTTAACGAAGGGTAGCGTCTACCGTTTACACACAAGTGTAAGTCATAAGGATGAGAAATGAGAAACTTATATGTCTAGGACACGGTCCACGCGACCTTCTGTAATGGACACGGTCCACGCGACCTTCTGTAACGAACCCAGACGGTACAGGTGTATAATATTTATGGGCGGGGTACCTTGGTATGTTTGGGAGTGGACACGTGTATACACGTACGATGTACATGTATAAACAGCAATGAATTAGGTCTCAATCGATCATTCAAATGATTTTAGATTATATAGCATGTATAATACCATAACCAAACATCAGTTAGAGTACAACATATCAATGAGAACTAAATGAGACAGTATGAGTGTTACACACACCTGTTATACAACTTACCTATCGTTTCCGACGAGGTCGGCTGGGGTGTAACTGTCAGGCATATCGCTATCAGAACAAATTTGTATCCATTTGCGATAGCCTCTGTAAGGCCATTTCGCATTATATGGGAGACCGCGCTGATAGGTCCCCTTCGTTCCTGAATACCCGGTCAAAAAACCACACTTGTCCTAACGGTTGTTTTGTCTCTTCTCACCCGAACCACAATGTTTACACACACGAGGATTGTGTTGTCTGATCCAGGATAATACTCACTTCCGTATACACCCGGACTCGTGAGTAATCATGTTAGGTATAGCCATACCTTACATATGACGCATTCATAAAGGGTATTGTCCAACAGTCATACACACACGCCCGCGTGTAAATGTGTCACACCTGTCTCGGTTTCACCTTTACCTTAACACATGTAAATCTGATACAAGTCCATCACTGGTCAAACAGAACACCGATCACAAAAAAACTTCACCAGCAATAAACATTCTTCCGTGTTTGAATTTTTGAATCCACGGCGGCCATCGATGTTGCCACAAATAGCACACCTGGTGAGGACAGGTAATAAACAACCCGTGGCGCCGTCGTGTGGACGGAATGTCAACTACACGAAGATAACTCTTGATAACTGTTTTTGTTTTGCCTCGAGCTGATAATCATGCGACTGGAAAAGGTCAGTTATCTTTTATTCGTTTGTAATGTCTGAATACATATTTGACACAACAGAAAAAAGGATAAAAAATAAAAGGCAAATGTCAATAACACCTTGTTAATGGATTAATTTGATTGGTACAAATTAATCTACACGTTCTAACACGATTTTAGTTGTATGGAACACAGCTACATGTGACCAGTGCATCGCTTTTGTCGTTTACGCATACAGTACATATATAATTCATTATGTCAGAATTTTGCGAACAAATAAATAGATAATTTCGTAATATATGTTACAATATAATATATACAAACGGGCGATAGTTTGAAGTATGTTTATAATTATCATCATTTATCTGTAACACATATCTATAATGTTTATGAATATTGCCTCTGTCCTATTGTGTGTGATTTTCCCTGCCGTTATCGGTTAGATCATAGTGGATGTGAAAGTCCTTTATCGGATTTATTGATGTACAATAGTAATATATGTAGTATTTCGATGTTTATCGGCTTTATTGATGTAAAAGTAATAGATGTAACATTTCGGTGTTTATCGGCTTTATTGATGTAACAGTAATAGATGTAACATTTCGGTGTTTATCGGCTTTATTGATGTAAAAGTAATAGATGTAACATTTCGGTGTTTATCGGCTTTATCGATGTAACAGTAATAGATGTAACATTTCGGTGTTTATCGGCTTTATTGATGTAACAGTAATAGATGTAACATTTCGGTGTTTATCGGCTTTATTGATGTACATCAGTAATAGATGTAACATTTCGATGTTTATGGATTTGTTTTGATTTATTCAAAATTGTACCCACTCTAACTAAAATTGAACTGACTGTGACCGATAAATAAGTTCTTGCCTGTTTTTCAAATAATTTCTGCGTCAACGATGTCTGTAAGATAAAAGAAATGTACCTACAGTGTGCTATGTATCTGAAAATCGAATCATCCACGTACCTTACTAACCGCACATACATAGTGACAATTAATATCTGATAAGTTTCAGTACACATTTATCCTAAATACTGTAATCTCCAAGAGAAATTCTACATCAACTATTGTATTATGTACTTCAGATGTGCTTAACACATGGATAGACTGTAAATACATAAGTACATGATCACGTGACATCCTGTCAATCATCACAAGAAAGGCCATATATGTCGGTCAATAGAAAGTTTACTTTTTTTTTCATTAATCTGATATATTTATCTATTTTAAGATGATAATCAAAATATGTCCGCGTTTCGTAAATATTGGAGGGTGCAAACCAAACGCTGACCGCTACAGTAATTGACAAAGTCGAAGGAGCGGCGGGGAGTACATTTGATTGATTGTGATGTCACGTGGTAGCTAAGGTGTCAAACTATTGATTATGATGTCTGATGTCCACTGATGTCGAATGTCATCTAGGGACTGTGATGTATCATGTCATCTGGTGACTGTGGTGTCTCACGCAATCTGGTGGCTGTGATGTCTCATGCCATCTGGTGACTATGATGTCTCATGCCATCTGGTGCCTGTGATGTCTCACGCCATCTGGTGACTGTGATGTCTCGCGCCATCTGGTGGCTGTGATGTCTCACGCCATCTGTTGACTGTGATGTCTAACGCCATCTGTTGACTGTGATGTCTCATGCCATCTGGTGACTGTGATGTCTCACGCCATCTGGTGACTGTGATGTCTCACGCCATCTGTTGACTGTGATGTCTCACGCCATCTGTTGACTGTGATGTCTCACACCATCTGGTGACTGTGATGTCTCACGCCATCTGTTGACTGTGATGTCTCATGCCATCTGGTGACTGTGATGTCTAACGCCATCTGTTGACTGTGATGTATCATGCCATCTGGTGACTATGGTATCTCATGCCATCTGGTGACTATGATGTATCACCCCATCTAGTGACTGTGATGTCTCATGCCATCTGGTGACTATGATGTCTCACGCAATCTGGTGACTGTGATGTCTAACGCCATTTGTTAACTGTGATGTCTCACGCCATCTGTTGACTGTGATGTCTCACGCCATTTGTTGACTGTGATGTCTCACACCATCTGGTGACTGTGATGTCTTGTCTAATGTCATCACGCCATCTGGTGACTGTGATGTCACGCCATCTGGTGACTGTGATGTCTCACGCCCACTGTGATGTTCACGCCATCTGGTGTGATGTCTCATGCCATCTGTTGACTGTGATTTCTCACGCCATCTGGTGACTGTGATGTCTCACGTCATCTGTTGACTGTGATGTCTCACGCCATCTGTGTCTCACGCCATCTGGTGACTGTGATGTCTCATGCCATCTGTTGACTGTGATGTCTCATGCCATCTGGTGACTGTGATGTCTCACGCCATCTGTTGACTGTGATGTCTCACGCCATCTGGTGACTATGATGTCTCACGCCATCTGGTGGCTGTGATGTCTCACGCCATCTGGTGACTGTGATGTCTCACGCCATCTGTTGACTGTGATGTCTCACGCCATCTGGTGACTGTGATGTCTCACGCCATTTGTTGACTGTGATGTCTCATGCCATCTGGTGAATGTGATGTCTCACGCCATCTGTTGACTGTGATGTCTCACGCCATCTGTTGACTGTGATGTCTCACGCCATCTGTTGACTGTGATGTCTCACGCCATCTGGTGACTGTGATGTCTAACGTCATCTGTTGACTGTGATGTCTGCCATCTGTTGACTGTGATGTCTCACGCCATCTGGTGACTGTGATGTCTCACGCCATCTGTTGACTGTGATGTCTCACGCCATCTGTTGACTGTGATGTCTCACGCCATCTGGTGACTGTGATGTCTCACACCATCTGGTGACTATGATGTCTCACGCCATCTGGTGACTGTGATGTCTAACGCCATTTGTTGACTGTGATGTCTCATGCCATCTGGTGACTGTGATGTCTCATCCCATCTGGTGACTGTGATGTCTCACGCCATCTGGTGACTGTGATGTCTCACGCCATCTGTTGACTGTGATGTCTCACACCATCTGGTGACTGTGATGTCTAACGTCATCTGTTGACTGTGATGTCTCATGCCATCTGGTGACTATGATGTCTCATGCCATCTGGTGACTATGATGTCTCACGCCATCTGGTGACTGTGATGTCTCACGCCATCTGGTGACTGTGATGTCTCATGCCATCTGGTGACTGTGATGTCTAACGTCATCTGGTGACTGTGATGTCTCACGCCATCTATTGATTGTGATGTCTCGCGCCATCTGGCGGCTGTGATGTCTCACGCCATCTGGTGACTGGTGTCTCACGCCATCTTGTGACTGTGATGTCTCACGCCATCTGGTGGCTGTGATGTCTTACGCCATCTGGTGACTGTGATGTCTTACGCCATCTGGTGACTGTGATGTCTCACGCCATCTAGTGACTGTGATGTCTCATGCCATCTGGTGACTATGATGTCTCATGCCATCTGGTGACTGTGATGTCTCACGCCATCTGGTGACTGTGATGTCTCACGCCATCTGGTGACTGTGATGTCTCATCCCATCTGGTGACTGTGATGTCTCACGCCATCTGGTGCCTGTGATGTCTCACGCCATCTGGTGACTGTTTTGTCTAATGTCATCTGGTGACTATGATGTCTCATGCCATCTGGTGATTGTGATGTCTCACGCCATCTGGTGACTGTGATGTCTCACGCCATCTGGAGACTGTGATGTCTAACGCCATCTGTTGACAGTGATGTCTAACACCATCTGGTGACTGTGATGTCTCATGCCATCTGGTGACTATGATGTCTCCTGCCATCTGGTGACTATGATGTATCACGCCATCTTGTCACTTTGATGTCTCAAGCCATCTGGTGACTGTGATGTCTCACGCCATCTGGTGACTGTGATGTCTCATGCCATCTGGTGACTGATGTCTCACGCCATCTGGTGACTTATGTCTCACGCCATCTGGTGACTGTGATGTCTCATACCATCTGGTGACTGTGATGTCTCACGCCATCTGGTGACTGTGATGTCTAACGTCATCTGTTGACTGTGATGTCTCATACCATCTGGTGACTGTGATGTCTCATACCATCTGGTGACTGTGATGTCTCACGCCATCTAGTGACTGTGATGTCTCATGCCATCTGGTGACTGATGTCTCACGCCATCTGTTGACTATGATGTCTCACGCCATCTGGTGACTATGATGTCTCATGCCATCTGTTGATTGTGATGTCTCACGCCATCTGGTGACTGTGATGTCTAACGCTATCTGTTGACTGTGATGTCTCATGCCACCTGGTGACTGTGATGTCTAACGCCGTCTGTTGACTGTGATGTCTAACGCCATCTGGTGACTGTGATGTCTTATGCCATCTGGTGACTGTGATGTCTCACGCCATCTGGTGACTGTAATGTCTAACGCCATCTGTTGACTGTGATGTCTCACTGTGATGCCATCTGATCTGTGATGTGCCATCTGTTGACTGTGATGCCATCTGGTGACTGTGATGTCTCTGTGACTGTGATGTCTCACGCCATCTGGTGACTGTGATGTGATCTTTGACTGTGATGTCTAACGCCATCTGGTGACTGTGATGTCTTATGCCATCTGGTGACTGTGATGTCTCACGCCATCTGGTGACTGTAATGTCTAACGCCATCTGTTGACTGTGATGTCTCACGCCATCTGGTGACTGTGATGTCTCACGCCATCTAGTGACTGTGATGTCTCATGCCATCTGGTGACTGATGTCTCACGCCATCTGTTGACTATGATGTCTCACGCCATCTGGTGACTGTGATGTCTCATGCCATCTGGTGACTGATGTCTCACGCCATCTGGTGACTTATGTCTCACGCCATCTGGTGACTATGATGTCTCATGCCATCTGGTGCCTGTGATGTCTCACGCCATCTGGTGACTGTGATTTTCCATACTGATGACACGTGATAGTTGTGATGTCACTACGTGGTTGAGATTTCTATTGATAATTGTGATGTCATCGAATTGAATTGATAACTACCACTGATAGTTATGTCATCCGAAGGCTTTCCCCCCTTACACAAAAATGTATTGGTGACGTCACCTGGTGGGTCTGACGAAGTGATATAATGAGATGACATGTAATACAATAATTGATAAAGATCAAAGACAATTCAAATAAGATGTCTAAAAGTAACAAAAAGTTTAATTTCAAAAATGTTCAATATAACAAAATTTGATAAAGTTATCAACATCATTTCACGCCTGGTTGCATTATGATATATATACTTATACAGTACGATTCGGTACATACATTGTTACAGAAGTACATGGTACCTTTACACATGGTAACGTGAAAGCACGGTTTACACGTATACATAACAACTCTGCTGAAGATAACAGACGCGCGTAACGAGACGCATTTTGCACGTGTTTACTCAAGATAATTGTTATGTTACATCACAGCTGTAATTATCACAGACTGACCGATAAAATCGACACAAAACCCAGATCTACACTATAAACTGATTACATAACATTGCTGGGCTCCAGCGCTAGCACTGATTTCAGAACTTCAAAACAAAATCAGAAAAAAACAAGGAACGAAAAAAACAACAACAACAAAACAAAATACGCGCGTTTCTCTTTCGGGCACCGATCGCTTCTCAAGGAATCGAAAGAAAGACATACGGATGCTGTTGTGGTCATCTTGTTTTGAAATCTATATATGCATTATATAACTGTGTAAGTTTTGATATTTATTTTCGCTTGAAAAGGCATTCGATCTCCGAAACTGTTGGCATATCAATAGCCACGAATGTTAGAAAAAACGCTTACAAGGAAGTTATCTATAGTTACCATTAACACAGGATAACCATACTACTCCATTTGTGAGGGGAAAATGAACCACAAAGTAGGTCAAACGTCCATACAAATGTATAAATACACGTTATGATTGGATACATTATCATCAACATAGAAATCTGGTATTTATGTGAATAAGGTACACGACAGGACCATTACAAATATATCTTACAAAGTTACAAACAATACTGTTATAATTATACTTCTGAACCAACACTTCGTTCGCCATCAAAAAACATTACAAATGTTTATCAGGTAGGCTTTGTCGGAATATAACCCTGTCTGATTTTCATGCAGTTCTTTTCACAAATTGTTCTATAACTTGAAATTTCGAATTAAAGCAATCAGCTTTAAAGACTTTTCTGTTGCTATATTTCTCTGTAACCACAATTTTTCTCCCATTATAATTTCCCTCACCCAACTGTTGCCTCTGAGCACCAGAACTATTCTGAGGACTGCTGTGAGAATGATATATACTGTATACAGACAGATAAAACAGATCGAGTGTGTGTCTATATCATGGCGATGCTTTCACGATTGAATCTTGATGTTAAGATATAGAGTGACTAGTAATATTTCATATAATCTACGAGTGACGGAGTAACTTGTGTTGTGAGTTAATTTTCCTAAAGTTGGTCATAAGGTACCAATAAACCCCTACGGTCCCCGATCATATTCAAACAAGACGGTTCTGGCACAGCAGGTATACTTTTTCACACCAGTAAGTCGTTTCTCTCACGTTCTCACACCAGTAAGTCGTTTCTCTCACGCTCTCACACCAGTAAGTCGTTTCTCTCACACCGCGAAAAGGATTCTTGCACGCCAGTAAGACTCTCTTACGCCAGTAAGGTATTTCTCCACACCAGGAAGACTCTCTCACGCCAGTAAGTCGTTTCTCTCACGCTCTCATGCCAGTCCGTCGGTTCGACACTCCAGGAAGACTCTCTCACACCATTAAGTCGTTTCTCTCACGCTCTCATGCCAGTCCGACGATTCCACACTCCAGGAAGACTCTCTCACACCACTAAGTCGTTTCTCTCACGCTCTCATGAGACGATTTTTAACGCTGTCACGCAAGTAAGACGATCCTCTCACGAGCTCTCACCAGTAAAACGATTCTCTAACGCCCTCAGACCAGTCCGACGATTCTCTCACGCGCTCTAACCAGTAAGACGACTCTGACATCCTAATGAGACGTTTCTGTTAGTCAGGAAGACGGTTCTCTCATGATGTCACCAGTCCAAAATTATCTACACCAGACAACTTTGCGGGAGGCGATTCTCTCTCAGATACAGCAAAATATACACCGACGTATTACGAAGGTTTCCTGTTGGAAAATGTATTTTCTTGCATTTGCACAAAGCTGAGTCCAGCCCGTTCCATTAATCTATTTCAGTAGAGGGGAGGGAGGGGTTGTCTCATATACCACAAAATAATTGTCTCATATAACACACAATAATAATATCACCTCAGCGTCGTAGGTCCAATCACAGGGCAGTTTCAATATAAATTATTCTAACAAAAACGATTAATTGTCGTCAGAATGACACCCACTATATCGTGCTTCCCGATATAAAAAATGTGTGTCAAGTATAAATTAGTAATAAGTATAAAGCTCTATCACAGGTTTTACACGAAAACACTTGGCGCGTGACTTAATCTGCATCTAATTGACGGATCTTCAGCACGTGAAGGTGTCCAAGAGTGAAAGTTTAAAGTTCACTTATCGTCTCCTCAATGTCATCTCTGAGTTGGCGCCTGTGGTCTATTAGTTGTCGCAGTTCTGTAGCGACTTGGCCCAACCTCCTTCCCAAGTCGCGTACTTCATCCAGTTGCTCCTGGCGCCTTCGCTCCCGTTGATCTTGGAAAGCGGCGATATCATTGCGCCCTCTATCTAATTCAGAAGAAAACGTGGTCATAAGAGAATCTAGTCGGTTTCTGCTTTCTCTAAGACGTTCACGAATATTTCTATTGGGTGCGTTCTCCTGCTCCTCTCTATTTCTAGCTCGCAGCCGACTAGCAGTGGTGGAACCCTGAGGCCGGCTTTCCGTGTTTGTCGTTGAATTCCTGTTTGATACAGTGTTGTTTCTTGACGTCGACGTGGAATTATTTCTTGTGGTCGCGGTGGACTGTCTGGCAGTCTGACTAGTGCCGACGATGTTCGGTAGAGTCGGCAAACGACGGGTTTGAGACCCGGATGGGCGAGGGCCGGAGGGAGGGTGTGGAGTTCTCGGAGTGGCCGAGGAGCCTGTAGGGTTATCAGAGGATGGGGTCACTCTTCGACGTGCTATAGAGCGCGTGTGCCCTACACCTGATGGCGTGCGCTGATCTGTCGACCTTGACAGTAGTCGGCCTTGAGAGGTAGATGTTACATTGTTCGTTTCCTCTGTCGGCCTAAGTAACAGACGACCGTTGGATGAAGTTGTTTCGGTGACGTCCCTGATATTGTAGTTAGACGGAGCGGCGTCCGTGTCTGAGGGGTTGGCTTCCGACAGCTGAGGAAGGTCATTTTCACGGAACATTTGTGCCTCTCTGTTACTAGGTCGGTACGGCAGGCCCGTTTCGGTGTAAGTTGTATGCTGGTGTGTCCCTAAATTCTTCAAAGGACCTTTCCATCTACAGCTTTTAACCAGACACTTCACATTCTTGGCCCCTATCCTCTCTGCAAGTTCTCTACATCTGATGTAAGAATCGGGCATGCGCACACGACACACCGGACATCTACTGTGGTTTTCAGCATAACCACTGGTAGTCCACACAAATATACACGGATAGCAGTACTTATGATTGTTGATACACATCCTTGGATCTTTCAGCACTTGGTAACTGAAATTACACGAAAACAAGAAATGTGTCACCGTCAGTAATTTGAAGGGGTAGTTATTGAAATATCTGGTAATAAAAGATGGCGTACAAGGATTAAGTTTCATAAGTTAGAGGATTGTGTGACACTTTATATGTATGGTGATTGATAATAGCTCTGGTATCACATCTAACTTCATCTATATATCAAATTTCATATATTTTCTACACACATGAGAAAGGTCAAAATATGCGATTTGTGTTATAAAACTTACAAACCATGAAATCGGTTTTATTTCATTATGGATACTTATCAATTGGTAGACCTACAGATCTGACATGTTTAGTGGTGGACCTACATATCTGACATGTTTAGTGGTAGACCTATCGATCTGACATGTTTAGTGGTAGACCCACAGACCTGTCATGTTTAGTGGTAGACCTACATATCTGACATGTTTAGTGGTAGACCTACAGATCTGACATGTTTAGTGGTAGACCTACAGATCTGACATGTTTAGTGGTAGACCTACAGATCTGACATGTTCAGTGGTAGACCTACAGATCTGTCATGTTTAGTGGTAGACCTACAGATCTGACATGTTTAGTGGTAGACCTACAGATCTGTCATGTTTAGTGGTAGACCTACAGATCTGACATGTTTAGTGGTGGACCTACATATCTGACATGTTTAGTGGTAGACCTACATATCTGAAATGTTCAGTGGTAGACCTACTGGTAGACCTACAGATCTGTCATGTTTAGTGGTAGACTTACAGATCTGTCATGTTTAGTGGTAGACCTACAGATCTGAAATGTTCAGTGGTAGACCTACAGATCTGAAATGTTTAGTGGTAGACCTACAGATCTGACATGTTTAGTGGTGGACCTACATATATGACATGTTTAGTGGTAGACCTACAGATCTGTCATGTTTAGTGGTAGACTTACAGATCTGTCATGTTTAGTGGTAGACCTACAGATCTGTCATGTTCAGTGGTAGACCTACAGATCTGAAATGTTTAGTGGTAGACCTACAGATCTGACATGTTTAGTGGTGGACCTACATATCTGACATGTTTAGTGGTAGACCTACAGATCTGTCATGTTTAGTGGTAGACTTACAGATCTGAAATGTTCAGTGGTAGACCTACAGATCTGAAATGTTTAGTGGTAGACCTACAGATCTGACATGTTTAGTGGTAGACCTACAGTTCTGACATGTTTAGTGGTGGACCTACATATCTGACATGTTTAGTGGTAGACCTACATATCTGAAATGTTTAGTGGTAGACCTACAGATCTGACATGTTTAGTGGTAGACCTACATATCTGACATGTTTAGTGGTAGACCTACATATCTGAAATGTTTAGTGGTAGACCTACAGATCTGAAATGTTTAGTGGTAGACCTACAGATCTGAAATGTTTAGTGGTAGACCTACAGATCTGTCATATGTAGTGGTAGACCTACAGATCTGTCATATGTAGTGGTAGACCTACAGATCTGTCATGTTTAGTGGTAGACTTACAGATCTGTCATGTTTAGTGGTAGACCTACAGATCTGAAATGTTCAGTGGTAGACCTACAGATCTGTCATGTTTAGTGGTAGACCTACAGATCTGTCATGTTTAGTGGTAGACCTACAGATCTGTCATGTTTAGTGGTAGACCTACAGATCTGTCAAAGAGGCGACCTACGTGGTTGAGTCTTCCCTTTGTAAACTGTAAAACTGATCACTTAGCTGTTATTTCCCTGTGTTGTATTAGCATACAATTATAAAATGTTCACCATTAAGATTTAGGAAACTTATATTACGCTACGTATACACAACAACACATAAACTCATCCAGTGTATTTATATATTACTGATCAATAATAGTTTGTACGTGTAATATTCAACCGCCCGCATGTTCTTGATAAGTGTCGAGTCACAAAATAGTGTTGGGTGTGAGTACCATCCTCACTATGGATTAGTGTAATTTGGGAGTGTGCCTTCCACATGGTGGATTAATGTAAGATTTGAGTGTGTTATCCATACGGTGTACTGATATAAGTTCTGTATGTGTTGTGTGCGTAGTCAGTTTAACAGATCGATATCAAATGTTTTCTACATGTAGAGTCTTTGGTACATGTGTGTCGTATGTTTGTGATCGATTGTTGGCACTTTTTTCAGACACCTGATTTAATATCAACCTAGTTTTATTGACTTCCATTATTTTTCCAGCTTATTTCAAGTAACGCCGGGTCACGATAGACCTCGATCACAAAGTTTACCCTTACCCCCGGGTCAATATATACCTCCATCACAAACAGTTTACCCTTACCCACGAGTCAATATAGAACTACATCACAAACAGTTTACCCTTACCCACGAGTCAATATAGACCTACATAACAAACAGTTTACCCTTACCCACGAGTCAATATAGAACTACATCACAAACAGTTTACCCTTACCCACGAGTCAATATAGACCTACATCACAAACAGTTTACCCTTACCCACGAGTCAATATAGACCTACATCACAAACAGTTTACCATTACCCACGAGTCAATACAGACCTCCATCGCAATCAGTTCATCCTTACCCCCGGTCAATACACTCCACCCTTACCCCCGGTCAATACACTTCATCCATACCCCCGGTCAATACACTTCATCCTTACCCCCGGTCAATACACTTCACCCTTACCCCTGGGGCAATACACTTCATCCTTACCCCCGGTTAATACACTTCATCATTACCCCCGGTCAATACACTTCATCCTTACCCCCGGTCAATACACTTCATCCTTACCCCCGGTCAATACACTTCACCCTTACCCCTGGGGCAATACACTTCATCCTTACCCCCGGTCAATACACTTCATCCTTACCCCCGGTCAATACACTTCATCCTTATCCGCGGTCAATACACTTCATCCTTACCCCCGGTCAATACACTTCATCCTTACCCCCGGTCAATACACTTCATCCTTAGCCCCGGTCAATACACTTCATCCTTACCCCCGGTCAATACTCTTCATCCTTACCCCCGGTCAATACACTTCATCCTTACCCCGGTCAATACACTTCATCCTTACCCCCGGTCAATACACTTCATCCTTACCCCCGGTCAATACACTTCATCCTTAGCCCCGGTCAATACACTTCATCCTTACCCCCGGTCAATACACTTCATCCTTAGCCCCGGTCAATACACTTCACCCTTACCCCTGGGGCAATACACTTCATCCTTACCCCCGGTCAATACACTTCATCCTTAGCCCCGGTCAATACACTTCATCCTTGCCCCCGGCCAATACACTTCATCCTTACCCCCGGTCAATACACTTCATCCTTACCCCCGGTCAATACACTTCATCCTTACCCCCGGTCAATACACTTCATCCTTACCCCTGAGGCAATACACTTCATCCTTACCACCGGTCAATACACTTCATCCTTATTCCCGGTCAATACACTTCATCCTTACCCCCGGTCAATACACTTCATCCTTATCCCCGGTCAATACACTTCATCCTTACCCCCGGTCAATATACTTCATCCTTACCCCTGGTCAATACACTTCATCCTTACCCCCGGTCAATACACTTCATCCTTAGCCCCGGTCAATACACTTCATCCTTACCCCTGGGGCAATACACTTCATCCTTACCCCCGGTCAATACACTTCATCCTTACCCCCGGTCAATACACTTCATCCTTAGCCCCGGTCAATACACTTCATCCTTGCCCCCGGCCAATACACTTCATCCTTACCCCCGGTCAATACACTTCATCCTTACCCCCGGTCAATACACTTCATCCTTACCCCCGGTCAATACACTTCATCCTTACCCCTGAGGCAATACACTTCATCCTTACCACCGGTCAATACACTTCATCCTTATTCCCGGTCAATACACTTCATCCTTACCCCCGGTCAATACACTTCATCCTTATCCCCGGTCAATACACTTCATCCTTACCCCCGGTCAATATACTTCATCCTTACCCCTGGTCAATACACTTCATCCTTACCCCCGGTCAATACACTTCATCCTTACCCCCGGTCAATACACTTCACCCTTACCCCTGGGGCAATACACTTCATCCTTACCCCCGGTCAATACACTTCATCCTTACCCCTGGTCAATACACTTCATCCTTACCCCCGGTCAATACACTTCATCCTTACCCCCGGTCAATACACTTCATCCTTACCCCCGGTCAATACACTTCATCCTTACCCCCGGTCAATACATTTCATCCTTACCCCCGGTCAATACACTTCATCCTTACCCCCGGTCAATACACTTCATCCTTACCCCCGGTCAATACACTTCATCCTTACCCCTGGAGCAATACACTTCATCCTTACCCCTGGGGCAATACACTTCATCCTTACCCCCGGTCAATACACTTCATCCTTACCCCTGGGACAATACACTTCATCCTTACCCCCGGTCAATACACTTCATCCTTACCCCCGGTCAATACACTTCATCCTTACCCCCGGTCAATACACTTCATCCTTATCCCCGGTCAATACACTTCATCCTTACCCCCGGTCAATACACTTCATCCTTACCCCCGGTCAATACACTTCATCCTTACCCCTGGGGCAATAAAGACCTACGCCACAAACAATTCGGCTTTACATCGATTGACGATATAGACGTCATCACACACTGATGACAGTTATCTCCGGTCCATTAAAGACGTCATCACACACAGATCACCCTAATCCCCGGTCCATTACAGATTTCAACACACACAGATCACCCTAATCCCCCGGGCCATTATAGATCTCATCACACACAGATCACTCTAATCCCCCGGGCCATTATAGATCTCATCACACACAGATCACCCTAATCCCCCGGGCCATTATAGATCTCATCACACACAGATCACTATTACCCCCGGGCCATTCTAGATTTCATCACACACATATCACCCTAATCCCCGGGCCATGATAGATCTCATCACACACAGATCACTATTACCCCCCATCCCCGGGTCATTATTTATCTCATCACACACAGATCACCCTAATCCCCTGGGGGCATTATAAATCTCGTCACACACAGATCACTATTACCCCCCCATCCCCGGGTCATTATTTATCTCATCACACACAGATCACCCTAATCCCCCGGGGGCATTATAAATCTCGTCACACACAGATCACTATTACCCTCCCACTCCCGGGTCATTATTTATCTCATCACACACAGATCACCCTAATCCCCGGGCAATGATAGATCTCATCACACACAGATCACCCTAATCCCCCGGATGCATTATAAATTTCATCACACACAGATGACGATTACCCCCGGGCCATTATAGAACTCAACACACACAGATCACTATTACCCTCCATCCCCGGGTCATTATTTATCTTATCACACACAGATCACCCTAATCCCCCGGGGGCATTATAAATCTCGTCACACACAGATCATTATTACCCTCCCACACCCGGGTCATTATTTATCTCATCACACACAGATCACCCTAATCCCCCGGGGGCATTATAAATCTCGTCACACACAGATCACTATTACCCTCCCACACCCGGGTCATTATTTATCTCATCACACACAGATCACCCTAATCCCCCGGGGGCATTATAAATCTCGTCACACACAGATCACTATTACCCTCCCACCCCAGGGTCATTATTTATCTCACCACATACAGATCACCCTAATTCCCGGGTTATACATTCTTCAATACACATGGCTCATCACCATTCCCAGTGGTCCTCACTGACAGTTCAACTTTAGTACTGGAGCGATATACATGTATAGATTTTTCTCATATCTGTTGAAGATTCCAACAGTCACGTGTATCATCGTACATCAGATACCTTAAGTCACGTGTTTTCTGTGCATTTTACACGATTTCCTATACTCGAGGGTGTATTTACATAACTTGTATATATATGTGTGTTTTTGTATACCTTTCACCTGAATTGTATATGTGTTTATGGATTTAAATGTCAATCCATGTACACTTACCAGATCGAACATTCGAATTCTTCTTTCTCCTCCTCCGTCAGATCGATAAATATATTCTCTGGGTGACCCCCGGGCTTTACTGCTGGTTTCCGTGGGGTAGAGAGATTGAGCATAATCTCCAGCAGAGCGATCAGGGGCTGGACGTCCGACATATTGGTGGTAATTTGGTACGTTTCTGTAGGTGTGAGTATTAATGTCAATACGACCCAATCAACATATTGTGATTTATCCTCACGTGCTCCATCGGTCAGTCCCCATGGTTGCTCTTCTGGTAATACTCAGCGTGGTAAAAGCACGCGCACCGCATGTATGTCCACGGTTCTTTTAATCCAGTCAGTTGTCCAAGTCCATACCTCCATTAGCAGGAAGGTAAACTGTTCCAGAGAAGTCAGGTTGGCTCAGGGCCAGAGCGTCCGTGGTTGCCTACCACGTATACCAGCGACATCTAGCGACGGTTCTCCTAAACACACAGGTAAACCGATCTCACAGCTTACCTACAACACGGTGCGGACTAAATAATGGATTGGTTGCGCTTTCAACCATGACCACTACACACTAACCATAACAGGTAAGATCTGTAGGTCGCACGATATCTCTGCGCTATATAGTCATAGACATGTATTATAAATAGGATATAAGATTAGATAAACAATTTCTTCCCAAAATAGAGTATATAAGTAAATGACATAAGTAAAACGTACAACTAATGTACACTTAATGTTTATACATTACAGGCACATCACTTAAATCCCATAATATAACAATACAAAAAACCTCTGATACACATAAACATTTATCACGTGTCTGAAAAAATATAAACAATGGACAATTTCATAAACAACAACGGACCCGTGACATCACTTACAATGTCATCTCAGAAACATGAAAATAACATACCTTAACTATGATAATACGACATTAATTATTAACAACCGCTAATTGGTATCGCACTAAGTTAATTACTAATTGATACAGTACTAATTATCCTTAAATCACGTTATAATACTATGCAATATATAATTGAAAGATCAAACTGAGTATAAAATTACGTACATGTATTTTCGTGTAAAAGAAGATTTCTTTTCCAGATGTAATCAAAGTACAGTTAGACTGAGGACAGAAATGACAGAAAGGAATTTAACTGCGTTTAATGTGAAAACTGGGCACACTGCAATACCCAAGATATATATAGTAACATTTTTTTATGTCGTGATATAAATTTAATGCATTTTAATGATATAAACATTCCGGCGATAATGATGAAAGACAACTGAAGTAACTGAACTGAAAAGAACCCACTTAATTTGAACGCTGTCACTTTGTAGATCTGGGTAATTTGAACGCTGTCACTTTGTAGATCTGGGTAATTTGAACGCTGTCACTTTGTAGATCTGGGTAATTTGAACGCTGTCACTTTGTAGATCTGGGTAATTTGAACGCTGTCACTTTGTAGATCTGGGTAATTTGAACGCTGTCACTTTGTAGATCTGGGTAATTTGAACGCTGTCACTTTGTAGATCTGGGTAATTTGAACGCTGTCACTTTGTAGATCTGGGTAATTTGAACGCTGTCACTTTGTAGATCTGGGTAATTTGAACGCTGTCACTTTGTAGATCTGGGTAATTTGAACGCTGTCACTTTGTAGATCTGGGTAATTTGAACGCTGTCACTTTGTAGATCTGGGTAATTTGAACGCTGTCACTTTGTAGATCTGGGTAATTTGAACGCTGTCACTTTGTAGATCTGGGTAATTTGAACGCTGTCACTTTGTAGATCTGGGTAATTTGAACGCTGTCACTTTGTAAATCTGGGTAATTTGAACGCTGTCACTTTGTAGATCTGGGTAATTTGAACGCTGTCACTTTGTAGATCTGGGTAATTTGAACGCTGTCACTTTGTAGATCTGGGTAATTTGAACGCTGTCACTTTGTAGATCTGGGTAATTTGAACGCTGTCACTTTGTAAATCTGGGTAATTTGAACGCTGTCACTTTGTAGATCTGGGTAATTTGAACGCTGTCACTTTGTAAATCTGGGTAATTTGAACGCTGTCACTTTGTTAATCTGGGTAATTTGAACGCTGTCACTTTGTTAATCTGGGTAATTGGAAATAAAAAGTAATCCCCATCCAAATGTCTTCTTTGTCTTTATAATTTCACCTCGTTTAATTTGAAAACGGTTAATTTGAAATGCCGCCATATTTGAAAGGTAAATACTGGTCCAAGACGGTACTAATGAACACATCTGTTCATTTGAAGGCCACCCCGGCGCTCCTGTCGTCACACTTTGGTGCGTATGTATCTCTAGTTCAATGCCCGGGAAAGAAGTATGATATAAAATGATTAAATTATGAGTATTAATCAATGAACTGTGTCTGTTTGAACAAATATTTTTGTTAGTTTGTAGGGGAGAGCGACAGGTGTTTTACAATAGCTTCGTCCACTTCGTCTATTTATTGTATACCATGCTAACTCTCCCTACGCCATGTTTTCATGTCATGAATGTATGATATGAGGTTCAATACAATAATTTTAATTTTAATTTGTCCAGCAAGAAGCGTAAACAACTGACAATTGATGAAAAATGTGAACTTTCAAGCTGTATATAAACTACTAAACAGTTTCTAATGAAATATCATCAAATTGTGGGAAGAATATATATATATATGCTTTCATCATTAACGTGTGATAGGCCTGGGTGCTAGAAAACGCCTAACCAGTTAATTTGAAACCCGGTTAATTTGAAACCCGGTTAATTTGAAACCGGGTTAATTTGAAACACGTTTAATCTGAAGTATTATTTCCATTCCCCGAAGATTTCAATATAATCGGGTTCGACTTTATATGTCAGTATTCTGATAAATATATGTATAATGGCTTCTTCATCTAAAACAAACGTAGGATGATGATGACGAAGATGATAATAATGAAGATGATGATGATGATGATGATGATGATGATGATGATGATGATGATGATGATGTGGCGCGCCAGTTAAAATCCTACAACGGAAGGGAGGTAATTCAATACATAGACAGTGGTTTTAGTCAGAGTGGCGTGAAATAAGACTGGAAACATTAATTAAAAAATGTACGTGTGTGTCAGTTAAAATGAAAGTGCTGAAAGTACTGAGAGGCTAAACGTATTGAAAAATGTTCACAAATAACCGCTAAGCTTTATTACTTTCCCCATACTCCTACACTTTGGAATGCAAAAATCACTAAAAAAAAGAGAACCAGAGGCTATCTTATATCTTCTTTAATTCTTATTTCAAATTTGACGACAATAATGTGAACAAATCAAAATAGGTAAAAAAAATGAAATAACAAAATAAACACAACCATACATTCTTCGCCAAATGATAAATAGCTCTATGATGAAGTTGACTAAATAAAACCTTTGAAATCCCCAAGATGTTGCAATTACTATCCTATCAATATGAGGATTTAGACAAATCGGAAGGACTTTATACCTACTTCTCTATTTTAAATGTATTGCAAAGTAATAGTCCTTACTTATTATAATTAAATTTGTAGTTGAGGAAAGTAGATAAGGTGTACACAGCATTTCAGATAGATTAAAGTGTAAATAATTACATTAAATGTATTTACATGCCTATCTTCCTTGAAGTATCATGGTTAGACTTTTATTCCAGTAATTATATCTATAAAGGCATAGTTCTATGAGATTAAATTTGACTTCCATATATATACAAAATTTACAATATTTTCACTGTAGCTACTACTATTTCTGATCTCCAATGCATTAGATAATGTCACCATGACACGCAAAATGAATAAATATGTTATGGAAATATTTCGTTCTAGTTAATTGATAATTATAAACATGAATATTTTGGTTTTTTATACGCGTTTTGTTTGAAGGAATATTTTCATTTCAAGGAACTTTGACACACATCAACAAACCTAGAGAAATCAGCACAATCAACCCTCATCAAATAAAACTAAAAGACAACAAAGTCAACATCATGATCAGTACAGTATCAAAAATATATTATTCATAAATCATGAGCACCAGTTGTACCTTGCCTACGAAGCGCAAACTTTTTATCTACAAAACCTTGAAAAAGAGTCATGGCCGTGGGTGTGAAAAACCTGAAAAAGTGTCATATCGGCGGGTATGCGCGTAGGACGAACAGTCCAATTTTGTGACGTCTAATAAGGTAAAATGATGTTATGTATTAAGACGATCTTGCACAACGACAAGGATTAAAGCAAAATTGATGTTCTGTTTGTAAGTTTTCTTTGTTATAAGTGCTGTTAGTTAATAATTCAAACCAAGCCACCAGACTAGCTTCTTATCATGGCGCCAAATCGCACGTACAGTGTTCTGTACGCTTACGTCATGTCGAGAAGGATTCATAAGCCGCCATACAGTAAATACACTGTAAATCAAGTCACGCAGTTACAATAAACTTGGAAGATACAAGAAACCATTTTTTGCTTACTTACGGCAGAGACGTATCTGTGCTTACGGTTAATATGGTTGTTTTCTAGGAACATTCACAGCAGGCGTTAAGAATCACGTCAGCTCGACCTTCTTCAACAGCACAGGTGTCGGGGCTGTCCGTGAGCAAATTCCGTAAAATATATTGTTCAAAATTTATCAATAGTTCAACCACACTATGCTTCTTTTTTTTGAAATATATAGTAATCGTATTGTTATTTAAAAAATAAACTTATTGTGGATGCTTTTTAAATAGCGATTTAAAAGATTGCGGCATTACTTACGCAGAAAATTGCCGCTAGATATTTCAGCCAATGAGAAGGCCAGGATCGGTAAATTTTGTCTGAAAAGCCGTCGCAATAGGTTGTACGTACTGAGTACGTTTAGCCTAAAAATCTCACAATGGAAGGGAGATAATAAAACCAGTACTCGAGGAAAAAAACGCTTCTTATACTGTTGTATGTACCATGTAATTATATAATAACAAACAATACTGTTGGATGTAATTATTTCATAACAAACAATACTGTTGGATGTAATTATATAATAACAAACAATACTGTTGGATGTACCATGTAATTATATAATAACAAACATTACTGTTGGATGTAATCTGTTGGATGTAATTATATAATAACAAACAATACTGTTGGATGTAATTATATAATAACAAACAATACTGTTGGATGTACCATGTAATTATATAATAACAAACATTACTGTTGGATGTAATCATATAATAACAAACAATACTGTTGGATGTAATTATATAATAACAAACAATACTGTTGGATGTAATTATATAATAACAAACAATACTGTTGGATGTAATTATATAATAACAAACAATACTGTTGGATGTAATTATATAATAACAAACAATACTGTTGGATGTACCATGTAATTATATGATAACAAACAATATTGTTGGATGTAATTATATAATAACAAACAATACTGTTGGATGTAATTATATAATAACAAACAATACTGTTGGATGTAATTATATAAAAACAAACAATATTGTTGGATGTACCACGTGATTATATAATAACAAACAATATTGTATGATGTAGTTATGAAAGGGTGCGTGTTACTTAAAACATTTAAACATTTTCATAATATTGATATCATAATCAATGAATTATAAATATCTTAATATCTTCACACTTATATTTTGAATTGTTGCGATTTTTAATTACAGTTTGATTAATGAAACTAAAGCTGTTTATAAGTGATTACTCTGTTTTATTTTTTATTCAAGCGTGTTACATGTACCTTCGTGAGGTAAAGAACACGTTTTATTTTAGGAAATAAGTCAGTAAATTAATCAGTTTTCGAGTAATCATAGCTAAGGTAGAGTGCAACATCGCTCAGCCTCCAGCTCCATCGCAGAATACCTTTTTTTTTTTTTTTTTGTTCTTTGTTTTTATTTTCTGTTTTTTTTTTTTTTTTATTTTTGTCTTTTATTTATTTATTTATTAGTATTGTTTTGTTTACTGCTGATATAGTCAATGGCCCAATCGTGAGAATTTATCAATTTAATGACATAAGTGACCTGTTTTCGTATATTTACGATATATATGTGCCTCTAACTTGAAATATTTTTATCTTTTTATCTCCACTATTAGATATAGACATAGAGAATATTTTTTTGTATAATTTATTAGAAAGAAGGCCTACAACAAGCATAGTTCCCACAAAAACACCAAAGTTGTATTTGAAATGTTTAAAACTTCTTAAAACGCTGAGTCTTAGATGTTTATTAGTTATAAGCTTAATTTATTTATTTATTTCCAATGTAAGGAATGTGACTTGTTAAGAAATAAATCTTATACATTTAAAACTTGTTCTCAAAAGTTGGTTTTCTGCTTTTATTCTAAGTATTTTTTTTCATAATGGGCTGCACGTATTGTCTGTTTTGGCATTTGTTTCTTTTCGAAAAAAAAATTCAATGGCTCGTTAAATAGAATGCATGAAAATAATCATAACTCTTGAAAAAGGCACTGTATACAGCGATTTGTGTACATGTGTAGTTAATAATATTTTATGCTTCATCTTTTAGAGTTGCTTCCCTTGTATCATTGACATCAAAATTCTTATCAACGTAATCATCGGTGACAGTGTCTCCTACTTGACTTGACGAGATAAAGACCTACTTTTGACCGCGGATCATGTGTTAGATTTTAACTTGGCTAGACGGTAAGTGTCACGTATTATTTATTCATAGCACAAATCGAGACTATATTGATGATTGTCATAACATATTCACTGGGTGCGCATAACGAAATTTTCTAATCCGCATTGTCACCATTACGTAATCATGTATGTCATAAACCGTTTGTAAGAACAAGTTTTAACACTGTATCGACTTTCTATCAAATTCCAATTTTAACTTTGGCATATTGTTACTTCCATTTTCAGCGCTGTTTTATTTTCACCACAGATGCATTAATAAACTGTATTTACACGTGTATGTCGGTTACAGGTTTACATTTACAGGTAGACAGATCCATACCATTAGGGCTGATTGTATGGTGTTAGTAAGATGAATCTTTGTTAATGTCAATGACGTATGATGGTTCTAACATATGTCCCTATCAATGTACCATTTGTTTGTTCGTTTATCTGGTGGCTGACTCAAAAGAACCGCACACGGGAGGCTCGACGTATGCCACCCAAAGCACACTGTTTACATAGCGGACCAAAATGCTGTGTAATTCGCCGCTTTTCCTGTGCTTTTTGAGAGGATAGCATTATTCAGACGTGAGTTCTCAAAAGTGTGACTCTATTTCGTAATGATATTGTCGTTTGTTGTTGCGGAATGACAGTCTGAAGGATACTTTGATGCAGTATTCATATAGCCATATGTGTCCATAGTACTGTAAATATGAGTAATGTTACCTGTGCGCTTACCTGTATCAGTGAACACCGGTTATTGACAAAACAATCGCCACGGTCCATCGGAGCGCTGGACAATAACAAGTGCATCTAAAACTTTGCAAGAGGCCCACGGGGCCTGCATGGAACCATGACGCCAGACGATGTTATAGTAATGAAATTGAACTAGGAGCGATCGAAGCTCAAGTGACGAAAACAGATAAGACGGAGTTCTCTGCGACTGGCTAGGAAGGTGAGATAAAGAGCATCAGACAGGAGACATAAGAATCATAAACATTGGCCGAGGGGACCATTAGTTTTTATGATGGTCAGAGACAAGTGAGTGAACGGTATGACAGCTGAACGGCGAAATGAAGGAACATCGCCTATATAAAGATATGGTAGAGAGCGAGTTCATTTCTCTCAGGAAGGAGTGCAACGAATTTTACAGTGTTGTAGAAGACATTCAGTGCTAATCTATGAGGAACAATCTAGTAGTCGACCATAGAATTTGGCTGGCAACGTTCATCGTACTAAGAAACAAATTCCCGGGAGAAACAGTCCAATAGTCGCTCGCTTCATTTATCAAGCTGATCGACAGTCGGTGCTGGAAAGGGGTTACCTCCTACGTAATACCTTATTTGGGATTAGTGAACAGTTTCCTGTGGCAGTTGAGGAGCCTCGTAAAGATCTTTACCCCATTATGAAATGCTATAGTTAAAAAATCTGCAAAGTGAAGACAAGACGTATCTCAAGGGGGAAATGTACCCGAGAGACTCTGTAGCAGACAACAATCTTGATACCTCTGATAGACATACAATGGATACAAAGTTTAATCTAGGTTTCTATAGTGATGTTGTTCAGGCTCCTCTTATTGACGTATCTACTGTATCTAACAGCCGAGTATCCAATCAACAACGTTTAACGTCGTCTCTGATTTAAGATGTGACCGAGCCAAGGCCAATCAGTCGTCATTCTTACCCATCTGGAACAGTCTCTGTGTCACCCCTAGCAACTGAATCAACTACTTAGGACCAATCTCCGAATATTTACGTGCCGAATGACCAACTGACACAAATAAAACGTTTAATAAATTTTATGCATTGAAGAATTCGAGCCGCAACGAATGCAAACGGAGGACCTACTGGTTATTGAGACAGGGGAAATTTTAATGACTACACCCTCTGGAACCTTGACATGTTTCGCCTCACTGGTGATAACTAATCACTTCATTGAATGTGTTATCCAGTAAAATAAATCTTAATCTTTGATTAGTTGAAGTGACATATTTGAATGAAAGAGTAAAATTATTACAAACATTTATCGATTGCGTTTCTTTTACGTGTCAGTATATATACATGTATAAATATATTGAAATTATGAGGATGTTTGGGATTTATTCTCCCCTGTGTGATGGGATATGTGTAATCTGTGTATGTTGTAAGCTATGTTTTCCCCATCTTTGTAGCGCTTGTATTTGTACTGTAAATATATGCACTGTACTGATACACAGTAAGGGTTAAGGTAACATATGAATTTAATTAAAGATAAAGTGTCATTCCTAAGGATACAACTAAATCTCCACGGCTTGGGAGTGTCGACCGCGGACCTCTAATGCTGCTTGTGTAAATTGGTATGTAATTTAACATTGCAATTTTATTTAACAAAGTCTATCCCAGAGTTCCATTTTGTTCTGATCTATCAATATTATAGTTAAACAGAAGGTGTTCGTGTATGGACAGTGTGTTTGATCAGAGATGTACCTAATATAGTAATAATTCTGAGCTATGAATAAGTTGGTTGAATCTAAACTGCCACTGAGGTGAAACAAAAATGTTTTGAAAATGAAATCAATACAAGAGACAATGTCACGAACTCGCTGAAATAAGCACTTTAATATTGTATTCATGAAAACATGTAAAACAAAGTAACATATGAACAATTAATCTCATATTCAATCAACTGTCTATTTCACGTACTCATCAACCGTCGTACCTATGTATACCGACATAGCAAGCGTTCCGGGCATCGTAATGCAGACAATCCTCATCAGTTTGTTTCCTGAATTTATACTACATATGTAAATTATGCTGTAAAGGACGGACAAATAATCTCATAATGGTAGTCAATACACTATAACTCGATCCAGATCCGGCTGTCCAAGGGCCACCAAAGGATTGCCACCACAGTGTTGTCAGTACAGTAGGACTTGGTTATAAATAGCTCAACGTTAAGTAGCACAAGTAAAACCTAACTGTCAGAATAAATCTGAAAGTTTTACGCAGAAGTTCTTTTCATCTGAAACAAATTGTAACTTTTCATTTTGGAATTAACTTAACACACTTGGCCGCTTGACCAGCGTGCACGAGAGTACTGACCCATCAGGTTTGCGGCCGTTCTATCAGTCTACGCGCTTGTTGTACAACTTTCATACACTGGATTATTCATTAACTTTACTGTGGACGTCCGCCTGTCCAGTCGAATATTGTCGTCTAGCATAGGTGTTGACTTTCTCCTCCTGGCAAAATAAACAAATCTTAAAATATCACCGATATTGGCATTATTTTATGTAGATTTCAGGAAAATGGCCGGCTCAAGTTAAAATTGACACCTTACTCTCTAAATTAATTACTGTAACTCCATTTTCAGATATGCACTTAATGTTTAAGCAATAACACATTTGTAAAAAATAAAATACACAGAATTAAAACAAAATGCCGTGCACCGTATTCTGTAGTTGTTGTTACTAAGAAGTAAGACCGTAAAAAGGATAAAATTTCTGGTTTACAATTAGATTTAGTTAAATATATCAAAGATAATTTCACTTCCTTTTGATTTCCCTATTGTGGATTTTCCATTCCTAAGTAGTATGCACCTGCATCCCGAATATTTGATTTCCGTGAAGGATATCGAGAGCTGACATAGATGCAGGGTGAATAAGATCTTACATTTATCACCCATGGTCTCATTGGAAAATATTCATTTCTTTGTGCAATACAGGGCGAGGCGTTTTCATGCTCGTTAGTTTACATGGTGGTTTTAAAGTTATAACACTTGTCTTTATTTGAGAAGTGATACCGGTATCTTTGAAGGGTCACCATATAAATATTTGTTTTGTTCAAATTTTGTCTATATCTAAATTTTAATAGACTGTCTCCTATACATTCCCGATATTCTGATTTTCTATCCGTGGTAGAACCCTGCGTCAGATTCTGATTATCTATCCGTGGTAGAACCCTGTGTCAGAATCTGATTATCTATCCGTGGTAGAACCCTGTGTCAGAATCTGATTATCTATCCGTGGTAGAACCCTGTGTCAGAATCTGATTATCTATCCGTGGTAGAACCCTGCGTCAGATGGACTGTCTCCTATACATTCCCGATATTCTGATAATCTATCTGTGGTAGAACCCTGTGTCAGAATCTGATTATCTATCCGTGGTAGAACCCTGTGTCAGAATCTGATTATCTATCCGTGGTAGAACCCTGTGTCAGAATCTGATTATCTATCCGTGGTATAACCCTGCGTCAGATGGACTGTCTCCTATACATTCCCGATATTCTGATAATCTATCTGTGGTAGAACCCTGTGTCAGAATCTGATTATCTATCCGTGGTAGAACCCTGCGTCAGATGGACTGTCTCCTATACATTCCCGATATTCTGATAATCTATCTGTAGTAGAACCCTGCGTCAGATGGACTGTCTCCTATACATTCCCGATATTCTGATAATCTATCTGTGGTAGAACCCTGTGTCAGAATCTGATTATCTATCCGTGGTAGAACCCTGTGTCAGATGGACTGTCTCCTATATATTCCCGATATTCTGATTTTCTATCCGTGGTAAACCCTGTGTCAGATGGACTGTCTCCTATATATTCCGATATTCTGATTTTCTATCTGTGGTAGAACCCTGTGTCAGATGGACTGTCTCCTATATATTCCCGATATTCTGATTTTCTATCCGTGGTAAACCCTGTGTCAGATGGACTGTCTCCTATATATTCCCGATATTCTGATTTTCTATCCGTGGTAGAACCCTGTGTCAGATGGACTGTCTCCTATATATTCCGATATTCTGATTATCTATCTGTGGTAGAACCCTGTGTCAGATGGACTGTCTCTTATATATTCCCGATATTCTGATTTTCTATCCGTGGTAAACCCTGTGTCAGATGGACTGTCTCCTATATATTCCGATATTCTGATTTTCTATCCGTGGTAGAACCCTGTGTCAGATGGACTGTCTCCTATATATTCCGATATTCTGATTTTCTATCCGTGGTAAACCCTGCGTCAGATGGACTGTCTCCTATATATTCCGATATTCTGATTATCTATCTGTAGTAGAACCCTGTGTCAGATGGACTGTCTCCTATATATTCCGATATTCTGTTTTTTTTTTTCCGTGGTAAACCCTGTGTCAAATGGACTGTCTCCTATATATTCTGATTTTCTATCCGTGGTAGAACCCTGCGTTAGATGGACTGCCTACTATATATTCCGATATTCTGATTTTCTATCCGTGGTAAACCCTGTGTCAGATGGACTGTCTCCTATATATTCCGATATTCTGATTTTCTATCCGTGGTAGAACCCTGTGTCAGATGGACTGTCTCCTATATATTCCGATATTCTGATTTTCTATCCGTGGTAGAACCCTGCGTCAGATGGACTGTCTCCTATATATTCCGATATTCTGATTTTCTATCCGTGGTAGAACCCTGCGTCAGATGGACTGTCTCCTATATATTCTGATTTTCTATCCGTGGTAGAACCCTGTGTCAGATGGACTGTCTCCTATATATTCTGATTTTCTATCCGTGGTAGAACCCTGTGTCAGATGGACTGTCTCCTATATATTCTGATTTTCTATCCGTGGTAGAACCCTGTGTCAGATGGACTGTCTCCTATATATTCCAATATTCTGATTTTCTATCCGTGGTAGAACCCTGTGTCAGATGGACTGTCTCCTATATATTCTGATTTTCTATCCGTGGTAGAACCCTGCGTCAGATGGACTGTCTCCTATAAATTCCGATATTCTGATTTTCTATCCGTGGTAGAACCCTGCGTCAGATAAACTGTCTCCTATATATTCCGATATTCCTATTTTCTATCCGTGGTAGAACCCTGTGTCAGATGGACTGTCTCCTATATATTCCGATATTCTGATTATCTATCTGTAGTAGAACCCTGTGTCAGATGGACTGTCTCCTATATATTCCGATATTCTGGTTTTTTTTCCGTGGTAAACCCTGTGTCAAATGGACTGTCTCCTATATATTCCGATATTCTGATTTTCTATCTGTAGTAGAACCCTGTGTCAGATGGACTGTCTCCTATATATTCCCGATATTCTGATTTTCTATCCGTGGTAGAACCCTGAGTCAGATGGACTTTCTCCTATATATTCTGATTTTCTATCCGTGGTAGATCCCTGTGTCAGATGGACTGTCTCCTATATATTTTGATTTTCTATCCGAGGTGGAACCCTGTGTCAGATGGACTTTCTCCTATATATTCCGATATTCTGATTATCTATCTGTAGTAGAACCCTGCGTCAGATGGACTGTCTCCTATATATTCTGATATTCTGATTTTCTATCCGTGTTAGAACCCTGTGTCAGATGGACTGCCTACTATATATTCCGATATTCTGAGTTTCTATCCGTGGTAGAACCCTGCGTCAGATCCCTGAGATACTGGTGTCCGTCAACATTTTAACAGAAATGAAGATAGTGATGTCTCACTGAACAATTGTAATCCAATTTCATCCTCTCGTATGCCTCTGTATACATTTTATTACCGCAATGTCAACATGTTATTTCACACCGACCTAGCATACAGCATGGATGTCATCCACAATTATTTCTGTACAAATAGTCGGGTGAGATTTAAATTCGAGGTTGACTCTTCTCGTGTATAAATCCCACGCGAAACATTAGTGATTTACAGTATTACTGGCAGATAGAATGTAAGTTGTAGATTGCATTTGATACATACCTATGTTTGCGCCGTTTGTGAATAATGATTGTAATGATGATGAGGAAGCCACCTCCAGCTCCAGCCAATACATACCAATGGTCAACGATCCAGATCTAAAATCGGAGACAATGGTATAAAACAACCCTGACATTACATGTCACAGGTTAGCAGCCGTATAATAGAAATTTGTTTCATAAACCAACGTGTTTAATTGTAAATATATATATATGTCTGAAATCAGGAGATAGTATGCGTGTTTTAATCAACTGGCGATTACATCATGGTTCTACTTGTTGTTTAAATTGATGTCAATATCTAAATATCAAGAGAAATTCAACAAGAAAATTCTTGTTCCAAACAGCCCCTCATTTGCTCTTAACCAAAAATAACGCTCCTTTCAACCTCTGGTGACGTAAACGCTCCGCTCACTTTTGACGTTAAGCTGTCGATAAATTGAGTTAGAGAGTAGGCCGAGTAATATGAAAAAGCTAAATGGTTTCAGTGCAAATTTTCTGTCCAAATCCTTGTTTGTGTGGATTCCTGTTGTACATACCTAGAATTTATTACGTCTTAATGTCACAGCAAATACTCTTACGTAGATTAGTAAAACACTGGCATGCCACAGATAACTTCATTTAAGACATTGTAGTAATTTTAACTGGTCCTGGGTTGAGAATTTAGCATTGCATATTTGGCATTCTGATAATACCGACAAATTGTTTTAGACTTGAAGTAATTGGAAGGAGAGGTCATTGAGTTGGATATATCACTAAAATCCTCATCATTGTTCTCGTCGGCCTGTCATTTCATGTCTATGAACATGGTTAATCTGAGCAGATATTCACAATTAGAATTTAAATAAAATCATATTCATCCTAAAGTGAGAAATGATAGTATATCTGATCGGTGGCTTTTTCCTGCTATAAATAACCAAAGCTTCTTAAAGAATTGACTGAAAGGTACATGTACATCAGACATAATGGTTATTTATATTCCCATCCATACAAAAGACAAAGTTGAACACAACTAAATAGTAGCGGTTTATACCATAAACAAAACGTTTGGCCGAGATACACAAAATGACAATAGTAACTGACTTGATAGAATAACGGTTTATAATTAACACGATTCCAACTTTAACCACAAATATAGTTGTAATACTGTAATATATGGTGTTATAACTTGATACTACCTTGTCTGTTTGCGGTGGTTCAGTATGAAGAAGTGGGAGAGGAAACATGCTCTGTATGGCGGCGTCTGAGTTAATGGTGGTGTCCACCTGATTCTGTATCAGCGGTCGTCCATTACACGTGGCCGTAAACTCTATGTGGCATCTGGCATGACCACCGCTGGAAAGTGAATTAAGGAATATGATGAACAAATAATAAAATTATTGTTTCAACAATATACATAGCAGTGTGACTATATCGTAGTCCCAGCGCCTTGCCGACCACTAGGTCCTAATTGATAAATACCATCTCGATGGTTGTTTCTACTTTCACAATATGTGTGTTTTTGTGCCGCTTTTTCGCCATGTATCTTTCTCTCAAATGGATCGATCGTTGACTAACAATTGTGCGGACATCGGACACTACAGAAGATGAAATAGTTAAATACATCAGAAAGTTATTCAGAACACCTCAGCAGTGATATCCATCTGGCTCACTTGTTTCATTAAAAAGTAACATAGCATACGTAAAGTGAAGCTGTCCGATGTCTGATGCCCCCTGATGGCAGATACGTCCAACCAGAGTGTTCACTCCCGCTGTGAATAGCGTCAACATTGTGTCGTTTCCACTGCCAACAAACGTCAGGGACACATACTCTGTGATTAACAAAAAATACTGTATCAAAGAAATGTTAAATACTTAATAAAAATCCTAAACGGACCGTGGCGCCCATCATCGTTTCAACTATATTTGTTATTTCAAAGTGGGTTGTTTTCTCCTATCTTATTTTCTTTCCTCTGTGTTTTGCTCTTCTGATTTTTTTCAATTTCTCTTAGAAATTTTTAAATGGCAAATCCGGGGAAGTCATTTGTTGGCCATTTTGCTCTTTTCTGATATGTGAAATAACAGAAGCACAACTGGGGACCATGGGTAATGTTTGTGTGTATGGGATTTTAGAAATCTCCATGAAGTAATTATGGGACAATAGTGATAACAAACTTTCAATGTCAAAATCCAAGATGGCGACTGGTCAACCATTTTGTTTTCTGATCACTCTAAATTATAAAGGGAGATATGTCCATCTGGTAATTCTTAGGAAGTAGAGTTCACAAAATGTCAAAATTCAACATCGCCACCTGTCGGCCACGTTATTTCTATGATCAGTCCGATTATCAAACGTGCACAATTAGGGACCAATGGGAACCTGTTTATCAGAGAAAAATCCATCCTATACCTCTCAAGATAAAGTCATAACAATGTTTCATTGTCAAAATCGAAGATAGCCGCCTGGCAGCCATTATGTACTTTTGATCCCAAATCTAAAGACCACAGATAGGGACCAAGGACAGTGTTGATATGAGAAAGATCAAATACTTCTGATGAAATAGCAATGTTAAACTTTTTACTGACAAGATGACAGCCTGTGTGTTATTTCTTTTTGATGCATCAGTTAAAAAATAGTTCAATTCACAAGTAGTAATCAAGGGAAAGCTATATATGGCATTAGAGATTTACCCATTATGGACGTCTCCAGATTTACTATCATTGTCAAAATCAGATGGCCATACGACGGCCACTTTGCTTTTCGCTTAGGAATCAAAACGGCAAACTGCAAAATTATGGACCAAGGGTAACCTTCAAATGAAATTTGAGAATTATTCATTCGGCGTGATTCGAAAATCAAAATGGCCGACAAGTGGCCATCTTTGATTTCGATAGTAATAGATTATTATCGCTATTTCTGGAGAGAATGAGACGATGCACTCTGTATATACGTGTGAAATTCGAAAATTCTCTATCAACTATTTCTCCAGAAATATTAATTTTGAGAATGATCCATGTCAGAATGGTTTAAGGACGGGCGGACGGGGATGGGCGATTTGGTAACCCTTTATCTGACGAGGCTAACAAATACAACACGAATGCTCGAATCTGTCATGGATTATAATTGGCATAAACATGTATATAGATGTCATTAATCGTGTATTTTTTTTTAAAATTTTGCCAGCTCTTCTCTGACAGAAAAAATATATGTACATGTAAATAAACTAAACAATAAACCAATGCCTAAATTATCTACCCACGCTTTATGATGTCACTCTAGTTAAATAAAGGTATCCAAAGATTTTGTTTGTTTTTTCTGAATCACCTCCCATGAACAGCCAATAAATCCGTGAATGGTTACTTGGAGACTCATTGAAGAAGCTGATGTTTACATCATTGAACATGATGCAAGAGGACCGTCATAAGACATAAAGTGCAATTCAGGCCAAATATCTTGCCCACAACTTGATATCACAATTTGGTCCGTTATTCACCTTTCTCAGAAACACAAATCCACTAAGGTTACCTAGGTTAACACCCTAATCGAATGAGCAAATGGGCGTCATATCTACATAAGGTAGAAATTGGAACACAATATGACTTAGTTACTGTAAGGTATTAAAGAGAAAATTTTACCATTACTTATAGTAAGTGTACTATTGATACGATAATGAATATGACAATAGCGGTATCTAACACAATGTAATATCATAAAGCATTAATATGGTGTAAACAAAACCTACATATGCTGTATTAAGTTGATATCATACCTTTATCATCGTCAGTCGGTTTTGGAGATTGTCGGACTGTTGTCCCCGTGATGGTGGCAAGTGTTGTACTGGACGATGAATGACTATGCTGCTGAGTGTTGGATGTGTGGTGGGATATAGTACTTCTAGTAGTGGTTACTGGGTCATTGGGTGATGAACCAGATGTAATCGTTGACCTTGAACGCGTTGGTTTTTGAGATGTTGAAATACCCGCGTGAAGTTTATGCGATGTTGAGTTCGAAAACTGATGAATGTGTGTTGACTTCTCCGATGAGGATTGCACAGACGACGAAGTTCTATCAGTCGTGGTTGGAGATAGACTGGCATTAAACACGATGCCCTGTGCTGATGTTGCAGACGTTGCTGTCTCAGAATATGGTTTGACAGTCTTCTTGTTGGTTGTCACCTGTGATGATGAAGTAGTTGCCGACCTTGAGGACGTCTTTTGATTAGAATCGGTTACTTCCATGGAATGTGAGTTCCGTAAGTCATTTGTTGTATGAGGATTTTCTATTTCACAATTGTCGCCATACCAACCATCGGTACAAGTACAAGTGTAGCCGCCATGATAGTTCATACAAGTTCCACCATTGAGACAGACATGTTTAGAACATTCGTTGATATCAATGTCACACACGTGGCCATGCCAGCCCTTAGGACAAGAACAAGAAAAATTTCCAGGGACATTAACACACGACCCATTGTTTCTGCATACTGTTTGGGCGCATTCATCGATGTCAGCTGAGCAGTTTAGTCCTGTCCATCCTTCATAGCACTTACACGTAAACGAACCATTAGTGTTTCTGCATTTTCCGTTCCTGCATATGCTTGGATGTAAATCACATTCATCGATGTCAACAGAACAGTTGTGTCCGGTCCAACCTGGTTGACATGTACATGTGTAACTTCCATTAACATTTTGACATGTTCCATTATTGGAACAGGTTGTTGGCAGCAGGCATTCGTCAACATCAGAAGAGCAGACTTCATCAGACCATCCTTGAGGACATTGACAATGAAAATGTCCTCGTGTGTTTGTACACGTGCCATTGTTCAGACAAGGTGCTTTGTATTTGCATTCATCCACGTCCTCCGAACAGTTGCTACCTTTCCAGCCTGACGTGCATGAACACGTGTAGCCTTGGTCAATATTCGTACATGCTCCATTATTATCACATGGATGGAAAATGATGCATTCGTTTATGTCATCTGTGCAGTTCTTACCGGTCCATCCAGGTGCACACGAGCATGTATAACCACCATCGTGGTTATGACAGGTGCCCCCATTACCACATTGACCATATACCGCGCATTCGTCAACGTCAATCGTGCAATTATTTCCTTTCCAACCAAGATCACACGAGCATGTATAAGAACCATTCGTGTTTTGACACAAACCGTTATTTTGACACGGTTCATCTGTCATACATTCGTTAACATCAGTAAGACAAAAATGCCCTGACCATCCGACAGAACAACTACATGTATATGAACCTAACGAGTTAGTGCATGTTCCTCCATTGAAGCAAGGCGATAACGTGCTGCACTCATCAATGTCGTTCTCGCAGTGTTCCCCACTCCATCCATGTAAACAAATACAAATGTAGGATCCCTCGGTATTGTTACATAATCCACCGTTTTTACACGCATGACTTTGTTCACATTCATCTAAATCATCCTCACAATATAATCCTGTCCATCCGCTGCTACATAAACATTTGAACGATCCATTAGTATTTTGACAAGATCCACCATGTCGACATGTATCAGCAAAGGCACATTCATCGTTATCTTTCTCGCAATTCCTCCCCGACCATCCAGAATTACACTCACAGCTGTAGGATCCATTGGTGTTAAAACATGTTCCACCATGTTGACACACAGACAGATTCTGACATTCGTCTACATCCTCCTCACATTTTCCCCCAGACCACTGGCTTGGACAGTCACACTCAAAGCTTCCGTTAGTATTATGGCATGTCCCATTGTGATGACATATATATATGTCCTGGCATTCATCCATGTCTTTCTCACAGGTTTTTCCGGACCAACCACTAATGCATTCGCAGTCGAACGATCCGTTTGTGTTGTAGCAAGTGCCGCTGTGAAGACAGGGTAACATAGTCTGGCATTCGTTGATGTCAATTTGACATTTGCGTCCGGTCCAGCCGTTCATACAGTGACAAGCAAAACTTCCGTTTGTGTTTTGACACGTACCGCGATTGTTGCAAATTCCACTTATCTCACATTCATCATTGTCTGTTTGGCAGTTTTGTCCCGACCATCCTACCGTGCACTCACACGAGTAAGACCCATCTACGTTATAACAAACGCCTCCATTTAGACAAGGGTCTGTAGCGTTACATTCATCAACATCAGAATTACACAGCTCACCGGTCCATGTCTGTGGACAAACGCACGAAAAACTGCCATTACTGTTTAGACAGGTTCCGCCATGTGTGCAAGGGTTGGAGACAGCACATTCGTCAACATCTTCTTCACATGCACTTCCAGTCCAATGAGGACTACAAAGACACGTGTAACTTCCGTTTGTATTAACACATGTTCCGTTGTGATGACACGGGGTTGAAATAGTACATTCGTCAATGTCAACTTCACATCTTTTTCCTTCCCAACCTCTTTGACATTGACAACTGAAACTTCCTAAGTTATTGTTGCATGTTCCATTGTGGTAACACCATTTCTTGGTTTTACATTCATTTATGTCTTTCTCACAGGTTTTTCCGGACCAACCACTGATACATTCGCAGTCGAACGATCCGTTTGTGTTGTAGCAAGTGCCGCTGTGGAGACAGGGTAACATAGTCTGGCATTCGTTGATGTCAATTTGACATTTGCTTCCGGTCCAGCCGTTCATACAGTGACAAGCAAAACTTCCGTTTGTGTTTTGACACGTACCGCGATTGTTGCAAATTCCTCTTATCTCACATTCATCATTGTCTGTTTGGCAGTTTTGTCCCGACCATCCCACCGTGCACTCACACGAGTAAGACCCATCTACGTTATAACAAACGCCTCCATTTAGACAAGGGTCTGTAGCGTTACATTCATCAACATCAGAATTACACAGCTCACCGGTCCATGTCTGTGGACAAACGCACGAAAAACTGCCATTACTGTTTAGACAGGTTCCGCCATGTGTGCAAGGATTGGAGACAGCACATTCGTCAACATCTTCCTCACATGCACTTCCAGTCCAATGAGGACTACAAAGACACGTGTAACTTCCGTTTGTATTAACACATGTTCCATTATTACTGCAAGGATTTAGATGCATACATTTGTCAATGTCCGTGTCACATTGTATTCCCGACCATCCACCCTGACACTGGCAGACGAAACTTCCATTGGTATTCTGACAAATCCCACCATTAGAACAAGGATTGAGAGGCCGACATTCATTAACATCACTTTCACATGTGTGTCCTGACCATCCACCCTGACACTGGCAGACGAAACTTCCATTGGTATTCTGACAAATCCCACCATTAGAACAAGGATTGAGAGGCCGACATTCATTAATATCACTTTCACACGTGTCTCCTGTCCAACCCAATATACAAGTACAGTTGAAGCCTCCAATATAATTACTACATGTCCCACCGTTTTGACATATTGTAGTATTATAGCATTCGTTGGCGTCTATTTGGCATCTATATCCTGACCAACTGCCGGGACACAGGCAACTGAAGGATCCGTTTGAGTTGCGGCACTCTCCGCCATGGAGACATGGCGATGATAGTTTGCATTCGTCAACATCCTGTTCGCATGAACGTCCAGACCAAGCACGAGGGCACCTACATGTGTAATTACCTTCAACGTTTACACACGTCCCTCCATTTTTACAAGGATTACTGTTATTACTTTCACATTCGTTGATATCTTCGGAACATGTCAGACCCGTCCATCCGGACGAACAGGCACACTTAAAGCTACTTATCGTGTTAAGACAGCTTCCACCGTTCTGACAAGGATTTCTACCGGTCTGACACTTGTTGACTTCCATTGAACAGTTTGCACCTGTCCAGTCCGCTGTACAGGAACATTTATAATCTGCGGGTGTATTAGTACACGTGCCACCATTTTCACACGGATTTTTGGGTTGACATCTGTCTACTGAGGAGGTGCAGTTCTGTCCAGTCCTGTTTGGAGGACAGGAACAAGTGTATCCACCCTTGGTATTGGTACACGTGCCTCTTCCACACGGGAGTAGACTAGTACATTCATCGATGTCATTGGAACACGTGTGCCCATGCCAGCCGTCTTCACACTTGCATGTGAAGGACCCATTCGTGTTACTACACAATCCATTGTGCTGACATGGATTATTGCGACATTCGCTTACGTCGTTCTCACAATGTTGTCCTGTCCAACCCTGTCGACAGATACATTTACGATGTCCCTCTTTGTCGACGGTGCAGTTTCCATGGTCATTGCACAATGACCGCCTGCATGACGCACAGTTAGAACCTGTCCAACCTGCCGGGAGAACGAGAACAAAAAGAAATGATAAGATGGCCGCAAGAGTCATGTGTGCTGTATCAGCTCTGCTGTTCTTTGCTGTTTTATCTATTATAGAGGAGTTTTTAGCCATCATGATTCTGCATATAAGTCAGTAAGAGTGTATGGAAACAACTAGGACATTGCAGTTCCACAACTTACATGGGAAGGAAAAGATATTTTGTTGAAAACTTTTTCTACTACTCCAAAAAAAAAGTATATCATATATAAAGGATAAAAACATTGGATCTAGACAAGTGAGAACAAATCAGTATGGGTTAATATTACTATTACTCCTGTCCATCAATGTTGAATTGAACCCTGGACCTCCTAGTGAAGGGATTAACTCCACACACCTGGCATGTAACTTACCTGTTGACTTCTCTAGTATAGAAGTCTATTGTGTTGGCTGCCTACAGTCTTGGCACCAACAATGCCTGGGCGACAATGAGATAGTGAACAGTAGCTCAGATTAACTTACCTAGATTTGTGATCTATGTATCGATAGTCATTGCAATGAGGGAGGCCCAAGCTCTTACCTGATCATGTTTCAAGAGGTCTCTCTTTTGTGATCTGGAATGTGAGGAGTCTCATCAAACATTTTGATGAGGTAAATTCTATATTTTACAATCTAAGCCAAGTATCGTAGGAATATGTGAAACGTGGCTAACTGGCAGTCACCCCAGTAGTAACTATACCATTCCTGAATATGATTTTTTATAAGACTAGACAGATGTACTGGGAGTGGAGGCGGTGTCGCTTTTTTATATTAGTCAAAATGTTAAATACAGGGCTAAACCAACTTTTCAACACAACAGCCTTGAAATGTGCTGGGTTGAGATTTGCTCACACAATACTAAACCCATTCTCATGTGCTCACTCTATCGGCCACCAACGACACGTAGTGACTGGTATGAACTAATGACAGCGAGTGTTGAGCGAGCGTCTTTGGAAAATTCTAATATGATTCTGATGGGTGACTTCAACATTGATGCTCTCAACTCATCACCTAAATACCAAAATCTCAACTCTGAGAGTCTTGGACTCTACAACTTAGTACATGTACCAACTAGAACCACTCTGACTACCTCCACATGTATTGACCATATATGGACAAATATTCATGAGGATTTTACCTGCTGTGATTCTACCAACATTAATGTTAGTGACCACTATCCTGTTCATGCTGTAAAAGAACATTTGTGTAATCCTGAAAATAAATCAACTGGAATCAATACTATTAAATACAGATGTACAAAACACCTTAAAAACTTTCACTCCAAAATGACTTAAAGGAAGCCTTTCAGTTACCTATAGACACTAACAGAGACGTAAATGAGGCGTTAAGGAGTGGAACAAGACATTTTCTGATATATTGGATAAAAATGCTCCGATAAAAGAAAAAAGAGTGAAATACAAAACAATTCCAGAATGGTGGGATTGAGGACATAAGAACAGCCATGAAAATAAGAGATAACCACAAAAAACATAAAAACTATGATTTATATAGAAAATGGAGAAACAATGTTACTGCTTTAATTAGAAAAGCCAAAAGTAGTTTCTATATGAATGTCCTAGATACCTGTAAAAAAGAACCAAATACTGGAAATATTTCAAACAACTAGTACCTGGCAAGGTTTATACCAAACCTGATCATGTTGTTTTTAATGATAAACAAACTGATAAGCCTGATGAAATTTCAAACATTTTTAATAACTATTTTACAAATATTGTGAAGGAATATATCTCTGAAAATGACGTGAATACATTACCTGAGTGCTTGGATACTGTACATTCTTTTGTCTCGAAACATTTACCAAGCAAGACCATGTATAATATTCCTGAAATAACTTTATCATTTGTTAAAAAATTCCTGTTGAATATTGACTGTACCAAAGCCACGGGGCTAGATGTTATTTCTGCAAAGTACTTAAAAATGACAGCTGATGTTGTGGCTGAGACTATTACCACTTTGCTAAACATGTGTATTTATCAAAATTTGTTCCCTGATAATTTCAAACATGCCAAAGTGAATCAAAGTTTCAAAAAGGGTGAGAAAAGCTTGGTTAATAACTATAGACCCATATCTATCTTACCTGTTTTATCAAAAATCTTAGAAAAACATGTACACTCGTCTTTATATGATTTTTTAAACCAACACAATCTACTCATTGAAAGTCTGGTTTTAGATGTAAACATTCTTGTCAGACTGCTCTAACAGCCTTGACAAATAGATGGTACGAAGAAATGGACAAAGGCAAGCTTATTGGTGTTATGTATATTGATTTTAGAAAAGCCTTTGATCTTGTTGATTACAAAATTCTTCTACAAAAAATTAAATTACATGGATGTTCAGACAGTGCCATAAAATTTTTACATTCTATTTATCAAAACGCCTACAATTTGTTTCCTTAAAAAATAGTAATCCTTGTGAAATCACAACTGGTGTACCCCAGGGCTCAATTCTTGGGCCACTGATGTTTTTAATTTATGTCAATGACATGCCTCTTCATTCTAAACATTGTGAATTTTACATGTATGCTGATGATACAACAATGCAGAAAACCGGTAAATTTACTACTGTTATTGAAACAGGTTAGCGCACTGACTTTGTAAATGTGAAAAACTGGTGTAAAACAAACAAAATGGTTATAAATACAGACAAAACCAGTTATGTTTGTAGGCAGTAAACTGAAAAAACAAAAACAATCAAAGGAATTATGTATTGAATGTACTGATTCTGGTGATCTTACACTGGAAAATGTTAAACATGTGTGTGTATTGATGATACCCTTACTTGGAACAAACATGTCCAGGATGTCATCAAAAAGGTCAATTTCAAAATATATCAGTTATGCAGAATTAAAAAGTTTTTACCTGTTTCATCTGGAATCACTTATTGTAACTGTTTCATTCTACCTTACCTTGATTATTGTTAAAATATTTGGGGACATTGTTCTTAGACATATATATAAAAAAACTAGAGGGATTACAGAAAAAGAGTTTTACGTATAATTATGGATGCTAGCTACTCTGTATCAGGGGATGAACTATTCACCAAACTCAAATGGTTACCTTTTAGCAAAAGGGTGAACTACAACGAATGTATACTAATGTATAAAGTAGCTAACAAACTGTGTCCAAACTACTTGGACTGTAATATGCTTGTGTCCAGTGTACACAGCAGACAAACTAGGGCATCTACTGCTGATAACTATATCATACCTAAACACAAAACTGAAAAGTTTAGAAATTCCTTCCTATATACTGGACCAACTTTGTGGAATCAGCTTCCAGAAAATATCAGACAATGTGGAACCTTACCAACTTTTAAATTTCATTGTAAAAAATTCATCTCCAATTTACCAACCTAGATCCACATTTTTATGCCAGTCTTATTTTAGCCCTAAGATAATATGGTATCTTTATGAATGTTGCCAATTTATTGTTTTAATTATCAGTCCTTTATCCCTTATAAAACCTCGCTAATTTAGTCCTTTTATTATATTATTAGTCACTCTATAACCTTTATATATACCTCTTCACTATGTGCCTTTATCATTACATTTGTTTTATTGATGTACATCTTAGTCCTTCATGATTATGCTAGTTTACTGTGATATTTGTGATTTTTATATCATATGTGATGCTGTAATCTTAATGTTGTATATATTGTACATTTTACTGTCGACCACTTGTTAGAAGAGTCTTGTACTCAAAGTGTTATCGACTCTTAAATAAAGTAATTTATTATTATTATTATTATCATTATAGATGGTACAAAAATCACACGAGTGAACAGCTCCTTTCAATACACCTTTAGAATAATATACAGTACACCCAGACAATGAATTCCACTGCAACACAAAATTGTTTTGTTCTTTTTGGACCCATTAGTGATACCAAGGACTTAAATTGTGGAAAAATAGGAGGCGACAGCGGAAAATTCAAATTGCGGATCAAAGAAAAAAGACAGAATGGAAGGTCCACTTACTCAGAGATTTTTTGTTTCATTCCGTATTTACTGAACCGTGACATGTTAGAGTGGCATACATATTACCATCTATTTTCTTGTTCAAAGTGAAGATTGACGTGTTCTGGATGGTACGGAAGAATTTTAAACTGGATGAAATCATATCATTTTTGCCACAAGACGAAAGCTTTTTAATCCTGTAATACACTAGACGGATTTCTGAAGTTAATAAAACAGAATAGAACTATCCTTCAAGAGCACATGGTCTTGTACTTCTTTACAAATATATTTGCTACAACTGGTATTCATTCACCGTAAAACCATATGTCTTCTGATGGAACACAATGTCAAACTATATCATATGTCCAAACAACTATATGTCTTCTGACTAAACATAATGTAAAACTATATCACTTGTCCAAACAACTATATGTCTTCTGATGGAACACAATGTAAAACTATATCACTTGTCCAAACAACTATAGCACATGTCCAAACAACTATATGTCTTCTGATGGAACACAATGTAAAACTATATACATGTCCAAACAACTATATGTCTTCTGATGGAACACAACGTAAACTATATACATGTCCAAACAACTATATGTCTTCTGATGGAACACAATGTAAAACTATATACATGTCAAAACAACTATATGTCTTCTGATGGAACACAACGTAAACTATATACATGTCCAAACAACTATATGTCTTCTGATGGAACACAACGTAAAACTATATCACATGTCCAAACAACTATATGTCTTCTGATGGAACACAACGTAAAACTATATCACATGTCCAAACAACTATATGTCTTCTGATGGAATACAATGTAAAACTATATAAATGTCCAAACAACTAGATGTCTACTGACGAAATATAATGTAAAACTATATCACTTGTCCAAACATCTATATGTCTTCTGACGAAACATAATGTAAAACTATATCACATGTCAAAACATCTATATGTCTTCTGATGGAACACAATGTAAAACTATATACATGTCCAAGCAACTATATGTCTTCTGATGGAACACAACGTAAAACTATATCACTTGTCCAAACAACTATATGTCTTCTGATGGAACACAACGTAAAACTATATCACTTGTCCAAGCAACTATATGTCTTCTGATGGAACACAACGTAAAACTATATCACTTGTCCAAACAACTATATGTCTTCTGATGGAACAGAACGTAAAACTATATCACTTGTCCAAACAACTGTATGTTCTGATGGAACACAATGAAAAACTATATCACATGTCCAAACAACTATATGTCTTCTGATGGTACACAATGTAAAACTACATCACATGTCCAAACAACTATATGTCTTCTGACGAAATATAATGTAAAACTATATCACTTGTCCAAACATCTATATGTCTTCTGACGAAACATAATGTAAAACTATATCACATGTCAAAACATCTATATGTCTTCTGATGGAACACAATGTAAAACTATATACATGTCCAAGCAACTATATGTCTTCTGATGGAACACAACGTAAACTATATACATGTCCAAGCAACTATATGTCTTCTGATGGTACACAATGTAAAACTACATCACATGTCCAAGCAACTATATGTCTTCTGATGGTACACAATGTAAAACTACATCACATGTCCAAACAACTATATGTCTTCTGATGGAACACAACGTAAAACTATATCACTTGTCCAAACATCTATATGTCTTCTGATGGAACACAACGTAAACTATATACATGTCCAAACAACTATATGTCTTCTGATGGAACACAATGTAAAACTATATACATGTCCAAACAATTATATGTCTTCTGATGGAACACGACGTAAACTATATACATGTCCAAACATCTATATGTCTTCTGATGGAAAACAACGTAAAACTATATCACTTGTCCAAACAACTATATGTCTTCTGATGGAACACAACGTAAACTATATACATGTCCAAACAACTATATGTCTTCTGATGGAACACAATGTAAAACTATATACATGTCCAAACAATTATATGTCTTCTGATGGAACACGACGTAAACTATATACATGTCCAAACATCTATATGTCTTCTTATGGAAAACAACGTAAAACTATGTCACTTGTCCAAGCAACTATATGTCTTCTGATGGAACACATTGTAAAACTATATACATGTCCAAACAACTATATGTCTTCTGATGGAACACAACGTAAAACTATATCACTTGTCCAAACAACTATATGTCTTCTGATGGAACAGAACGTAAAACTATATCACTTGTCCAAGCAACTATATGTCTTCTGATGGAACACAACGTAAAACTATATCACTTGTCCAAACAACTATATGTCTTCTGATGGAACACAACGTAAAACTATATCACTTGTCCAAACAACTATATGTCTTCTGATGGAACAGAACGTAAAACTATATCACTTGTCCAAACAACTGTATGTTCTGATGGAACACAATGAAAAACTATATCACATGTCCAAACAACTATATGTCTTCTGATGGTACACAATGTAAAACTACATCACATGTCCAAACAACTATATGTCTTCTGATGGAACACAACGTAAACTATATACATGTCCAAACAACTATATGTCTTCTGATGGAACACAACGTAAAACTATATCACTTGTCACAACATCTATATGTCTTCTGATGGAACACAACGTAAACTATATACATGTCCAAACAACTATATGTCTTCTGATGGAACACAACGTAAACTATATCACTTGTCTAAACAACTGTATGTTCTGATGGAACACAATGTAAAACTATATACATGTCCAAACAACTATATGTCTTCTGATGGAACACAATGTAAAACTATATCACATGTCCAAACAACTATATGTCTTCTGATGGAACACAATGTAAAACTATATCACTTGTCCAAACATCTATATGTCTTCTGATTGAACAAAACGTAAAACTATATACATGTCCAAACAACTATATGTCTTCTGATGGAACACAACGTAAACTATATACATGTCCAAGCAACTATATGTCTTCTGATGGAACACAACGTAAACTATATACATGTCCAAACATCTATATGTCTTCTGATGGAACAAAACGTAAAACTATATCACTTGTTCAAACAACTATATGTCTTCTGATGGAACACAGTTATGTTGATAACAACTTTTTTAACTGTGTAAGGTTTTAACCATATCACTATACATTAATAATTGAAATTCTAAATATTTCAAAACATATTTAGATAGATATTATTGTTTGTTATATGTGTATCTGTTCACATTAAAGATCTATGGAAATAACACAGAAAGACAACACCTGAGACCACGGCCTCATATATTAGTGCACAAACCCACCATAAACAAAGACAAAACATATCAAATCAAAATAAAAAGATAACCTAAAAAGCTTCAGGAGAAATAAATTGCTTGTCTTACCTTGTTTACAATACTTCTGTCCTGTCGTTTTGTTACACTGTATCCTGGAAGATTCTACACAATGTACGCTACAGTTAATACCGTACCAGTTAGGTGTGCACCACACTAACATCTCCATTGTCACACTGCAAGACAAAACAAAGATAATTGTGATAAGATAATGAAATCAAAACGAGTAGAGGCTCAAATATACACCAAACAAACATCTCTATTGTAACACAGCAAGACAAAACAAAGAAAATAATGATAAAATGATAAAATAGAAGCAAATAGGGGCTCACATAGATATAACATAACCCCTTGATATTTCTTATTTCAAATGTGGTCAACTGTGATCTGGCTGTCTAAAATGAACTGACGTCCACCAAAATATAGTAAGAGAGTTTGTGATATAACTTTAACGTTAGCATATGGTTTCGAAAGTGATCAAGTGTGACCTTTGGCAATTAAACCATCAGCAATTAGCACCATAACGAATTATGTAGTAGAATTCGATGAAGTGACGTTATGTTATGCATATAGACTGAACTGTTTTTATTGTTGTATCTTTTTAGATGTTTTGTACACAAGCATTTGGCCTTAAATTGTCAATTGTGACTCTGTCTGACCTTTACCGCATTATTCTAGACCCATGATCAATAAACATTAACCAGTTATAATCTGATACGGTGATACTATGGTGTAAACATGAACTAAATCTATGTGACGGTCCTGAAATATCATGTTCACAATCCAAACCTAAATATCGTTTACTAGGAGGAGATATAATGGCTTACAAGAAGAATACCAAACCAATAAACGTATCGTTTTGTTGATATACATTCACACTGAACGTGGCATTATTTTCGTTGATTGACCAAGATTTACATTACGGGTTTCATGGATGAAGCAGAAGACGCTTACTCTTCCGGAACATTTGGTCTTATCCTCCTTGTTCTATTTTCAGGAGTCTCTGTGTAAATATTTCTGGTGTTCATGTTTTTCTCTAGTTTAATTGAATTTCATTTTTTATTATGATCATGTTACTGGTATTTTTTTATTGTCCCCCGACTCACCAAACCACACTTCCATCTTTTTTTATTGAGAAATTATCTGTGTTTCAAAGTCAGTACTAATAATGCTTTTCTTTACCGACACGGGGATTCACCAAAGGCTGGTTAATTATTGTGAATCAATTTTACTAAAAAATGAGTTATAATAAAGCTCGTATTGGCGTTTTGTTTACCTGACTACATGATGCATCACAATAACAGTTGGTGTTGCCTCGGCCAGGGAAATACTTGGTGTAATACTATGCGAAGACATCAGTTGATCTATGACTTCGTTGTGTTTCGTATCAGAATCTTGTACCTCAACGAACACACTAATCCTGCCCTGTTTCCATATAAAACGTATTTAAGTGAAACAATACATAGTCATATTTACATTTGTGAATTGCAAGCACGTAAAATATCAGTATATTATAGATTGTTAATTCTCACGTCTAGGCGAATACTAATGAAAATGGAGGTATATTGAGACGCAAAGCTGTGCTAGAAATACTAAACATAGATATACCAGACGTGCTACTGTCGGGTCTGGAGATTTGTTGTACACAGAAAGTCAATACCAGACATGGTACTGTCGGGTCTGGAGATGTGTTGTACACAGAATGTCAATACCAGACATGCTACTGTGTGTTGTACACAGAAAGTCAATACCAGACATGGTACTGTCGGGTCTGGAGATGTGTTGTACACAGAAAGTCAATACCGGACATGGTACTGTCGGGTCTGGAGATGTGTTGTACACAGAGAGTCAATACCAGACATGCTACTGTCGGGTCTGGAGTTGTGTTGTACACAGAAAGTCAATACCAGACATGGTACTGTCGGGTCTGGAGATGTGTTGTACACAGAAAGTCAATACCAGACATGGTACTGTCGGGTCTGGAGATGTGTTGTACACAGAATGTCAATACCAGACATGCTACTGTCGGGTCTGGAGATGTGTTGTACACAGAAAGTCAATACCAGACATGGTACTGTCGGGTCTGGAGTTGTGTTGTACACAGAAAGTCAATACCAGACATGGTACTGTCGGGTCTGGAGATGTGTTGTACACAGAAAGTCAATACCAGACATGCTACTGTCGGGTCTGGAGATGTGTTGTACACAGAAAGTCATTACCAGACATGCTAATGTCGGGTCTGGAGATGTGTTGTACACAGAAAGTCAATACCAGACATGGTACTGTCGGGTCTGGAGATGTGTTGTACACAGAAAGTCAATACCAGACATGGTACTGTCGGGTCTGGAGATGTGTTGTACACAGAAAGTCAATACCAGACATGGTACTGTCGGGTCTTGAGATGTGTTGTACACAGAAAGTCAATACCAGAAATGCTACTGTCGGGTCTGGAGATGTGTTGTACACAGAAAGTCAATACCAGACATGCTACTGTCGGGTCTGGAGATATAATTCTTTGTATACGTCCCTAGAAAGGCAATGCTAGATATATACTATACGTGTATTGGGAGTCCATGTCAGGCGTGTAGCATTCCCAAGGTATCCCGGCCAGGCATTCTATTTATTTGATTTATTTAACGGGTTTGTTGTCCACTATTACAGCCTTTCGGCCTTCCGGTCTTTCAGCGGACGAGAAAATATAGGGAAATGAGTAGGAGGGGAAAAGTGAAGCGATGGGAGAGAGTAGGATACAGGGATGGGGTAGAGAGATACCGTTTACGCTGATTGGTCTGTACTAAAACTATGATTTAGACGGCCACCAGCTGGCCTTATTTCAAACCTAACCTAACACTAAGCACATCGCACGAAGAGGACCGAGAGAGAGGGGTTGAGAATCTTACACTTGGTAAATTCCGATATGTCGATAGGATTTTGGAATTCCGTCAAAATTATTTAATAAATATTCCCTTATGCTAACCTAACCGTAACCTCTCGGTCGGCGTTATCACGCCTGCTCTTTTTCGAAAAGTCAGAGAGGGATCTTTATCGTGCGAGTTGGACATTTTAACACGGGCCACCATCTTAAGTCCCATCCGACGGAGTGTGGGTTAATGTCAGTTGTCGGTAAATTGCTAGTCTTGATCTGTTTTGTGTCTATACAGGTATAAATCGTCTTTCTATCTCTATATGCCATTCTTCACACTGTTCGCTTTATCAATGTCTATACTTTCTGTAAATCCGCACCGTTCCTTTCTTCGTGTAGCTGTTCCCTTTTCGGTTATATTTCGTGATTGTTAGTTAGTATTTGGAGAGGTTGGAGGTGTTAATAGGAGTTTACTGAGTGGTCAAAGAAATAGACTTGTTACGATGCAGCTTATTGGCCGAAGGAGCGTCATGAGATGATGTTAAACTTCCTGCGTTAAATGTAGCATTTCTACTGCTGTTAATGTCCAGTACGTACCCAGCGAGTCCAGACTAGGCGGGCGACCATCGGGCTTTCTGGCTTGGGAGTCCTGTTGTTTATGATATTGATATCGCCACATGTGTCTATTCTGTTGGCATTTGGAGTTGCAAGCGTTGTGATACACGGTGTATGGGTGCTGTTTATGCGAAAGATTTTTTTCTGTATAGATTTTTTTCGTACATATCGAGGTGTATACATATCTGTCATGATGATAACAACATTAAAATCTTATTTACCCAGGGTTACATATTTCTACAGATCTAATTTACAATATGGCCAAGCAGTAACGTATATACTGATATTACAGATAGATTTTCAATCAATTTTACATGGAAGAAGTAAATTATGAGAATTAAGATAATGCAGACATGAAATACAAAGAATACTTAAATATATAAAGATATCAGATAGTCATTTATAAATACTAAAATATATAACGACCCACACACTTCTAATCAAAATAGCGTAATGTATCACAGATATAGTCACTACAAAACGAAACATTCCTTAAAATATGTTTGAAAACAGCAACACTATCAGCATTTCTAAAATTTGCACTTACACCATATAATAAAACCGAACATATGTACACAAATGAACATAATATTTTTTTTTAAACAAATTTTTGACTTCAATATGAAAATATCGCGTTGCAATATTTAACAGAAATATGGATCTCACCTTCCTCCAATACAGATGCGAAATATTGGGTCACATTTGTCAGCATAATTGCAGTGTCCATGATGAGAATTTCCATCACAGCACTTCCGGTTACCCGCTGTTCCTCTGGACGTGCCATTAGGATTCGTGTAGGACTGGACTCGTAAAGCCACGAAGACATTCGGAACATCTCTCTAGATATATTAATTGTTAATCTGTTCTACATCGTTACGATAAATAGCATGCAAAACCTCATGGTTTTATCACATACCTTTTTATTCTATATCAGAACAGATCTATAACAATATCACTGTCTTGTTTCAAGTCAATGTGCACTAGCTGAACCAACAATCGGGCATTCAGTAAACCAACTGATCTTAAAATGTCAGTTTCAGGTGACGTCACTAGACAGGGGGTATCTCATACTATCATCAGTGATTAACAAATATATTTCACTCGGGTGTCAAATACAATTATATGAGTTACCGGTCTTCAGTGTTTGCTGACTTTGGAAATGAAACTTTACCATGGAATTGAAGGTTGCGTTACTAGTAAACAATCCTTTCAGGCTTTTGGTTTTGTGCTTTGTTTATACCGGATGTTATGATTTGTCAATTTTATAAGATATGTGTTCTCTCTTTTCATTGGTCTGCAAAAGTGTTATGTTGTGAAAATTCACAAAAATAGTCATATCATGTATCTCAGATCATTTTTATCTGGCTAGTCACTTATATTTAATAGAAAAATAATTTCAACCGTCCGATCAGTTGTAATGAGGTCGACATTATTTTATCTATTCAATACATGTCAACAGGTGGCGTGAAGGTAGGAAATATGGCGTGTGCCAATTCATCCTATTCGTATCCGAATCTACTTTCATGATATAGTACATGTATATTGTGACCGCCTAATGTAAGTATGGAAGATCATCAAATTGACCTGTTTTCACTATTATCTTATCGACATTTCATCTGACTACTTAATACCTCAGTGTACATAAGATCACACTACAACCGATCAGTCCCGTGAATTTGTTATCTAGAACACTGTACACCTCAAGTATACTGCACAATAGTACAGAAATATAAGCCCAGGGATACCTGATGTGGCGAATAAAATATTACAGGGATACCTGATGTGGCGAATAAAATATTAAAGGGATACCTGATGTGGCGAATAAAATATTAAAGGGATACCTGATGTGGCGAATAAAATATTACAGGGATACCTGATGTGGTGAATAATATATTACAGGGATACCTGATGTGGCGAATAAAATATTAAAGGGATACCTGATGTGGTGAATAAAATATTACAGGGATACCTGATGTGGTGGATGAAATATTACAGGGATACCTGATGTGGTGAATAAAATATTACAGGGATACCTGATGTGGTGAATAAAATATTACAGGGATACCTGATGTGGCGAATAAAATATTACAGGGATACCTGATGTGGCGAATAAAATATTACAGGGATACCTGATGTGGTGAATAATATATTACAGGGATACCTGATGTGGTTAATAAGATATTACAGGGATACCTGATGTGGTTAATAAAATATTACGGGGATAACTGATATGGTGAATAAAATATTACGGGGATACCTGGTGCGGTGAATAGAATATTACAGGGATACCTGATGTGGCGAATAAAATATTACAGGGATACCTGATGTGGTGAATAAAATATTACAGGGATACCTGATGTGGTGAATAATATATTACAGGGATACCTGATGTGGTTAATAAGATATTACAGGGATACCTGATGTGGTTAATAAAATATTACGGGGATAACTGATATGGTGAATAAAATATTACGGGGATACCTGGTGCGGTGAATAGAATATTACAGGGATACCTGATGTGGCGAATAAAATATTACAGGGATACCTGATGTGGTGAATAAAATATTACAGGGATACCTGATATGGTGAATAAAATATTACAGGGATACCTGATGTGGTTAATAAAATAAAAATATTACAGGGATACCGCATGTGGTGAATAAAATATTACAGGGATACCGCATGTGGTGAATAAAATATTACAGGGATACCGCATGTGGTGAATAATATATTACGGGGATACCTGATGTGGTGAATAAAATATTACAGGGATACCTGATGTGGTGAATAATATATTACAGGGATACCTGATGTGGTTAATAAGATATTACAGGGATACCTGATGTGGTTAATAAAATATTACGGGGATACCTGATATGGTGAATAAAATATTACGGGGATACCTGGTGTGGTGAATAGAATATTACAGGGATACCTAATGTGGCGAATAAAATATTACAGGGATACCTGATGTGGTGAATAAAATATTACAGGGATACCTGATGTGGTTAATAAAATAAAAGTATTACAGGGATACCGCATGTGGTGAATAAAATATTACAGGGATACCGCATGTGGTGAATAAAATATTACAGGGATACCGCATGTGGTGAATAATATATTACGGGGATACCTGATGTGGTGAATAAAATATTACAGGGATACCTGATGTGGTGAATAATATATTACAGGGATACCTGATGTGGTGAATAAAAAATTACGGGGATACCTGATGTGGTGAATAGAATATTACAGGGATACCTGATGTGGTTAATAAAATATTACAAGGATACCTGATGTGGTTAATAAAATATTACGGGGATACCTGATATGGTGAATAAAATATTACGGGGATACCTGATGTGGTGAATAAAATATTACAGGGATACCTGATGTGGCGAATAAAATATTACAGGGATACCTGATGTGGTGAATAAAATATTACAGGGATACCTGATATGGTGAATAAAATATTACAGGGATACCTGATGTGGTTAATAAAATAAAAATATTACAGGGATACCGCATGTGGTGAATAAAATATTACAGGGATACCGCATGTGGTGAATAAAATATTACAGGGATACCTGATGTGGTGAATAAAATATTACGGGCATACCTGATGTGAGGAAGTTGTGACGAATTGTCCAATCGGGGCTTTCATCAGATTTCCTATACTCGCTGTGTCGGTTGTCATCAACATGGATTCTATCTTGATGGCAAGTATCGGTTTGTTTTTGCATTTAAACGTAAACCAAAATGATTGCCTTCCTCTGAAATGAGAGTAGAAAAGACACGTGAAGATGCTAACACTCCGTAAGGCATGCCCTTTGTCCGTTGTCATGGGCATTCGTGTTAACATTACTTGTATTCCTATTTTGCCCTGAACTCAATTTAAATTAACATTCCGGTGGTATCTTGGTATGTTCTTTCTTATTCAGACCACATACAATATTCTCAAATTTCCTTTTTATACAATTAGAGATTTTAAACGTTGAACAAACATTTCATTTTTGACAGAATTTAGCAACCGAAAGACATTTCAAAAATGTTCTTACACAGCCCAAGGGCACTGAACTACATCGTGGCTTTACAGCTCAATAGACATGATTGGGAATACAACGATATCGACAAAAAGACAAATCTAATATATGTATAATGAACAGGTGTTAAAAATGATGTGTGATGTTTCCAACTGTTATGGCAAGGTAAAATCTATGCAATGTACATGTACCAATCAGAATTAAAATTTCCTTAGAAACTATATAAAATTTATCATTGAAAACATAACAGAAAAACACTGCCTAATGTTAAAAGTGAGCATATTCTTTGAAATACTGGTCTAACAGCATGTCCCCGCTAACACTGTATTGATGTACCAATAACCTTACCCATTTGTTCCCCACAAAGTCGTGTTTCCGTACACCAACGAACTCGGACACAGATGTGTTTTCACAATTGTCCTGAGTCCTGTCTGGAAGTGACCACGATGGGAAGAAGTGACCGAAGACTTAAATTGTATTACAGCTGGACCTACAAATGAAAATATGTCAATCAAAGCTTTTTCTAGTGCATTTAATTCTGTGAGGGCCATGGCACCAATTAGTATGAGGTGAAAAATTCTGAATGTATGTTATACGCATATAGCAGGGTCACAGCACTTTTATGTGTTTTCTCGAATTAAGAAGTACCATTAAAGAAACAGCTTGATTTTATAGGAAGCTTATATTTATGCTGAATGATGTCACTAAAGGTTTAATCATCTTTATTCCCACGTTGTCATTATATGCCTTGCAGGTAGAACGTAAGAACTGTATTGGATTTCCCATTACATGGCTGTGGTTCCCCTTTAATGCTTCTTTTGAAACTACCTCGTATCTCTTGCTGCTGATCATCCTAAGCTCCGACATACCAAAGTCGTCATGTTAAGAGCGATATGAAATCGGTGACCGCGAATGATGGGGCTACTAGCACTTTTATAGTGTTATCACAATGGAAAAACATTACTTGATCTCGGTAACACGTGACATTTTTTGTGGATTGTTGAAACTCTTATTGCAATGAATAACTCAGGTGTGTAACTGTGAGCTTTGTTATCAATATAAAAGAAAACAATGTTTAGAGACCTGATACACTAAAATACTAACTGGCAGTACACCTACCAGGAGTTTTACAAGAGAGCGTTCCGGTATTCCTATCACACATAAGGAATCTTGTTTTTGATGAAGGACAAAGGTTGGATGCAATCCTCCACACTTTGATGACTATATGCAGTCTGAAAACATATCAGGAACAAAGTTATTCATTTCACATGATATGCCTTGTCTAAAGTTACAATATATCATTATCCTCCCTTTCCTGAGTGCCAGTAAACCATTATGTATATCGATTGACGATATCCCATCTCCTGTGTTGAATGACAATATTCTACTTCCTGTCTCGACCGGCAGTATTACTAACTAAAGTTACTAAAGTAACTGACTAAAGTGGCAATACCATTTCTTGTTTAAAGTGACAATATAATTTCCTGTCTCGAGTTGACAATATAACTTCCTATCTCGAGGTGACAATATAATTTCCTGTCTCGAGGTGACAATATCATTTCCTGTCTCGAGGTGACAATATAATTTCCTGTCTCGAGGTGACAATGTATTAAATCTTATATGGAGTCATAATGAACTAGAAGAAATTATCAAAATGGACAGTGGTCATCGAAAGCCTCCGGTCAGGTTTGCGAGAAAGTTCCGTATAAGAGTTCATCTTTCCCTTATAATGAGCAGACAGAAGGTTTTCATTATAAGATTTATGTCTTACGTTGTCCTGTTGGAAAAGGTGATAGGGTATACTGATTTTGACGAGTTGCTCGCACCGGGCTGTAACCGCCTTACAGCTTCGAAACGTGCAATAGGTTCTGACTTTCTATTGCCGTCTTGGTCTGAAACAACAGCAACTATTCTCACATTCTGAAACAAACATTGTCAAAGGAACAAAAGTTACGATTTTTTGGTCTAAGTTAAATATCACACAGCCAACAGATTTAGTTAATATCTTACTATCATTAATCAAATATCACTCAGTCAACAGATTTAGTTAATATCTTACTATCATCCATCAAATATCACCGAGTCATCAGTTAATATCTTACTATCATCCATCAAATATCACTGAGTCATCAGTTAATAGCTTACTATCATCCATCAAATATCACTCAGTCTACAGATTTAGTTAATATCTTACTATCATCCATCAAATATCACTCAGTCATCAGTTAATATCTTACTATCATCCATCAAATATCACTCAGTCAACAGTTAATATCTTACTATCATCCATCAAATATCACTCAGTCATCAGTTAATATCTTACTATCATCCATCAAATATCACTCGGTCTACAGATTTAGTTAATATCTTACTATCATCTATCAAATATCACTCAGTCATCAGTTAATATCTTACTATCATCTATCAAATATCACTCAGTCATCAGTTAATAGCTTACTATCATCCATCAAATATCACTCAGTCTACACATTTAGTTAATATCTTACTATCATCCATCAAATATCACTCGGTCTACAGATTTAGTTAATATCTCACTATCATCAACTGGCTTTCAACGTCTATCACGTGTGCAGAAATTTTCGTTATACGTTTAAGAAAAAATAATCATATTAAAAGAATTAAAAAAGAGAATTTAGAAATCCTAATATTTCAATATGCAAATGATACATTTCTTCTTCCTTGCTGCGGGGGATAAATTTATTCTACTATATATAGAATTTGATGGAAGCTTAAATGATTTTACCAAACTGAATTTCAGTGCAAAAAGATGTAAACATTGAAAAGTTCTAATCAATACGTAATGATGAAAATAATAATACCTCCTATTGGTCAATTCATATTACCAAGTGATATCCCAATTTGATCATGTGTTTATATCCCTCCCGGACCCAAGCGAAATGGTGATTAAACGTTTTGAACTTTTTATAGAAAACAACAAATGGAATCAAAAGAAACGTTGTTTTTCAAAACTTTAGTACAATACAAAATATTTCATTTGTGTGTCACATAGCACAGTACAAAATGGTAACAATAATAGAGATGGCGGATTGAACATGGTTAATATGAATGTTTTCATTGACGCTATCAAACTGTGATGGGTTCGCAGACTTATACAGTAGCGAAGGGAAACGGAATTAATTTTTAAAAATCTTGATCAAAAATAATATATATTAAAGTATCGTAATATATGTGCAGACAACTTCTGGATAGATGCGTTCAAAGCTTGATACAAATTCAAAAGAAATAAATGAATTTCATGAAAGATAAATCTTATCCTAAATTATTTTGAGTAACAAAATATAACTTTTGCAGGTAAAGATGTGTTCTATCTATGATTGTATAAATGAGGAATATACAGAAAATTTCCTTTTATACTTTTCAGAAGAAATATCAGCATCACAAAGTTTGTTCAGGTTCATGGATTAATATTTTCAATTCGCTTCATGTGATAAAAAGGATCTTAAACTTGTTTCCATTTGTTCTGTGATTAATGAATCATCTCACGATTCTTTTATCTAGCTTTTCAAAGGCTGGCTTAAATGAAAAGTCTTAGACTCGTTGTCAAAGTCACATATATGGAAACCCTTGTAAGATCCTTTACGCTTTTTTATATTGGACTTATTTACATTTGAATATATATACGTATCAATGATATCCTTCTTTATTGTACATCTCCAGATATTTATTACGTTCACCATTTATCTACAAAACCATAAATTGCACATATTTGTAAAGTTCTTCATTTGTGTACCTTTAACTTTCGATATTTTGTATGATTTTACCTGTAACACCTGATATTATACGTATATATGTATACCGTTCATCATTTCCAAACTAACGAGCATCAAATACGTCCAGCTTCATATCACACAAAGAAATGAGATCACTATACAACTATACAACGAATTGCGCAGTGCAATCTGATTGGGACCTACTCAGTATTTATTGGGATAAAACTGTTTGATTCCAGGGTGAAGGGGGGTTGCCAAAATGCCAAAAAACGAAGGGAAAAAATAAAAAGTAAAAATTTCATGACATGATTGTCGTTAATTATGACAAGTGGAACAGGATGTACACATATATTTTTTGGCTGTTCCCGTATTTGAACTTTAATGTCACTACTTGGTTTATTTCGGATTACGAAATTTGTGTGTGTCTGTCTGTACATTACACTATTACAGATAGTCACCCAAATTGACGGTATCCCATCAGGTTTCAGTTCATTGTTTAAATATACTACAAAATATTCACATCAGATACTAATATCCTCTATTAGATCGAGGTGAAATATCACACACGTATCTTTACAGGATATTTTTCTTTCGATAAAGAAAATGTGATGTTATCTTGAATTATGTTATAAACATTCATAAAGTATAAATATCATGACCTACATAAAAGGTCTACTAACCTGATTCCAAGTATTCAGGTTTCCCGAAACTTTGGTGTTTGGGGTCACTTTACGTATATTTGCTGAGTCGATACTGTTGGTGTTTTTCAATGATCTGGTTTTTAAATTCAGTATCGTTGAATTGCCAGTACTAAAATGTTTCAAAACACAAATATAATATTAACAATACGATCTGTAACAGTATATACAGGTATTGATGACAAAGGTCAAACAATTACAATGTAGTAGATGATACAGCGGCCACCTATTATTAGAAACCCATCTCTTATTAATACCAGTTACAACGACAAGAAGGATTCTAGCGCAAGTATGTTGAAGCAAAAAATCTCCGAAATTATTACAAACCATGCCTTAGGTGTTATATTACTTGACCCAAAACACTTACACTGCACGATTTCAAAATGTTCAGTTCAATTATCTTATGTTTACAGCTGATTGAACAACGTTAACACAGGAATATTTGTATTTTCACAACCGTGTTTAGGACTCTGAGTAAAATACGTAAAATACAATCGGATTTAAATTAACAAAAACAAAAACGTTTTTCCAATAACTGAAATAATAGACCAGGCTGTGAGTCGTGTTTCCCTAATAATAACTGTAGGCTTACCTTGTGTACAAATTGATATCAAAGACAGTGTCGCACTGTCCATTCCAAAGTTTTCCTTTTCCGTTACCTCCCCTATCGCATGGTTCAAGGTTATGATTCCTGTACAACTTCCCAGATGGGTTTGTGAAGTTGACGATTTCGAGCGAAACCTTAAAGGTTGCCGCCGACAACTACAATGATGTAAATACAGATCGTTAAGACAACCGAAGTAAAGACAGGTAAACATACAGTAATTAGTAAGTGTTTTTACTTACCTGTGGTTGAAACAGAATGAAGAAGGAGACGACTTTATAGAGAACCATGATGTTCTTCCGCCACCAAGATACATATATGCATTTGTGTAACGGCAATGGCTGCCGCCCTATGTATACAGTAATGGTGTTATCTCGGCGATAACAGGTGTCGTCTGTGGGTACATTGTACTTAATGATAAACTCAATATTATATCTAATTGTATTTGAAATTACGTCCACGTCCCGTTGTATTATTTATTTATTGAATTCGTATATGCAAATGTGTAAAAAAAAAAAAAAAAAAAGCAAGGTAATACATTATAATATTAATCCGAATTCAATCAAACTCACGAATACCAACATGTCAACATAAACATACTCAAATACAATAACACTAAAGCAAAATATCAACAAAAGATTTACACGGAGACTCTTTAATAAGTACAAGGAGAATAAGACCAAGTGTTCCGGATGAGTAAGAACTTCTGTTTCATCAATGGCACCCAACATGTTAACCTTGGCACTTTCTCAAAAGAGAACAATCTATGTAAAGACGGAACCAACAACTAAAAAGTTGATTCCGAAAAATGACAACCCAACACAGACGTTGTGCCTTGACATTTAATTATCAACGTGATGCTTTCTAAACGCATTCTGAAAAACTTCCATTAATTGGTTGTAATAACACTGACAGCAATGAGAAATAATCACCATCATTATGATACCAGTGTGAAATAGTCACCATCATTATGATACCAGACAGAAATAATCACCATCATTATGATACCAGTGAGAAATAATCACCATCATTATGATACCAGTGAGAAATAATCACCATCATTATGATACCAGTGAGAAATAGTCACCATCATTATGATACCAGTGTGAAATAGTCACCATCATTATGATACCAGACAGAAATAATCACCATCATTATGATACCAGACAGAAATAATCACCATCATTATGATACCAGTGAGAAATAGTCACCATCATTATGATACCCGTGAGAAATAATCACCATCATTATGATACCAGACAGAAATAATCACCATCATTATGATACCATGATCACCATCATTATGATACCAGTGAGAAATAATCACCATCATTATGATACCAGTGAGAAATAATCACCATCATTATGATACCAGACAGAAATAGCATCATTATGATACTAGACAGAAATAATCACCATCATTATGATACCAGTGAGAAATAATCACCATCATTATGATACCAGACAGAAATAATCACCATCATTATGATACCAGTGAGAAATAATCACCATCATTATGATACCAGTGAGAAATAATCACCTTCATTATGATACCAGTAAGTAATAATCACCATCATTATGATACCAGTGAGAAATAATCACCATCATTATGATACCAGACAGAAATAGAAATAATCACCATCATTATGATGAAATAATCACCATCATTATGATACCAGTGAGAAATAATCACCATCATTATGATTCCCGTGAGAAATAATCACCATCATTATGATACCAGACAGAAATAATCACCATCATTATGATACCAGACAGAAATAATCACCATCATTATGATACCAGACAGAAATAATCACCATCATTATGATACCCGTGAGAAATAATCACCATCATTATGATACCAGACAGAAATAATCACCATCATTATGATACCAGTGAGAAATAATCACCATCATTATGATACCAGACAGAAATAATCACCATCATTATGATACCAGTGAGAAATAATCACCATCATTATGATACCAGTGAGAAATAATCACCATCATTATGATACCAGTGAGAAATAATCACCATCATTATGATACCAGTGAGAAATAATCACCATCATTATGATACCAGTGAGAAATAACCACCATCATTATGATACCAGACAGAAATAATCACCATCATTATGATACCAGTGAGAAATAATCACCATCATTATGATACCAGTGAGAAATAATCACCATCATTATGATACCAGACAGAAATAATCACCATCATTATGATACCAGTAAGAAATCATCACCATCATTATGATACCAGACAGAAATAATCACCATCATTATGATACCAGACAGAAATAATCACCATCATTATGATACCAGACAGAAATAATCACCATCATTATGATACCAGACAGAAATAATCACCATCATTATGATACCAGTGAGAAATAATCACCATCATTATGATACCAGACAGAAATAATCACCATCATTATGATACCAGTGAGAAATAATCACCATCATTATGATACCAGTGAGAAATAATCACCATCATTATGATACCAGACAGAAATAATCACCATCATTATGATACCATGAGAAATAATCACCATCATTATGATACCAGACAGAAATAATCACCATCATTATGATACCAGTGAGAAATAATCACCATCATTATGATACCAGTGAGAAATAATCACCATCATTATGATACCAGACAGAAATAATCACCATCATTAAGATACCAGAGAGAATTAATCACCATCATTATGATACCAGTGAAAGAAATAATCACCATCATTATGATACCAGTGAGAAATAATCACCATCATTATGATACCAGACAGAAATAATCACCATCATTATGATACCAGACAGAAATAATCACCATCATTATGATACCAGTAAGAAATAGTCACCATCATTATGATACCAGACAGAAATAATCACCATCATTATGATACCAGTGAGAAATAATCACCATCATTATGATACCAGACAGAAATAATCACCATCATTATGATACCAGACAGAAATAGTCACCATCATTATGATACCAGACAGAAATAATCACCATCATTATGATACCAGTGAGAAATAATCACCATCATTATGATACCAGACAGAAATAATCACCATCATTATGATACCAGACAGAAATAATCACCATCATTATGATACCAGACAGAAATAATCACCATCGTTATGATACCAGACAGAAATAATCACCATCATTATGATACCAGACAGAAATAATCACCATCATTATGATACCAGACAGAAATAATCACCATCATTATGATACCAGTGAGAAATAATCACCATCATTATGATACCAGACAGAAATAATCACCATCATTATGATACCAGACAGAAATAATCACCATCATTATGATACCAGTGAGAAATAATCACCATCATTATGATACCAGTGAGAAATAATCACCATCATTATGATACCAGACAGAAATAATCACCATCATTATGATACCAGACAGAAATAATCACCATCATTATGATACCAGACAGAAATAATCACCATCATTATGATACCAGTGAGAAATTATCACCATCATTATGATACCAGTGTGAAATAATCACCATCATTATGATACCAGACAGAAATAATCACCATCATTATGATACCAGACAGAAATAATCACCATCATTATGATACCAGACAGAAATAATCACCATCATTATGATACCAGACAGAAATAATCACCATCATTATGATACCAGACAGAAATAATCACCATCATTATGATACCAGTAAGAAATCATCACCATCATTATGATACCAGACAGAAATAATCACCATCATTATGATACCAGACAGAAATAATCACCATCATTATGATACCAGTAAGAAATCATCACCATCATTATGATACCAGACAGAAATAGCATCATTATGATACTAGACAGAAATAATCACCATCATTATGATACCAGTGAGAAATAATCACCATCATTATGATACCAGTAAGAAATCATCACCATCATTATGATACCAGACAGAAATAATCACCATCATTATGATACCAGTGAGAAATAACCACCATCATTATGATACCAGACAGAAATAATCACCATCATTATGATACCAGTGTGAAATAGTCACCATCATTATGATACCAGTGAGAAATAGTCACCATCATTATGATACCAGTGTGAAATAGTCACCATCATTATGATACCAGTGAGAAATAATCACCATCATTATGATACCAGTAAGAAATCATCACCATCATTATGATACCAGACAGAAATAATCACCATCATTATGATACCAGTGAAATAATCACCATCATTATGATACCAGTGTGAAATAGTCACCATCATTATGATACCAGTGTGAAATAGTCACCATCATTATGATACCAGTGTGAAATAGTCACCATCATTATGATACCAGTGTGAAATAGTCACTATCATTATGATATGATTAGAATATGTATGTATTATTTAAACTTTCATCAAAAGGCGCTATTCACTTATATCTATTGTACAACCTTCGGAATTTTTGGGTAATATACACTGCATGTGCCCGAGGTGTACGTTAGATCCAGTAGAATAGCGCCATGGTTTAGATTATACACATAAGCTTGATTTTCTTCTACAATTATCAGATACATATGAAGTATACGAAATTGACGAATCTCAGAAGGACCTAATATCTGTATGATGCAGTTCAATTCAATATTAGACACTTCTGTATCAGATCTAGATTTGTATTCAAATGTTCCATTCACTTGTGTTTCTTTTGTGCAATTTTACGGTTAACCTGTCACCACTTTGGTCCTGATTCGAGAACAAAGAAGATACTGATGTTCAATAAATGGATCTTATTCTGGTCAAAAGTTTCATCGAAGATTTTTTAAAAGATGTAAGTCTATTGATAGAAATTTGAGGAAGGTTTGATATAAGTCATGCTTAAACGTTAAATTTGTCCTGTGTGGCCATACGAGCAAGGCATGCTATATAAATATATAATAAATACATATATATGATCAATACAATTGTTAACTATTGTCCGCGGAGTGTGACGTGCAATTGTTTTTGTTGCGATCACATATATGTTCAGTGTCTACAGTGCAAAACATACATAGGTTGATATAAAACATTTTTCATATTTCTTATCACCATCTTACATACAACAACTTGGGGTGTTTTTGTCCGTTATTAATGGCCTTTGGCGTCCATCGGCCGAAGGAATTATAGAGACACATAAATTTACACCACCGCTCTCGATTTAGATTTATAACTTTGTATTTGTTTTAAGTTCTATGTATGTGATGCGATTTATGTAATATTTGTGTCTTGATAAAGGGGCAGGTTGTCTCGATAATTTGACAATTCGTTTGTCCGTACTGTTGCTATTACCTCGTTGATCATATATCTATTCCAGTAATACGCATCCAACGAATATTTGTTTGTTAGGATCCAGTAACAATATTGGACCATGCTGTCGATATTACTAACTAGATTTTATATATAGAAGACCCAGTACCAATATTGGATCATACCGTCGATATTACTAACTAGATTCTATATATAGAAGATCTAGTACCAATATTGGACCATACCGTCGATATTACTTACTAGATTCTATATATAGAAGACCCAGTACCAATATTGGACCATACCGTCGATATTACTTACTAGATTCTATATATAGAAGATCCAGTACCAATATTGGACCATGCCGTCGACATTACTAACTAGATTCTAATATATAACATCCCTCCCCCTTTTCCATTCAATCCCCGGAGGAGGCTCATTATAAATTTTAACTTTGCGATTATTAATAATGATAATAAATTTATTCAGAATAAATATGTACAGATATGAATATATGGCATGTTATAACATATAACATGTTATACATAATCATGAATAAGTTGTTAGCTATATCTTAAATGTATCAGCTAATTATAATTATCAATAAAGACAAAAGTACATATATCCTAGGGTTTCCCAAAAAAGCGTTAAAACACTTATTTCCATTGGGGTCCTTAAAATGGATTTACAAATGTATTTCCCTCAATAATATACATAATAACTATCATGATTCTCTTGCATTTTGTTTTGAAAGTGACGTTTCACTTGGGTTTTGAACTTAATCTTGTTTGATATACTTTTAATATAATCTGGAAGAGAATTCCATTCTTTTGCGCCTGTAAAATAGAATGTTGTAGATTCTTTCCCTTGTACTGATGGGAGACTGAAATTATATGCTGAGGATCGAGTATTTTGTAGACATGGATTCCTGTTAAAGGAAATATACATACAGTTTGGAGCCTTTTCATGGAAGACAACATATGATTCAGTCTGATTTGACTAACCCTATAATTAATGTCTAACATGTTTGTACGCAAAAAATCACTGCATCTTATACTGTGCCTATTTTGAACATTCAAAATAAATCTTATTACTTTGTTTTGTGCTACTTGTAATTTATATTTTAGTTTGTTTGACAAACCTTCATACCAACCAGCACACGCATAGTCGAAATGACAAAGAATCAATGCCAAGCAAAGAGTTTTTCTCGACCTATACGATAGACATTGCTCATTTCTGTAGAGAAATTTTAGTCGCTGATTTACCTTTTTAACAATGGAATCTACAATTTCTTCACCTGAAAGCAAATCGTTAACGTCTATACCAAGATATTTTATACACGTCATAACTTAAATGTCATGATAATTGCCCAATATTTTAAAATTCATATTTGTAGCTTGATCCAATTTTCTTTTAGGGCCAAAAATAATACTTTCTGTTTTACCTAAATGTAGAGAAAGCTTGTTATCCACTAACCATTCCTGATAGGACTCTAACACCAGACATGTTTGCAATATTACTGTTGGGTTAAGATGGGGAAAATGTATAGCAGAATCGTCTACATACTACAGCAACATGGAATTAGAATCAATGCTGACTTGCATATCATTGACATATATCAAGAACAGAAGAGAACCTAATAAACTCCCCTGAGGTACCCCACATTTTATCTTACATGACTCGGATGTTACTCCATTAATATCTACAATTTGTTTCCGTCCCGAGAGATAGGGTCTAAACCATTTTAGTGATTCCACTTCAAGAACAGAGAGCTTATCACATAAAATATTGTGGTCAATGTATCAAAGGCTTTTTGCAAGTCGAGCAATACCATACCTGTAAACAAGCCTTTGGAGAACTGAGATTTGATATGGTCTAACATATGTATTAAACTTGTGTCAGTAGAATATTTGCTTCTGAAACCGGACTGAAGTTCATAAAGTAAGTTATTTCTTACCAAGAAAGTTTCTAACTGGCAAAACACACCGCGTTCAAGGAATTTTGATACTACACTTAGAATACTAACAGGTGTGTAGTTTTCGGCCTTCAGTCTATCTAAGTCACTTGATGTATGCTGAAACAAGGTCTCTGAGTGAATTTTCACATGTTGCATGCTGAATCTAGAACGTCCATGTATATGTTGATATTTTCTTAATAAGAGACGTTTTGCGTGACAATCCAGCCACTGAGGTAAAAATGTTCACTTTATATATCTTAAATGTGAGATATCGGTGTATGTTTTACCTTAGCTATGTTGAGTCAAGGATCTTAGCGTAAATTCTGACTTGGTGTATGCTTTTCATCAGGAGTCACAGTTTGGGCCCCACATAATGACACCTACATCGGAAGTCCAGCTCCCCAACGATAAGACTCCATCAGAGCCATTATATATCTCTCTCTCGTATTACTATCTTTAAGTGTAAACGACTGTATTTCGCAGGTGAACTTTAATTGATTGGAAATGAGACATAATAACCGGTGATCGTTTCATCCAACCCATCACTCATTTCTGTCTGGGAGCATTCAAGCTCGTGATTGGATCAACCAATCAGCGACTAATGCCTCACTCTTCTTTGGGTCAGATGGAATACTTCGACACCAGGTCGCCATAGTTGAATGAGTTCTTGATGCCAAATGATTGCATCATAACCAAACAATAATGTCTCAAAGATGAACATAACTCACGGCGCTGAGTGATTCAAACAGGTCACCCTCTTCATATTTAAGGGCACAGACCTGTGACAGGAACGAGGCGGTAAATATATTAAAAACCCCTTCCAAACTATCTCTCTCTCTCTCTCTCTCTCTCTCTCTCTCTCTCTCTCACACACACACACACACACACACACACACACACACACACACATCCTTGTTAGACGTTCAAGAGCTAGCTACATAACCGCCAAGTGTACATCTGTAGCATCTTCTGTTCGAAGGAAGTTACGTTCGGTTGCAGGCAATCCAGTTTTTCTGTAAACATAGATAAAGCTTTAGAATTTCTTGATATTGTGTCTATTTACTTGGTGTATACAGAATCTGTGGCTCTGTGTATTGTTTCAATTGAAGTTTTCAGAATTAAAGGTCCTGGTGTAGATTTTCCCTGAATAAGGGACAATAGTGTAAACTTTCCTTGAGCAAGGGACAACAGTGTAAACTTTCATTATTTCAAAACTAAGCCATGGATCTCCGTGCAAATACGTCATTGATACTTCCATCAAATCATCCGTGTTAGCCTTTCATTTTAGCAAACACCTTCAAGTTGATACACGATTTTTTATTTTCAAAAAAACCTTCCAACATTTCCGACTTTTTCTCGAATTTCAATTCAAAGTTGCCTATTCATTCTTGTTATTGACTTGAATTTCCTGACATCAAGTTAGTTTTCAGAAACGTTTCTTCAAATATAGTTTAAAATACATCTCTTGATACAATACCGTTGCACGACGTCCATTACCTGACAAACAAGTGTTATTTTTTTGAGGATTTTCTATCCAAATTACCATTATTATTCAATAAGGACATTAAAATATAGCTAGGTGATATATCAAATCTTTTCGTTCTTCAATCAAGCATTCGATCTTTAGTTCAATAAAATATATCTCTCCCTTAAGATCTATGCCAGCGACATCACACTATACAATGTATAGAAAAGAGTTTTGTCGAATTTTAGCACTGACACAATTTATAGTGAAGAGTTTTGTCGAATTTTAGAACTGACACAATTGATAGAGAAGTGTTATGTCGAATTTTAGCACTGACACAATTCATAGTGAAGAGTTTTGTCGAATGTTAGAACTGACACAATTGATAGAGAAATGTTATGTCAAATTTTAGCACTGACACAATTTATAGTGAAGAGTTGTGTCGAATGTTAGAACTGACACAATTGATAGAGAAGTGTTATGTCGAATTTTAGCACTGACACAATATATAGTGAAGAGTTTTGTCGAATGTTAGAATTGACACAATTGATAGAGAAGTGTTATGTCGAATTTTAGCACTGACACAATTTATAGTGAGTTTTGTCGAATTTTAGAACTGACACAATCGACAGAGAAGTGTTATGTCGAATTTTAGCACTGACACAATTCATAGTGAAGAGTTTTGTCGAATGTTAGAACTGACACAATTGATAGAGAAATGTTATGTCAAATTTTAGCACTGACACAATTTATAGTGAAGAGTTGTGTCGAATGTTAGAACTGACACAATTGATAGAGAAGTGTTATGTCGAATTTTAGCACTGACACAATATATAGTGAAGAGTTTTGTCGAATGTTAGAATTGACACAATTGATAGAGAAGTGTTATGTCGAATTTTAGCACTGACACAATTTATAGTGAGTTTTGTCGAATGTTAGAATTGACACAATTGATAGAGAAGTGTTATGTCGAATTTTAGCACTGACACAATTTATAGTGAGTTTTGTCGAATGTTAGAATTGACACAATTGATAGAGAGGTGTTATGTCGAATTTTAGCACTGACACAATTTATAGTGAAGAGTTGTGTCGAATGTTAGAACTGACACAATTGATAGAGAAATGTTATGTCGAATTTTAGCACTGACACAATTTATAGTGAAGGGTTATGTATACATTATTTTTCATCACTCTTTTTTTACTCCGTACAAGTTGCACTAACGTGTATCATACTAATATCACTTACACATACGAAATCAGTTAATATTAGTAAGATATTATTGATGATAAAGTCGACCATGACTTCAATTCGGTGGACGAGTTACGTACAGAAATTCAATGATTTACTCAAACTTATATTTAATGTGTTGCGTTTAGCTAATAATATCCTTAATCACAGTCAAATTCCTTTCCCATTTTAACATGACTCTAACACAGGTGACAGTTTAAATGACCTTACAACTTTCATTCTTACACAAAATACATAAACTTAACGAACTAAATCTTTTTATTTTCAACACAATACAGACTTCATCATTTTCACTTTAAACTTTGTTTATTAAATCGGTAACGTACAAATCCTTTCTCTTATTCAAATACTTATCCATACATTTTAACTTTGTGACATGTTACAAAACAATGTAAAAATGTTCTTTATCATTGAAATCTTACAAAAATTACCATGAAATACATGATTACGTCACAATAACATCTTATGTTATTTTACATAGACTATTGTTTTTAAGTAAGAAGACGCTAAAGTAACTTTATATAACGTTGAATACTTTGTCATCAAAATACAATAAATTAAGGGTGTATGCCTAGAAACTTAACATCTGTTGAATATAGAAAACAAAAATGGATGATGGGGTAGAGAGTGTTAAATCAATAAAGAAAAGAGATATACATCTGTTGTATATAGAAAACAAAAATGGATGATGGTAGTGGGAGTGTTAAAACAACAAAGAAAAGAGATATACATCTGTTGTATATAGAAAACAAAAATGGATGATGGGGTAGAGAGTGTTAAATCACAAAGAAAAGAGATATACATCTGTTGTATATAGAAAACAAAAATGGATGATGGGGTAGAGAGTGTTAAATCAACAAAGAAAAGAGATATACATCTGTTGTATATAGAAAACAAAAATGGATGATGGTAGTGGGAGTGTTAAAACAACAAAGAAAAGAGATATACATCTGTTGTATATAGAAAACAAAAATGGATGATGGGGTAGGGAGTGTTAAATCAACAAAGAAAAGAGATATACATCTGTTGTATATAGAAAACAAAAATGGATGACGGGGTAGAGAGTGTTAAATCAACAAAGAAAAGAGATATACATCTGTTGTATATAGAAAACAAAAATGGATGATGGTAGTGGGAGTGTTAAAACAACAAAGAAAAGAGATATACATCTGTTGTATATAGAAAACAAAAATGGATGATGGGGTAGGGAGTGTTAAATCAATAAAGAAAAGAGATATACATCTGTTGTATATAGAAAACAAAAATGGATGACAGGGTAGAGAGTGTTAAATCAACAAAGAAAAGAGATATACATCTGTTGTATATAGAAAACAAAAATGGATGACGGGGTAGAGAGTGTTAAATCAACAAAGAAAAGAGATATACAACACTCAAATTAATAACATATCTTAATGAATGCATATACTTTGAATCATACATTCTCGCGCAGTTTAAATTTTGAGGGGTATTCAAAATTTTTTGGCATTTAATATTGTTGATAAATATTATGATATTTAGTATCCAGTCATAGATCTCCATTTAAATTGAGCTGTTTGTCCTTTCATGAACACACATAGATTCATGAAAGGAGAGTAACGGCAAAATAACCAATAATAATATTCCACTAAAATCACCCAATTGACAATACAAAATAATCGCGAACAACATTCCCACTAAAATCACCCATTTAACAGTAGAAAATAACCGCGAACAACATTCCCACTAAAATCACCCATTTAACAGTAGAAAATAACCGCGAACATCATTCCCACTAAAATCACCCATTTAACAGTAGAAAATAACCGCAAACATCATTCCCTCTAAAATCACCCATTTAACAGTACAAATAAACCGCGAACAACATTCCCTCTAAAATCACCACTTTTACAGTACAATATAACCAAGCACAACATCCCCTCTAAAATCACCCATTTAACAGTACAAAATAACCGCGAACAACATTCCCTCTAAAATCACCACTTTTACAGTACAATATAACCAAGCACAACATTCCCTCTAAAATCACCCATTTAACAGTACAAAATAACCGCGAACTACATTCCCACTAAAATCACCCATTTAACAGTAGAAAATAACCGCGAACATCATTGCCACTAAAATCACCCATTTGACAGTAGAAAATAACCGCGAACATCATTCCCTCTAAAATCACCCATTTAACAGTACCAAGTAACCGCGAACAACATTCCCTCTAAAATCACCCATTCAACAGTACGAAATAACCGCGAACAACATTCCCTCTAAAATCACCCATTTAACAGTACAAAATAACCGAGAACAACATTCCCTCTAAAATCACCCATTTAACAGCACGAAATAACCGAGCACCATTCCCTCTAAAATCACCCATTTAACAGTACCAAGTAACCGCGAACAACATTCCCTCTAAAATCACCCATTTAACAGTACGAGATATCCGCGAACAACATTTCCACTAAAATCACCCATTTAACAGTACCAAGTAACCGCGAACAACATTCCCTCTAAAATCACCCATTTAACAGTACCAAGTAACCGCGAACAACATTCCCACTAAAATCACCCATTTAACAGTACGAAATAACCGCGAACAACATTCCCACTAAAATCACCCATTTAACAGTACAAAATAACCGAGCACAACATTACCTCTAAAATCACCCATTTAACATTACGAAATAACCGAGCACAACATTCCCTCTAAAATCACCCATTTAACAGTACAAAATACCGCGAACAACATTCCCTCTAAATAACCCATTTAACAGTACGAAATAACCGCGAACAACATTCCCTCTAAAATCACCCATTTAACAGTACAAAATAACCGAGAACAACATTCCCTCTAAAATCACCCATTTAACAGCACGAAATAACCGATCACCATTCCCTCTAAAATCACCCATTTAACAGTACCAAGTAACCGCGAACAACATTCCCTCTAAAATCACCCATTTAACAGTACGAGATATCCGCGAACAACATTCCCACTAAAATCACCCATTTAACAGTACCAAGTAACCGCGAACAACATTCCCTCTAAAATCACCCATTTAACAGTACCAAGTAACCGCGAACAACATTCCCACTAAAATCACCCATTTAACAGTACGAAATAACCGCGAACAACATTCCCACTAAAATCACCCATTTAACAGTACAAAATAACCGAGCACAACATTACCTCTAAAATCACCCATTTAACATTACGAAATAACCGAGCACAACATTCCCTCTAAAATCACCCATTTAACAGTACAAAATACCGCGAACAACATTCCCTCTAAATAACCCATTTAACAGTACGAAATAACCGCGAACATCATTCTCATTAAAATCACCCATTCTACAGGATAAAATAACCACGAAAAACATTCTCATTAAAATTATGTAGCAACATGCGTTGTTTTCTTGCATATCCTAGACAACATCAGCCTATGTTTTGATTATAGTAAAAATTGTTCTTGACAATGGTCCAGCTAACATACTTGTGTTATGACCTATTTTAGGGTTGAAGCTTTGGTCAACATCTAGGTAACAGCTGCGTTAAAGGCGACAGTCATTTTCATTCATTTCAGAATAAGCATTCTCCTCACCATTGACCACATCCTGAAAACCAGAGGACTTTTGTTAAACACCTGTTATATATGTACATGATTAACTGCGGGTAAATAAACACAGCGGATAGATAAACAGCGGATAAATAAACACAGTGGATAAATAAACACTGTGGATAAATAAACACTGTGGATAAATAAACACGGCGGATAAATAAACACTGTGGATAAATAAACACAGCGGATGGATACACCCTGTGGATAAATAAACACGGCGGATAAATAAACACTGTGGATAAATAAACACGGCGGATAAATAAACACTGTGGATAAATAAACACAGCGGATAGATAAACACTGCGGATAAATAAACGCTGCGGATAAATAAACACAGCGGATAGATACACAGCGGATAAATAAACAGAGCGGATAGATAAACAGCGGATAAATAAACACAGCGGGTAATAAACAAAGGGGATAAATAAACACAGCGGATAGATACACAGCGGATAAATAAACATAGCGGATAGATAAACAGCGGATAAATAAACACAGCGGATAAATCAACACTGCGGATAAATAAACACGGCGGATAAATAAACACAACGGATAAATAAACACTGCGAATAGATAAACAAGGCGGATAGATAAACACTGTGGATAGATAAACACAGCGGAGAGATAAACAGCGGATAAATAAACACAGCTGATAATAAACACTGTGGATAGATAAACACAGCGGATAAATAAACACAGTGGATAAATAAACACTGTGGATAAATAAACAATGTGGATAGATAAACAGCGGAAAAATAAACACAGCGGATAGATACACAGTGGATAAATAAACACTGTGTATAAATAAACACAGCAGATAAATCAACACTGCGGATAAATAAACACGGCGGATAAATAAACAACGGATAAATAAACACTGCGAATAGATAAACAAGGCGGATAGATAAACACTGTGGATAGATAAACACAGCGGAGAGATAAACAGCGGATAAATAAACACAGCTGATAATAAACACTGTGGATAGATAAACACAGCGGATAAATAAACACAGTGGATAAATAAACACTGTGGATAAATAAACAATGTGGATAGATAAACAGCGGAAAAATAAACACAGCGGATAGATACACAGCGGATAAATAAACACAGCGGATAAATAAACACTGTGTATAAATAAACACAGCAGATAAATAAACACTGTGTATAAATAAACACTGTGGATAAATAAACAATGTGGATAGATAAACAGCGGAAAAATAAACACAGCGGATAGATACACAGCGGATAAATAAACACTGTGTATAAATAAACACAGCAGATAAATCAACACTGCGGATAAATAAACACGGCGGATAAATAAACAACGGATAAATAAACACTGCGAATAGATAAACAAGGCGGATAGATAAACACTGTGGATAGATAAACACAGCGGAGAGATAAACAGCGGATAAATAAACACAGCTGATAATAAACACTGTGGATAGATAAACACAGCGGATAAATAAACACAGTGGATAAATAAACACTGTGGATAAATAAACAATGTGGATAGATAAACAGCGGAAAAATAAACACAGCGGATAGATACACAGCGGATAAATAAACACAGCGGATAAATAAACACTGTGTATAAATAAACACAGCAGATAAATAAACACTGTGTATAAATAAACACAGCGGATAAATCAACACAGCGGATAAATAAATACTGCGAATAGATAAACACTGTGGATAGATAAACACTGTGGATAAATAAACACTGCGAATAGATAAACACTGTGGATAGATAAACACTGTGTATAGATACACAGCGGATAAATAAACACTGCGAATAGATAAACACAGCGGATAGATACACAGCGGATAAATAAACACAGCGGATAAATAAACACTGTGTATAAATAAACACAGCAGATAAATCAACACTGTGTATAAATAAACACAGCAGATAAATAAACACTGTGTATAAATAAACACAGCGGATAAATCAACACAGCGGATAAATAAACACTGCGAATAGATAAACACTGTGGATAAATAAACACTGCGAATAGATAAACACTGTGGATAGATAAACACTGTGTATAGATACACAGCGGATAAATAAACACTGCGAATAGATAAACACAGCGGATAAATAAATACAGCGGATAAATAAACACGGCGGATAAATCAACACAGCGGATAAATAAACACTGCGAATAGATAAACACTGTGGATAGATAAACACTGTGGATAGATAAACGGCGGATAAATAAACACAGAGGATAATTAAACAGCGGATAAATAAGCACTGCGGATAAATAAACACGGCGGATAAATAAACACAACGAATAAATAAACACTGCGAATAGATAAACACGGTGGATAGATAAACACTGTGGATAGATAAACGGCGGATAAATAAACACAGAGGATAATTAAACAGCGGATAAATAAGCACAGCGGATAGATAAACACAGCGGATAGATAAACACTGTGGAAAAATAAACACAGCGGATAGATCAGCACTGCGGATAGATATACACTATGGATAGATAAACAGCGGATAAATAAACACAGCGGATAGATGAACAGCGGATAAATAAACACAGCGGATAAATAAACACTGCGGATAGATAAAAACTGTAGATAAAAAAAACAATGTGGATTAATAAACGAACAATGTATTTATTGTACACAACAAGTGTGTAATGCAATATTTTGTACTTATTCATTGTCAATTAAAAAAATAATTGGACCAGCGTGACATTGGTGTGCTGCATCTTGTTGTCAAAGTCTGACCCAGTGATATCAATGTCATGAGTTTAATAGAACAGACACTTTAGTGTCAAGGTCAGTATAAAGTGATGACGTAGACAGACCCAGTGACGTCAATGTCAGGAGTTTAATAGGGTAGAACACTGTGTTAACAAAGTCAGTAGTTTTTTTTCATATTCAGACCCAGTGACATCATGATATCTATGTGTTACTTAGTGATAACGGTTTATCTGTGCTTAGTTACTTACTGTAACGATTACAACGATTTACCTGTGCCAAGATTAAAACATTATTCTAACGATTAACCTGAGCCAGGAAAGATATGCTATTATAACAATTTACCTGTGCTAAGTTAAATGTATTACTATTATAGTGATATGCTTACCTGTGGTCAAATAACCTATGTAAGTGCTTATCACGCTGCAATATCTATGATGTGATATATATGGTAGTACTACGATTCACCTCTGCTAAGTTAAATACGATATCACATGTCTAACTATTTACCTATTGTGAGATAAATGCATAATTATTTTCATTGATTTACATTTCCTGAGATGTTGAGGTAAAGATACATATACGAAGTGTGATATAAATATGGTACCTGTGCGTGCTGCAGCAAGGATACGGGTCAAGTTAATACAGTATAGTGATTTACCATCAATAGATATGAGGAGTGTTGTGCATGGCATTATGACTACACTACAGTCTTCATTATTCTTCCAAGTAGATGTGTACTATGGACTTTCAAAACAGATGACCTATTTTTCTATTTCAATAAAATATATCATCCGATTATAGAGGATACGGTAAATTCGCCTCATCAATGAATGGTTTAAAAGTAAAGATACTTTTATAGTAAATCTAAAATTGTTGAAGAGAGTTAAATCATATGATCATTTATATTTTTCTCAGTCACCTCCTAGGTTTCAAACTTTAGACCCTAAGCACCACTGACCCTATAAAGGATATAACAGCATGATAAGTATGATAAGTTAAATTCATTGTTTCGATGTACTATGTCATATTTAAAAACTGTATTGAAATATGCCTTTCATTTGAGTGTCCTTTGTACAATATCCAAGAAAGTAAATGTAGACACTGCCTGTGGCCCTTCAGACGCCGAGGTTTGCCGTTTTCTGAACGCCACGTTTTAATTCATTCGAATCGTAGCGCGATTTAGAATATACTGTACTTGACGGTCTCCTGAAATCTCGAGATAAACGTGAAATTACGACATCTACTGAGTTCCGGTGCTAGCACAGCTCACATTTTAGATATCTACATTTCTTTTGACCACTTTTGTTTTTCCTCAATGGCCTCCTATATTTCAAAATACACATGGTGTTTGATTCGTTATTTGGCTCTACTATAGCTAATTCTAAATTTGTGTTTAAAACTGATGTTTGTATCTACTGACATTCTGACACTTTTCGAGGCTTGATCTACAGGTATAAGTGTACGTGAAATATCTATATATATGTATATATATGAGAGTGCCAGATATCCGTTATCATTGTACCTGTATTTGGTCCTGGTTATCAGGCGAACATATATATTGCTGAAAGGAAATGATTAGTAAGGTCAAAATAATTCCATACAGTGAACATTACATAACCTTACACTGATTAATTCTGGTGTGCTTGTCGTCATCAGGACAGGTGATAGTAATCGTTACTGATTTATGAATACATGTTCTGTAGACAAAACGTCATGTTATGTTTAACTAACATGATAGTAACAACTGGACACATATAAATATATATAGGCAGATCGGAGTTCCCACAAATCGAGTTTTAAAAAGGGAGCCCATTCTCCGAACTGAACACATTTCATGTACTATTATGTTAGCACAAGCATTGTAACAGAACAATTGATTTAACAACATTGTAAATAATACAGATCATTCATTACCGTTACAATTTCCCAATACATATATGCACCATATAATAAATTATCAAAGTTCAATTATTATGTTATTTAGAATACTTAAATATTTCTGCTCTTTATCATGATATTTTATTATTTATTGTTTATTGGTTTGCTGTTTGCTTTAAAGTTGTGACTGGTTCCTACTTCCACGACCACAATAACATGTATTTTTACATATACATGTAAACAGGTTTGATTATATTCCCTGATAGCAAGATCCGTCCATGTTATTATAATACAGACAATATCGGGTAAAACACGACTCATTTAACCACCCAGACAGAATAATTAACACTACATTGACGGGTAAGGATGTTATATCGGATTCACAAATATCAGATTTCTAGGAGAATGATTTATTCTACATTGAGGGGTAGGGATATTATATCGGATTCACAAATATCAGATTTCTAGGAGAATGATTTATTCTACATTGAGGGGTAGGGATATTATATCGGATTCACATGAAAGATATCTAATGTGCTAACAGAATCAGATTAACATACAATGATACTAAAGTTAAAAAAACACGATAATGGTGTAATAAATACAGATTTACACAGGGATGTTGTGACACTTCTCTATTGTCTACTTATCAAATATGTAACCCATGTAGCCTACCTGGTACCCCCAATGTGTACTGGGTTCACTGCACTAATACCTCATATGTCACGTGTCATGTTGTTTACTTCATGTATGTATACAAGTGCGTGCGTATGATGGTCGAATGGGGTGAGCGGTGTGAACGGAATGCACGGGCGGACCGGAGCCCTGTTACGTCCCCAACCCAGCACTCGCCATTCATTCCTCTCCTGGACACCGAGGTGGTCAGGTCGTCACATCAGAGCCACATTATCCATTGTCTGTGCCATGGTAAGTGTATCGTCCATTATACGTTGTCATATTACAATTATATTCGCGTGTATTTGTTACGTCGTGTGTAATTGTTCCGGTCAATGTACTTGTGCAATATATGTGTCGTTTACATCTCATTTCTGTTTATTGTAGGTTTTACTGTGATAATTAAACCATAAAACAAAACCCGAGACGTTTGGTTTTTATTACACCCCAGACGGTCTACACATAGGACCAAAGAAGTCCAAGTAACGTTTAACATTAATACATTTATAATACAAAAAAAATATACCTGGGATATATCCATGGTATTGTAAACAGTATTCTCAAAGACTAAAGCAGCGGTACTGTCTCGGATGCTGTCCCGGAGCTGTAGATCACCCTCGTCTATATAGGTTGGAGCATTAATCTTTCTTCTACAAGTAAAACATATAATGACTAGCATTTATGTGGAAGAGACAAATCCTTGTGTATATGTCATCGTTGTGATCATGAAAGATCATTCAGAATTAAACGTGCCCTCTTTAATATCGTCTACCATAAAACGTACAGCCCAGTATAGAACGTCATACTGCATACTGCTTGACATGTCTTAACTGTTCGCTGCTTACACTGCCTTCTGTGGTAAGCAGTAGACAACGTGTTGTCATATACGGAATTGTATAGGGCCTGCCTCTGTATTGTTATAGTGTTTGCCATATCATGGTCATCTTGACCTCTTTATCAGTAAATCAAACTGGTATCTGCATTTAATTAACTATGATTCTATTATATGAAGCCTTTATCGAATATTTGATTTCAAATGCACGAATTAAGTGAAATAAACATTACAGTTACTACTGTTTGACCTTTAATGTTCTTGATAAAATTTGGATTCTTTTGTATGCCTACCATCTTCTATCTAGTTAGATTAACAATTAAGAGCCGGTATCTTTCTGTAAAACTAAATTTAAAACGTATGTCTGATTAAGATCACATTTTGGCTATGTACTTTAAAGATATGAAGAATACCTTATACTCCGTAGGTTCATGTACACATATCATTGTAATTATTGTTGAACGAAACGAACTTACTTCCGTTTCCTGTAAATTACAAGTGCCGAGATTATTACTAGTAACATCCCGCCTCCAACACCGGCAAGGATTGGCCAGTTATTTGCTGTCCAGTTCTAAAACATACAAAAACATTATACTTTATGACGTTGGGCATAAGCTGAAATAGATGTATCTCAAATGATCATTCTGTAAACTTCATCAGATTTTAAAAAATCGTACAAAAGACAAAGGAATAAGGAGCGGTTTTCAATACAAGTTTAGAATCATATACATTATAGTCAAATTATGAATTTAACACGTACTTTACAGCTGTTCATTATGGGGCCTATGCATCTCCTTGTCTAGATTTATAATTTTCTTTCGATCACTTTGGAGTTGTTGAGGCCCTTAACATCAATTACGAGACCTAGCAGGACGAACCAGCAGTTCTATTCATTGCTTGACTCTACTCTTTCTAACTCTATTTAAAGGAGATATTCCCTTATATAGTATTTGTACAATATCCTACTTGTGTATATGCTGAACCGTTTAACAATTTGAGATTATGTACAGTATACACAATAGGACGTGATCATTACGTTTTAAGAACCCAAATCGCACAACTAATAACCTTGTCGAGGTAACTCAATTCACATCAATGATTTATGTTCCAGGAAGAACCCAAATCACAAGAGTTCCAGGAGGCTGGAAGGTACTGAAAGACGAATATATTAGTCAAATTATGGTAACAGTTTTAATGTACATGTAAATTCACCATGTCGTTGGTGTCTCGGTAGATATTACATACCTGATCCCCCTTGTTAGCGCTTGCGTTTGAGAGGTCAGAAGCTATAGTGGTGGGCTTGGCTTTCTTTGACGACGTGGATGAAATACCAATACCGTCACGAGTAGTTGAGGTCACTAATTGTCGTGAGCTGGATACCATGGCCATATCTGCTGTTGTCGTTGAGCTTACTGAATGGCTACTGGACACAAATAAAATGTTTGTGATTGTTTCATGGGTTGAAGAAACACGATCTTCCACAGTGATGGATTGCAATGTTGTGTCTTGTTTAGGGGTGTTTATTAATGATTGTTTGGAAACGACTAACTTATTTGTGGTGTGTATTGAGATTGAAGAAGCTTGTGCTGTTGATTTCTGTGGTATTTTACTAGAACTGACGTATTCTGTGGTTAGCCGATTTGGTTCTGACGTCGTTTCGACAGGAATATGTATTGTCAGATGGTCAGACTCGGGGGTAGTTGATTCATGAACTTCTTCCGTACAATTTTGTCCATCCCAGCCAATATTACATGTACACGCAAAACTGCCATTGGTGTTGTGACAAGATCCGTGATAACAGATGTTTCCGACTTTACATTCATCTATATCCGTGTCACAATGCTGACCTGACCAGCCATCTGTACACATGCACGCATAAGATCCGACATTGTTGTTACATGTAGCCTCGTTTTGACAAGGGTTGTTTTCACATTCATTTATATCCTCAGAACACGTGCTTCCATGCCAGCCTTGGTTACAATGACATCTATAGCCTCCGGCGTCATTGGTACAGGTGGCGTTGTTCTTACACAAGTGTTGATTACATTCATTCACATCAGATGAACAATTATCTCCCCTCCATCCAGACAAACAGGAACAATTATAACCGCCATCTTTATTGTGACAAGTGCCGTTATTTCTACAAACGTTTGGTTTCATTACACATTCGTTGACATCCTTATCACAACTCCAGCCGGTCCATCCCGTTGTACAATGACACGTGTAATTACCGTTAATGTTGTGACACGTGCCACCATGATGGCACGGACTACTTCGACATTCATTAATGTCAGTATCACAAAGTTGGCCTGTCCAGCCGTGAGAGCATTGACAACTGAAGCTGCCGTTGGTATTTGTGCAATTACCGCTATTTTGACAAGGATGATTTTGACACTCGTCTACGTCTGTCCGACACAGATCCCCTGTCCAGCCGTCAGTACAATTACATCTGAAGCTACCCTGGCTGTTGATACATTTCCCTCCATGATGACATATGGTTTTGTTAGAACATTCATTCACGTCACTGTCACAAGTGTTTCCTGTCCAACCTTTTACACAAGAACACGAGAAGTCACCGTCACTATTGGAACACGTTCCGCCGTTATGACATACATTATTACTCTTACATTCATCGACGTCTACCGAACAGTTTGTACCAGACCAGTATTTTGTACAATTACAATTATAACCACCCTTTGTGTTTGTGCATGAGCCATTGTTTTGGCAGGGGTGATGTAAGGTGCATTCGTCTATATCATCAGCACATGTGTTTCCATGCCAACCCCGAGAACACTCACACCTGTATCCACCGTCAATATTGTTACATGTCGCGTTGTTCTTACACACGTTTTCATTACATTCATTCACATCAGATGAACAATTATCTCCCCTCCATCCAGACAAACAGGAACAATTATAACCGCCATCTTTATTGTGACAAGTGCCGTTATTTCTGCAAACGTTTGGTTTCATTACACATTCGTTGACATCCTTATCACAACTCCAGCCGGTCCATCCCGTTGTACAATGACACGTGTAATTACCGTTAATGTTGTGACACGTGCCTCCATTTAAACAAGGGTTATGTTGACATTCATTAATGTCAGTATTACAAAGTTGGCCTGTCCAGCCGTGAGAGCATTGACAACTGAAGCTGCCGTTGGTATTTGTGCAATTACCGCTATTTTGACAAGGATGATTTTGACACTCGTCTACGTCTGTCCGACACAGATCCCCTGTCCAGCCGTCAGTACAATTACATCTGAAGCTACCCTGGCTGTTGATACACTCCCCTCCATGATGACATATGGTTTTGTTAGAACATTCATTCACGTCACTGTCACAAGTGTTTCCTGTCCAACCTTTTACACAAGAACACGAGAAGCCACCGTCACTATTGGAACACGTTCCGCCGTTATGACATACATTATTACTCTTACATTCATCGACGTCTACCGAACAGTTTGTACCAGACCAGTATTTTGTACAATTACAATTATAACCACCCTTTGTGTTTGTGCATGAGCCATTGTTTTGGCAGGGGTGATGTAAGGTGCATTCGTCTATATCATCAGCACATGTGTTTCCATGCCAACCCCGAGAACACTCACACCTGTATCCACCGTCAATATTGTTACATGTCGCGTTGTTCTTACACACGTTTTCATTACATTCATTCACATCAGATGAACAATTATCTCCCCTCCATCCAGACAAACAGGAACAATTATAACCGCCATCTTTATTGTGACAAGTGCCGTTATTTCTGCAAACGTTTGGTTTCATTACACATTCGTTGACATCCTTATCACAACTCCAGCCGGTCCATCCCGTTGTACAATGACACGTGTAATTACCGTTAATGTTGTGACACGTGCCTCCATTTAAACAAGGGTTATGTTGACATTCATTAATGTCAGTATTACAAAGTTGGCCTGTCCAGCCGTGAGAGCATTGACAACTGAAGCTGCCGTTGGTATTTGTGCAATTACCGCTATTTTGACAAGGATGATTTTGACACTCGTCTACGTCTGTCCGACACAGATCCCCTGTCCAGCCGTCAGTACAATTACATCTGAAGCTGCCCTGGCTGTTGATACACTCCCCTCCATGATGACATATGGTTTTGTTAGAACATTCGTCCACGTCACTGTCACAAGTGTTTCCTGTCCAACCTTTTACACAAGAACACGAGAAGTCACCGTCACTATTGGAACACGTTCCGCCGTTATGACATACATTATTACTCTTACATTCATCGACGTCTACCGAACAGTTTGTACCAGACCAGTATTTTGTACAATTACAATTATAACCACCCTTTGTGTTTGTGCATGAGCCATTGTTTTGGCAGGGGTGATGTAAGGTGCATTCGTCTATATCATCAGCACATGTGTTTCCATGCCAACCCCGAGAACACTCACACCTGTATCCACCGTCAATATTGTTACATGTCGCGTTGTTCTTACACACGTTTTCATTACATTCATTCACATCAGATGAACAATTATCTCCCCTCCATCCAGACAAACAGGAACAATTATAACCGCCATCTTTATTGTGACAAGTGCCGTTATTTCTACAAACGTTTGGTTTCATTACACATTCGTTGACATCCTTATCACAACTCCAGCCGGTCCATCCCGTTGTACAATGACACGTGTAATTACCGTTAATGTTGTGACACGTGCCTCCATTTAAACAAGGGTTATGTTGACATTCATTAATGTCAGTATCACAAAGTTGGCCTGTCCAGCCGTGAGAGCATTGACAACTGAAGCTGCCGTTGGTATTTGTGCAATTACCGCTATTTTGACAAGGATGATTTTGACACTCGTCTACGTCTGTCCGACACAGATCCCCTGTCCAGCCGTCAGTACAATTACATCTGAAGCTACCCTGGCTGTTGATACACTCCCCTCCATGATGACATATGGTTTTGTTAGAACATTCATTCACGTCACTGTCACACGTTTTTCCTGTCCAACCTTTTACACAAGAACACGAGAAGTCACCGTCACTATTGGAACACGTTCCGCCGTTATGACATACATTATTACTCTTACATTCATCGACGTCTACCGAACAGTTTGTACCAAACCAGTATTTTGTACAATTACAATTATAACCACCCTTTGTGTTTGTGCATGAGCCATTGTTTTGGCAGGGGTGATGTAAGGTGCATTCGTCTATATCATCAGCACATGTGTTTCCATGCCAACCCCGAGAACACTCACACCTGTATCCACCGTCAATATTGTTACATGTCGCGTTGTTCTTACACACGTTTTCATTACATTCATTCACATCAGATGAACAATTATCTCCCCTCCATCCAGACAAACAGGAACAATTATAACCGCCATCTTTATTGTGACAAGTGCCGTTATTTCTGCAAACGTTTGGTTTCATTACACATTCGTTGACATCCTTATCACAACTCCAGCCGGTCCATCCCGTTGTACAATGACACGTGTAATTACCGTTAATGTTGTGACACGTGCCTCCATTTAAACAAGGGTTATGTTGACATTCATTAATGTCAGTATCACAAAGTTGGCCTGTCCAGCCGTGAGAGCATTGACAACTGAAGCTGCCGTTGGTATTTGTGCAATTACCGCTATTTTGACAAGGATGATTTTGACACTCGTCTACGTCTGTCCGACACAGATCCCCTGTCCAGCCGTCAGTACAATTACAACTGAAGCTACCCTGGCTGTTGATACACTCCCCTCCATGATGACATATGGTTTTGTTAGAACATTCATTCAAGTCACTGTCACACGTTTTTCCTGTCCAACCTTTTACACAAGAACACGAGAAGTCACCGTCACTATTGGAACACGTTCCGCCGTTATGACATACATTATTACTCTTACATTCATCGACGTCTACCGAACAGTTTGTACCAGACCAGTATTTTGTACAATTACAATTATAACCACCCTTTGTGTTTGTGCATGAGCCATTGTTTTGACAGGGGTGATGTAAGGTACATTCGTCTATATCCTCAGCACATGTGTTACCATTCCAACCTGTCGTACAGTGACACTTGTAGCCTCCACGTCAACATTGTTACATGTCGCGTTGTTCTTACACACGTTTTCATTACATTCATTCACATCAGATGAACAATTATCTCCCCTCCATCCAGACAAACAGGAACAATTATAACCGCCATCTTTATTGTGACAAGTGCCGTTATTTCTGCAAACGTTTGGTTTCATTACACATTCGTTGACATCCTTATCACAACTCCAGCCGGTCCATCCCGTTGTACATGACACGTGTAATTACCGTTAATGTTGTGACACGTGCCTCCATTTAAACAAGGGTTATGTTGACATTCATTAATGTCAGTATCACAAAGTTGGCCTGTCCAGCCGTGAGAGCATTGACAACTGAAGCTGCCGTTGGTCCAATTAGCCCGCGTTACACTTACACGTGTAAGACCCAACACTGTTTACGCAGTGCATGTTTTTATGTGGACATTTTGTATGTTGGCACTCGTTGATGTCATTCTCACAATTGTGTCCACTGAATCCTTGACACGCGCACGTGTAGGACCCGATCGTGTTGTTACACGTGCCTCCGTGTTGGCATGGATTTTGATGGTGACACTCGTTCACATCACTGTTACAGTTATGTCCGTTGTATCCTCCGTGACACGAGCACGTGTAGGACCCGATCGTGTTGTTACACGTGCCTCCGTGTTCACAGGGGTTATGTTGGCATTCATTCACGTCAGTATCACAATGATCACCCGTCCAGCCCGCGTTACACTTACACGTGTAAGACCCAACACTGTTTACGCAGTGCATGTTTTTATGTGGACATTTTGTATGTTGGCACTCGTTGATGTCATTCTCACAATTGTGTCCACTGAATCCTTGACACGCGCACGTGTAGGACCCGATCGTGTTGTTACACGTGCCTCCGTGTTGGCATGGATTTTGATGGTGACACTCGTTCACATCACTGTTACAGTTATGTCCGTTGTATCCTCCGTGACACGAGCACGTGTAGGACCCGATCGTGTTGTTACACGTGCCTCCGTGTTCACAGGGGTTATGTTGGCATTCATTCACGTCAGTATCACAATGATCACCCGTCCAGCCCGCGTTACACTTACACGTGTAAGACCCAACACTGTTTACGCAGTGCATGTTTTTATGTGGACATTTTGTATGTTGGCACTCGTTGATGTCATTCTCACAACACTGAATCCTTGACACGCGCACGTTAGGACCCGATCGTGTTGTTACAGTCCGTGTTGGCATGTTTGATGGTGACACTGTCACATGTGTTACATTTGTCCGATGTATCCTCCGTGACACGAGCACGTGTAGGACCCGATCGTGTTGTTACACGTGCCTCCGTGTTAACAGGGGTGAGGTTGGCATTCATACACGTCAGTATCACAATGATCACCCGTCCAGCCCGCGTTACACTTACACGTGTATAGACAACCTGTTTACGCAGTGCATGTTTTTATACATTTTGTATGTTGGCACTCGTTGATGTCATTATCACAATTGTGCACTGAATCCTTGACACGCGCATAATCGTGTTGTTACACGTGCGTGTTGGCATGGATTTTGATGGTGACACTCGTTCACATCACTGTTACAGTTATGTCCGTTGTATCCTCCGTGACACGAGCACGTGTAGGACCCGATCGTGTTGTTACACGTGCCTCCGTGTTCACAGGGGTTATGTTGGCATTCATTCACGTCAGTATCACAATGATCACCCGTCCAGCCCGCGTTACACTTACACGTGTAAGACCCAACACTGTTTACGCAGTGCATGTTTTTATGTGGACATTTTGTATGTTGGCACTCGTTGATGTCATTCTCACAATTGTGTCCACTGAATCCTTGACACGCGCACGTGTAGGACCCGATCGTGTTGTTACACGTGCCTCCGTGTTGGCATGGATTTTGATGGTGACACTCGTTCACATCACTGTACATTTACAGTTATGTCCGTTGTATCCTCCGTGACACGAGCACGTGTAGGACCCGATCGTGTTGTTACACGTGCCTCCGTGTTCACAGGGGTTATGTTGGCATTCATTCACGTCAGTATCACAATGATCACCCGTCCAGCCCGCGTTACACTTACACGTGTAAGACCCAACACTGTTTACGCAGTGCATGTTTTTATGTGGACATTTTGTATGTTGGCACTCGTTGATGTCATTCTCACAATTGTGTCCACTGAATCCTTGACACGCGCACGTGTAGGACCCGATCGTGTTGTTACACGTGCCTCCGTGTTGGCATGGATTTTGATGGTGACACTCGTTCACATCACTGTTACAGTTATGTCCGTTGTATCCTCCGTGACACGAGCACGTGTAGGACCCGATCGTGTTGTTACACGTGCCTCCGTGTTCACAGGGTTTATGCTGACATTCATTCACGTCAGTATCACAATGATCACCCGTCCAGCCCGCGTAACACTTACACGTGTAGGACCCAACACTGTTTACGCAGTGCATGTTTTTATGTGGACATTTTGTATGTTGGCACTCGTTGATTTCATTCTCACAATTGTGTCCACTGAATCCTTGACACGCGCACGTGTAGGACCCGATCGTGTTGTTACACGTGCCTCCGTTTTCACAGGGAGTATGTTGGCATTCGTCAATATCCTGTGAACAGTTACGTCCAGTCCAGCCACTGTTACATGTACAACGGTAGGTTCCAGGACTATTTTCACAATGACTTGTACCAGGTCTGTGACAGTAATGTCCCTTACACTCATCAATATCATGACAGTCGTTTCCTGTATAACCTGTGTGATTAGAAGCGGAGATAGAGACAAATTCATTGAATTTATGTAATTCTGAAAATGCTCTCTCTCTTTGTCTCTCTCTCTTTGCTGAGAGGATTTAAATTCTTACAGTTAACATCCGCTAGATGATTAATCAGACATTCTATATACAAAACCTAAGTCATTACTACAGTCATAAGATATCGGCTGTCCATTATCGTACTGCTACCTGACATGTCCCTGGATTAAACGAGTTATCATACTGATACTGATACCTGACATGTCCCTGGATAGACATGTCCCTGGATAGCCTGTGTCCGAGTTATCGTACTGATACCTGACATGTCCCTGGATAGGCTGTCCGAGTTATCGTACTGATACCTGACATGTCCCTGGATAGGCTGTCCGAGTTATCGTACTGATACCTGACATGTCCCTGGATAGGCTGTCCGAGTTATCATACTGATACCTGACATGTCCCTGGATAGGCTGTCCGAGTTATCGTACTGATTATCATACTGATAAGTGACATGTCCCTGGATAGGCTGTCCGAGTTATCATACTGATACCTGACATGTCCCTGGATAGGCTGTCCGAGTTATCGTACTGATACCTGACATGTCCCTGGATAGGCTGTCCGAGTTATCGTACTGATACCTGACATGTCCCTGGATAGGCTGTCCGAGTTATCGTACTGATACCTGACATGTCCCTGGATAGGCTGTCCGAGTTATCGTACTGATACCTGACATGTCCCTGGATAGACTGTCCGAGTTATCATACTGATACCTGACATGTCCCTGGATAGGCTGTCCGAGTTATCATATTGATACCTGACATGTCCCTGGATAGGCTGTCCGAATTATCATACTGATACCTGACATGTCCCTGGATAGGCTGTCCGAGTTATCATTGATACCTGATATGTCCTGATATGTCCCTGGATAGTACTGTCTGGATAGGCTGTCCGAGTTATCGTACTGATACCTGACATGTCCCTGGATAGGCTGTCCGAGTTATCGTACTGATACCTGACATGTCCCTGGATAGGCTGTCCGAGTTATCATACTGATACCTGACATGTCCCTGGATAGGCTGTCCTAGTTATCGTACTAATACCTGACATGTCCCTGGATAGGCTGTCCGAGTTATCATACTGATACCTGACATGTACCTGGATAGGCTGTCCGAGTTATCGTATTGATACCTGACATGTCCCTGGATCGGCTGTCCGAGTTACCATACTGATACCTGACATGTCCCTGGATAGGCTGTCCGAGTTATCGTACTGATACCTGACATGTCCCTGGATAGGCTGTCCGAGTTATCGTACTGATACCTGACATGTCCCTGGATAGGCTGTCCGAGTTATCGTACTGATACCTGACATGTCCCTGGATAGGCTGTCCGAGTTATCGTACTGATACCTGACATGTCCCTGGATAGGCTGTCCGAGTTATCATACTGATACCTGACATGTCCCTGGATAGGCTGTCCGAGTTATCGTACTGATACCTGACATGTCCCTGGATAGGCTATCCGAGTTATCGTACTGATACCTGACATGTCACTGGATAGGCTGTCCGAGTTATCATACTGATACCTGACATGTCCCTGGATAGGCTGTCCGAGTTCTAGTTATCCTACTTATACCTGACATGTCGCTGGATAGGCTTTCCGAGTTATCCTACTGATACCTGACATGTCCCTGGATAGGCTGTCCGAGTTATCATACTGATACCTGACATGTCCCTGGATAGGCTGTCCGAGTTATCATACTGATACCTGACATGTCCCTGGATAGGCTGTCCGAGTTATCATACTGATACCTGACATGTCCCTGGATAGGCTGTCCGAGTTATCGTACTGATACCTGACATGTCCCTGGATAGGCTGTCCGAGTTATCGTACTGATACCTGACATGTCCCTGGATAGGCTGTCCGAGTTATCGTACTGATACCTGACATGTCCCTGGATAGGCTGTCCGAGTTATCGTACTGATACCTGACATGTCCCTGGATAGGCTGTCCGAGTTATCGTACTGATACCTGACATGTCCCAGGATAGGCTGTCCGAGTTATCGTACTGATACCTGACATGCCCCTGGATAGGCTGTCCGAGTTATTGTACTGATACCTGACATGTCCCTGGATAGACTGTCCGAGTTATCGTACTGATACCTGACATGTCCCTGGATAGACTGTCCGAGTTATCGTACTGATACCTGACATGTCCCTGGATAGGTTATCCGAGTTATCATACTAATACCTGATATATCCCTGTAATGGCTTTCCGAGTTATCATACTGATACCTGACATGTCCCTGGATAGACTGTCCGAGTTATCATACTGATACCTGACATGTCCCTGGATAGGCTGTCCGAGTTATCGTACTGATACCTGACATGTCCCTGGATAGACTGTCCGAGTTATCGTACTGATACCTGACATGTCCCTGGATAGACTGTCCGAGTTATCGTACTGATACCTGACATGTCCCTGGATAGGCTGTCCGAGTTATCATACTGATACCTGACATGTCCCTGGATAGGCTGTCCGAGTTATCATACTGATACCTGACATGTCCCTGGATAGTCTGTCCGAGTTATCGTACTGATACCTGACATGTCCCTGGATAGGCTGTCCGAGTTATCGTACTGATACCTGACATGTCCCTGGATAGGCTGTCCGAGTTATCATACTGATACCTGACATGTCCCTGGATAGGCTGTCCGAGTTATCGTACTGATACCTGACATGTCCCTGGATAGGCTGTCCGAGTTATCATACTGATACCTGACATGTCCCTGGATAGGCTGTCCGAGTTATCGTACTGATACCTGACATGTCCCTGGATAGGCTGTCCGAGTTATCGTACTGATACCTGACATGTCCCTGGATAGGCTGTCCGAGTTGATACCTGACATGTCGTACGAGTTATACAGATACCTGACATGTCCCTGGATAGGCTGTCCGAGTTATCGTACTGATACCTGACATGTCCCTGGATAGACTGTCCGAGTTATCGTACTGATACCTGACATGTCCCTGGATAGGCTGTCCGAGTTATCATACTGATACCTGACATGTCCCTGGATAAGCTCTCCGAGTTATCGTACTGATACCTGATATGTACATGGATAGGCTGTCCGAGTTATCATACTGATACCTGACATGTCCCTGGATAGGCTGTCCGAGTTATCGTACTGATACCTGACATGTCCCTGGATAGGCTGTCCGAGTTATCGTACTGATACCTGACATGTCCCTGGATAGGCTGTCCGAGTTATCATACTGATACCTGACATGTCCCTGGATAGGCTGTCCGAGTTATCGTACTGATACCTGACATGTCCCTGGATAGGCTGTCCGAGTTATCATACTGATACCTGACATGTCCCTGGAGGCTGTCCGAGTTATCATACTGATACCTGACATGTCCCGAGTCCGAGTTATCGTACTGATACCTGACATGTCCCTGGATAGGCTGTCCCTGGATAGGCTGTCCGAGTTATGTACTGATACCTGACATGTCCCTGATACCTGATATGTCCCTGGATAGGCTGTCCGGTACTGATACCTGACATGTCCCTGGATAGGCTGTCCGAGTTATCGTACTGATACCTGACATGTCCCTGGATAGGCTGTCCGAGTTATCGTACTGATACCTGACATGTCCCTGGATCGGCTGTCCGAGTTACCATACTGATACCTGACATGTCCCTGGATAGGCTATCCGAATTATCGTACTGATACCTGACATGTACTGATACCTGACATGTCCCTGGATAGGCTGTCCGAGTTATCATACTGATACCTGACATGTCCCTGGATAGACTGTCCGAGTTATCATACTGATACCTGACATGTCCCTGGATAGGCTGTCCGAGTTATAGTACAGATACCTGACATGTCCCTGGATACACTGTCCGAATAATCGAACTGATACCTGACATGTCCCTGGATAGACTCTCCGAGTTATCGTACTGATACCTGACATGTCCCTGGATAGGCTGTCCGAGTTATCATACTGATACCTGACATGTCCCTGGATAGGTCTGGATAGGCTTTCCGAGTTATCATACTGATACCTGACATGTCCCTGGATAGGCTGTCCGAGTTATCGTACTGATACCTGACATGTCCCTGGATAGGCTGTCCGAGTTATCGTACTGATACCTGACATGTCCCTGGATAGGCTGTCCGAGTTATCATACTGATACCTGACATGTCCCTGGATAGGCTGTCCGAGTTATCGTACTGATACCTGACATGTCCCTGGATAGGCTGTCCGAGTTATCGTACAGATACCTGACATGTCCCTGGATTGACTGTCCGAGTTATCGTACTGATACCTGACATGTCCCTGGATAGGCTGTCCGAGTTATCGTACTGATACCTGACATGTCACTGGATAGGCTGTCCGAGTTATCATACTGATACCTGACATGTCCCTGGATAGGCTGTCCGAATTATCATACTGATACCGGACATGTCCCTGGATAGGCTGTCCGAGTTATCATACTGATACCTGACATGTCCCTGGATAGGCTGTCCGAGTTATCGTACTGATACCTGACATGTCCCTGGATAGGCTGTCCGAGTTATCATACTGATACCTGACATGTCCCTGGATAGGCTTTCCGAGTTATGATACTGATACCTGACATGTCCCTGGATAGGCTGTCCGAGTTATCATACTGATACCTGACATGTCCCTGGATAGGCTGTCCGAGTTATCGTACTGATACCTGACATGTCCCTGGATAGGCTGTCCGAGTTATCATACTGATACCTGACATGTCCCTGGATAGGCTGTCCGAGTTATCATACTGATACCTGACATGTCCCTGGATAGGCTGTCCGAGTTATCATACTGATACCTGACATGTCCCTGGATAGGCTGTCCGAGTTATCGTACTGATACCTGACATGTCCCTGGATAGGCTGTCCGAGTTATCGTACTGATACCTGACATGTCCCTGGATAGGCTGTCCGAGTTATCATACTGATACCTGACATGTCCCTGGATAGGCTGTCCGAGTTATCATACTGATACCTGACATGTCCCTGGATAGGCTGTCCGAGTTATCGTACTGATACCTGACATGTCCCTGGATAGGCTGTCCGAGTTATCATACTGATACCTGACATGTCCCTGGATAGGCTGTCCGAGTTATCATACTGATACCTGACATGTCCCTGGATAGGCTGTCCGAGTTATCGTACTGATACCTGACATGTCCCTGGATAGGCTGTCCGAGTTATCGTACTGATACCTGACATGTCCCTGGATAGGCTGTCCGAATTATCATACTGATACCGGACATGTCCCTGGATAGGCTGTCCGAGTTATCGTACTGATACCTGACATGTCGCTGGATAGACTGTCCGAGTTATCATACTGATACCTGACATGTCGCTGGATAGACTGTCCGAGTTATCATACTGATACCTGACTGGATAGGCTGTCCGAGTTATCGTACTGATACCTGACATGTCCCTGGATAAGCTGTCCGAGTTATCGTACTGATACCTGATATGTACCTGGATAAACTGTCCGAGTTATCATACTGATACCTGACATGTCCCTGGATAGGCTGTCCGAGTTATCATACTGATACCTGACATGTCCCTGGATAGGCTGTCCGAGTTATCATATTGATACCTGACATGTCCCTGGATAGGTCTGGATAGGCTTTCGGAGTTATCATACTGATACCTGACATGTCCCTCTCCGAGTTATCGTACTGATACCTGACATGTCCCTGGATAGACTGTCCGAGTTATCGTACTGATACCTGACATGTCCCTGGATAGACTCTCCGAGTTATCGTACTGATATCTGATATGTACATGGATAGGCTGTCCGAGTTATCATACTGATACCGATACCTGTCCGAGTTATCGTACTGATACCTGACATGTCCCTGGATAGGCTGTCCGAGTTATCATACTGATACCTGACATGTCCCTGGATAGGCTGTCCGAGTTATCGTACTGATACCTGACATGTCCCTGGATAGGCTGTCCGAGTTATCGTACTGATACCTGACATGTCCCTGAATAGGCTGTCCGAGTTATCGTACTGATACCTGACATGTCCCTGGATAGGCTGTCCGAGTTATCGTACTGATACCTGACATGTCCCTGGATAGGCTGTCCGAGTTATCGTACTGATACCTGACATGTCCCTGGATAGACTGTCCGTTTTCGTACTGATACCTGACATGTCCCTGGATAGGCTGTCCGAGTTATCATACTGATACCTGACATGTCCCTGGATACCTGGACATGTCCCTGGATGGACTGTCCATATGTGATGTAACACATACCCAGCTCCACGTGTCTGTAGTAGAGATGTACGTAGATGCGATGTCCAGCTGATTGGTAGTGTGGTTTAAACGGACGTCACCACATGTGGAAAGCTGGTTTGTATCCGGTCTAACTATCGTATCGACACAGTTCCCATTTCCGGTGTCATGTGGATCACTGTATAGAAAAAAAAAGAAATAAAAAACATTTTCAACATCAAAACTAGACTCAAAAATATCCCCGTATGTTTTATCTTCAGATAAATCTTAGGGTCATATTTTCAATTTCAAAACTTTATAGCAAATAATATATATATCACCTTTATATGTTCATTTCTTTATATCGTTCGGAATTATTAAATTAAACCAAAATATCAAGAGAATTTTTATTTTTGATTACTAACAGATGTAAAGGTTTCAACACTGACACATTAAATATGACTGATACTTCTCTAAGATGAGATAAAGCAATATTTAAATAACAATGACAAAAATGCGGATGCGGAGCGATATTTTGGCAACTTGACATTGAAAATGAACTCCAGAATATATTTAAATGTTTGGTCAGTCATTTAAGGACTAACTTGTTATAATTTGTTCTCTCCTTGTAGCCACATATTCAAAGATGCGTGTCGCACGTGCTTGTGTCTGTGACTTACTTGTTGACACATATCCTGAAATGCGTGTCGCACGTGTCTGTATCACAGTCAGGAAGCGTACCGCCGTCACAACATTGTCTAGCTTTTCCATTTGTTTTACACGATTTGTCTGGGTTAGTGTAAGCTTGAATCTTCCACGCAACAATCGCAGCTACTTTCATCTAAACAAACAAGGCGACAATCAGGGATATTAAATTGGTATCTCATAACTCAATTACTCAACGTTATTATAGAAGTCTTCTCTGGTCGATGATTTTGTATCAATATCACTGATTAGCACTAACTAAAACTACCGTCACCATATTTATCATCACAAACAATTATTTGTATATTATTTTTAAAATTGTAAAAAGTAAATTCCACAAAAATGGACAGTTGAGAAGCTGTTAAATGACTTCGTACACCAAAGGATGAACATATGCGTTAAACAGGGGACGAAGACACGTAGGATTTGGTTACAGAAAAAAAAACCTGAAGTTATCTACATAAACTGCTATCCCGATTAATCATTGGTAACTAACTTGACTTCTGGTGAAACATTTCAGTGGGATCACGATAGCATTTGATTATAAAACCGAAGACAGACACCCGGTTTTTTGGATTGTTTTTTATTGATATTAACAGAGTTATGAAATGAACACTAAACAAGAGGATGATAAATATTATGACGTACACCACTTTGGTAGTTGGTTAATTTCGTGGGAACTATGTTGAGGGACCCCTGGTTTGTGTATCCCTCTGTAGCTAGGGCGGCCTGTATAATCATCGGATCGACAGCCTTGTTCCCACACTTGGCAGTGAAACCAACCCTGGTTATGATAGGAAAGATGTAATATATCGTATTGACTCATATAAACATTTTTTGAATGTCATCATCATCATCATTATCATCATCACTGAAATAATTGACAAAATTCATGATGACGATATCACGCCGCTTTGATTACCAAATCAAGTACAACATATAAGTACATGGGATAAGTTGTAGATCAGTGTATATATCGACACAATACTTGTGATTATATATCTAATTAGCTTTCTGTCTACTTCACCTTTTGTTCTAATGCCTTAAAAGGTGTTTCTGTGTTTTTCTGTCTGAAACATCTACATTAGCAGGAGAAATACTTTTCCTTTTTAAGTAATTTCCTGGACTTACCTGGTAGTCGACCATAGATACTGAGCCGAGGACAGTTGTATTGTAGGACAAATGTGTTTCCTCAGGAAGGAACCAATCAATCTCTGAAAGTTCTGGATTAGGTTGTCGGTAACACTGGTGTAGGTTTTGTATCTAACAATAACTGGTTCTGAAATGTTTATATTATATCACGATGGTTGTAATGTCTGAAATATTTATATTATATCACGATGGTTGTAATGTCTGAAATATTCATATTATATCACGATGGTTGTAATGTCTGAAATATTTATATTATATCACGATGGTTGTAAGTCTGAAATATTTATATTATATCACGATGGTTGTAATGTCTGAAATATTTATATTATATCACGATGGTTGTTAAGTCTGAAATATTTATATTATATCACGATGGTTGTAATGTCTGAAATATTTATATTATATCACGATGGTTGTAATGTCTGAAATATTTATATTATATCACGATGGTTGTAATGTCTGAAATGTTTATATTATATCACGATGGTTGTAATGTCTGAAATATTTATATCATATCACGATGGTTGTAATGTCTGAAATATTTATATTATATCACGATGGTTGTAATGTCTGAAATATTTATATTATATCACGATGGTTGTAATGTCTGAAATATCTATATTATATCACGATGGTTGTAATGTCTGAAATATATATATTATATCACGATGGTTCTAATGTCTGAAATATTTATATTATATCACGATGGTTGTAATGTCTGAAATATATATATTATATCACGATGGTTGTAATGTCTGAAATGTTTATATTATATCACGATGGTTGTAATGTCTGAAATATTTATATTATATCACGATGGTTGTAATGTCTGAAATGTTTATATTATATCACGATGGCTGTAATGTCTGAAATATTCATATTATATCACGATGGTTGTAATGTCTGAAATATATATATTATATCACGATGGTTGTAAAGTCTGAAATATTTATATTATATCACGATGGTTGTAATGTCTGAAATATTTAGTATTGATATCACGATGGATAAAATGTCTGAAATATTAAGTAACCTTTACTGGTACAAAGTAGCCACAGACTTAATAACAACAATATCTTTTATTTATCCAGGGTTGCATATTAAGACAAGTCTTGTTTATAATATGGCCCTGCCGTAAAATATATACACATATCACAGAAAGATGTTACATTGGATGTTACCGGTACATAAAATACATAAATTGTGAATATTAATTAATTATAAGATACAATGTAGAACAAACATTATTACAATACATAGTTTGCTAAGATCTATTATAATGTCATCGAAATATTGTAACTGTAAGATACATCAATACAGGCGTAAAATATATTCAGATATCACAGATATCAATGATTGTTGCAAAGCTAAAATCTAAAATTTTGAGAAGAGCTCCTGTAGATATTTATGTTTGAAAACAGCCACACTACAAGAATTTCTAATATTTTCACTGATACCATTTAGTAAAACTGAGCAAGTATATGAGCGTTTAAAATACTTTGTTCTAGCTAAAGGAATATAAAATTTGTTCGAAACTGAAGATCTTGTGTTTCTAGAAGTGACATCCCTGACAAAGGTAAAAAGACTACACAAGACTCCTGGGGTATCTCCATGTAAAATTTTGAAGGCTAGAGTTGCTTTCCCAAAAGTGTGATATTCTTCAATAGGTAGCCATTTTAACTGTTTAAAAAGAAATTTGGAAGGAGTGAGAACATCTTTCACATTCAATAAAATTCTCGCTGCCCTTTTCTGTAGTGTAGAAATCTTCTGGATATAAGATGTGTTACTAACTTCACACCAAACTACCGAACAATAGATGAAGTGAGGGAAAACTATACTTTGATAAACTTTGGTAAGCACATCGTTTGACATAAATGGCTTTATCCGTCTAAGTACACCTATCTACCTTGAAATTTTCTTGGAAATGTAATTAATATGTTCTTTCCAAGATAGACAGTTATCCACATATAAACACCAAGAAGTTTTGCGAATTATACAGTTTCAATAAATAAGTTGTCTACAGAAATTTTCAGCTCACGACATCTGGCTAATTTGTGAGCTGATCCAATCAACATACACTGAGTTTTGCTAAGATTAAGACTAAGTTTATTATCTCTCATCCACTGGATTGTACATTGAAGATCCTCTGTCATTTTCATTTCTAATTGATTTATCCCTTACACTCTGTGAGGTGTCATCAGCATACATAGTTACTGAGGAATGTTTCAAACATTTGGGATAATCATTTATATTTAAAATAAACAATAGAGGCCCAAGTATCGAGCCTTGAGGCACACCAATACTAATGGGTGAAAAATCACACCACTGTTACATACAGCTTGTGATCTATTTGATAGATATGATAAAAAGAACTTAAGTGAAAGAGGAGACACATCATATGCTTTGAGTTTGTGTAAAAGAACGGAGTGATTAACTGTGTCAAATGCCTTACGCAGGTCGATAAAAACAGCACCTGTCAAAAATCCTTCATCTATATTTTGTAACCATTTGTCTACTACGCTCACCAGAGCTGTATCTGTGGAAGGATGAGGACGTAAAGCAAACTGACAGTCACTGAATAATTGATTCTTGGAGAGATAATCATAAAAAGTATTATGTACATGTTTCTCCAATATCTTACTGAGAACTCTTAATACAGACACAGGTCTGTAATTATTGACTAGGGTAGGGTCACCAGCTTTAAAAATAGGTGTGACCTTGGCCTTCTTCCATTCAGAAGGGAAAACACCTTTAGATAAAGACATATTATACAGAAATGTAACAAAATAGGGTTTAGTGTAACACAACTGGATTTTCATATGGGATTGGTTGAAATAAGCTTAAACAATATTTCGTTTAATGTTCAATAGTATGTCAATATAACACATATAGGTAGTTCACAGGGGTGTGGATAATTACTTGCATATATACACTTAGGTTGGTGTAGTCTTGACCCCCCGAGATTCTTATCAGTGGGTGTACAGCTTCGGCCAGTTAATTAGAGACTATACCCACTTCCTAGATAATCAAACTTATGCAATTTCCCGTTCGGACAGTGGCCATCTAATAGTAGAGTAATTATTAGGGTCTATTTCAAGTAACAAATTAGAAGGGAGAATCTCAACCTTGCACCCGAATACAGGTGGCTATACTTCAACAATCGTAACATCTAGTAACACGTGAAGTCCATATTAGGGGATGGCCGGACAAGCTTGGTCCATAGTAAGATAAAAGGGGGGAGATCTTCAGGTTAGAACACGCAGCCTTTGGGGGAGCCCATAAGATGAACAGTTCTGATAAGAGACACAATGTGAAGTACTGGTATGAGTATATGAACTCTGTATGTTGATGAGATGTTCCTTTTGTACATGTAACATTATTATTATTCAACATGTAATAAACATGGCTATTACCAACAAGTACGTGTGTTTATGCCTACTGTGTTACAACTGGTACACTGTAGACACAGACACAAGTCTCAACCTTACTCTTACATATACTGTAGACACAGACACAAGACTTAACCTTACTCTTACATACACTGTAGACACAGACACAAGACTTAACCTTACTCTTACATATACTGTAGATTACATACACAGACACAAGACTTAACCTCTTACATACACTTACTCTTAAGACTTAACCTTACTCACTGTAGACACAGACACAAGACTTAACCTTACTCTTACATACACTGTAGACACAGACACACATACACTGTAGACACAGACATAACTTAACCTTACTCTTACATACACTGTAGACACAGTAAGACACAGACACTGTAGACACAGACTTAACCTTACTCTTACATACACTGTAGACACAGACACAGACTTAACCTTACTCACATACACTGTAGACACAGACATAAGACTTAACCTCTCTTACATACACTGTAGACACAGACACAAGACTTAACCTTACTCTTATACACTGTAGACACAGACACAAGACTTAACACTGTACATACACTGTAGACACAGACATAAGACTTAACCTTACTCTTACATACACTGTAGACACAGACACAAGACTTAACCTTACTCTTACATACACTGTAGACACAGACACAAGACTTAACCTTACTCTTACATACACTGTAGACACAGACACAAGACTTAACCTTACTCTTACATACACTGTAGACACAGACACACTGTAGACACAGACACAAGACTTAACCTTACTCTTTACTCTTACATACATATACTGTAGACACAGACACAAGACTTAACCTTACTCTTACATACACTGTAGACACAGACACAAGACTTAACCTTACTCTTACATATACTGTAGACACAGACACAAGACTTAACCTTACTCTTACATACACTGTAGACACAGACATAAGACTTAACCTTACTCTTACATACACTGTAGACACAGACACAAGACTTAACCTTACTCTTACATACACTGTAGACACAGACACAAGACTTAACCTTACGATTACATACACTGTAGACACAGACACAAGACTTACATACCTTGTAGACAGACACAAGACTTTATCTTACACACCCTGTTATCTTGAGATAGACACTTACTCTGACTGCTGCACTGTAGTCCGAGTTGCCCGTTGTGACATGATATGTATGGATTACTTCCGGTGTAATGGTGGGTACATTGGGGACCTGTGTATCCGGAGTCACACCATGCCTTCATTTGTATGGTAAGGCTGCAAACAGTGAAATATTTCCTCAGTGTTTGGACTTCAGTTTCATCATTTAAGACATTGAATTGTTTTCCTGCAAGCAACTAAAGGGGAAAGCCGAGAGGGAGAGAGAGATTTATTCCTAAATATGACAAACGAGAGTATGTTAATTACACTTTCTCTTGGAGAAAAAAAATGTTATTTAAGACATTGAAATTGATTCCGTTTCGATTTGTCATATTTTAACAAAGTTCGGGAAAAACACAGAATCACATGTGACAAGGAGACATTTCTTTGTAAACAAGATTTAGAAGTATATCTTAAAATAAAGGATACTGTGTATGTATTCTCGCTTTTAATAATGTGTTGATACACCTTCAAAAATAACACATGGAACAGAAAAGACCACGTTTGACTACTGGAATCTGAA